ACAAAATTTAAACTTGGACTCGCCCGGAAAGATATAGTCCCTTTATATATATATATATATATATATATATATATATATATATATATATATATATATATATATATATATATATATATATGTGTGTATGTGTGTGTGTGTGTGTAGGCCTTTATTGGAAAACATTATTATGTCTACATTTTCTGGTTGCTTTAACTAAACTCCACTTTTAAATGTATATATCTTCGATATATATTAAGGGAATTATTTGAGGTTTCTTTGAAACCGATTTACTCCTTGCCCATGTATACTAGGGACTCTTTTTTTTTTACCTACGCTCAGGATTGCCATATTGGCATTTTTTATGCCAGATTCCACAAATCTGGCATATTTGAAATTGAACTGGCATAAGATAATGAACTGGCATATTCTGGCATATTTGGGTTTTTCCTGGCATTTCTTATCAAGACGTGCTCATATTTTCTTCATGGTTTCTCTGTTATAAACACGCAAATTTACTAAAAGCAATGTAGACCTACAGTTAAAATCTTTATTTCAGTTTGACTTTGTTGTGATGTCCTGGTACGGACTAACGGAGATTCGCGCCATTTCTAATTGTTTTGTTGTCTTCTTATACGGATCGTGACTGCTTTAAACCTCTGTAATTTATGGTAATTTACTAGAATATTTGCGAGATATAAAACGAAAACCCACCACTGATATCAGGTGATTTAGACTGTTCAGAAACTACTTGAGGACAGAAAATAGATAGGATATAGACCTAGTTCTGTCTGTGATAGATTTTATTACTGTTACTAATGGCTACGTCATCCAAAAATTGGGAAGTATCTTATGAAAGCAATCGCAAGTATAATAGTAATTGGGAGAAAACATACTCATGGCTCAAAAGATCTTCAGACGGATCAGAGGCAGCATATTGTAAACTGTGTCAGTGCACTGTTGCACCAAAAATTACATCCGAAAAACACAGGATGAAAATTCCGTCAAAAAGCCAGTCACAGCTTATTACAAAAATAACTCCTAGGCAAAGTAATGATAAAGTTAAAGCAGCAGAGTTGCAACTTGCTGTAAGCTTGACCTGCCATTGTGCAATACGCAAATTGATCATCTAAGTGAAATCACGAGAGCGCGTGGTCAGGGGAATACATTGGAGCACATACAGTTGCATAGAACTAAATGTTTATGCTTAAAAAGAAATATTATATCGCCTGCACTTAAGGATGACATTATTGAGGATTTTCGGAACAAGAAATATGCCATAAATATAGATGAGTCTACTGACGTTTCCACTCAAAAGTACTTATGCATTATAGTTAGTTTTTTTCAGTGACAGGAAAAATTAAATATTTACTGGATTTCTTGCTTTAATTTCCTTGCAAGTGGCTACAGGAGAAAACATTTAATTTGATTGATAAGGAAATCAAAAGGTGTGGTCAGAGTCTTACAAATTGCATTGGGTTTGCGTCAGTGGCGCTTCAAACATGATCTGGTGCAAGGACTCTGTACGGTCCAGAATTAAAGATGTGTCTCCTTCGCCATCAAATATTCTTTCCTTACTGTCAGAAATACCTCAGTAGTTTTGTCATAGTGATTTAAGATGAGAAGCCTATAAAGAACTGTTTAGAGTGATGAACACATCTACGGAGTTTGAATCAGAACGAACTGCTCCTCTTCCATTTGAGAAACTGTCATCTACTAGGTGGCTTGTGCGTGGAAAGATTATGTTCAATATGTTGGTGAACTGGAAATAATTTAAAGCTTATTTCACAACAGTTGACACAAAATATAAAGTAAGATTGTTAAAGAAAATGCTGTTAGACCATAATAATTATTTGTACTTTGTGTTTGCGACACCAATTGTACAAGAATTTGAAAAACTGAACAATCTTTTTCAACAAACAAAAGCTGATCCCCATGAACTACACCAAGAATTGTCCATGCACCAGAAAGGTCTTAAGAACAGACTGTGAGACGTCAATGAGTAGAAAAAAAAATTCATCACATTCCTAACGGAATGTAATGCGTTCCTACAGAAGAATAACGGGACTGAAGTTCAGATAGAAATAAACAATGTTAATGAAAGATGCATGTCTGTGCTAGAGGAAGCTCTCAATCAAATTACGTGTAGACTTCCCACCGAGAATATATTTCAAAATCTGTCAAAATTGAGCCCTTTTGGCAGTTCTAAATCAAATATCAAGGACGCAGTTTTCAGAGCTACCATTTTTACACCTGGCAGAAAGCAACATCAGTATTATAGAAGAACAGTACAGAAAATTGATTCTTGTCAACTGGAAAGAAGAAGCTACATTTAAGAAGGATGGACTACCTACAAACAGGGAAGATTTTTGGATAGGCGTACTTCGACACCAGGCATTTAAAGAGTTGGCCACTTTCGCCCTTACTTGCTTAATAATGCCTGTTAGAACTGGATTTTCTTGATGCAGTCTTCAGAATTAGAGCAGAACTATTGATATCAAAGAAATGTTGCAAAGACTTTACATCTGAAAATGTTTATGCTGCATCTTCCACTGGTTCCAGTGAGGATGACAGTGAAAAATTCAATCTAGAGCTTTTGATGTGAAGTGAGTACAATGTTATACTTTATTTGGCAATTTTCTGGCATATTTTAGGTGATGGTTTGGCATAAAATGACGTTTTTTATCTGGCAACCCTGCCAACGCTTGAAGTGCGTCTGGGCGGCATTCTATCTTGCCAGCTTCAAGCGTCCAGACGTGTCCATCTATGCCTGTATAAATTCTATGGCACTCTTCCGAATACCGGTCCCAAATTATTCACTGCGAAAAACACCCCTTTGGAAGCCTCAAGTAACAACATTTAGGCCCTCATCATCAGTTTCCACTTCTGTGGTAATAGCACGAAGGATAGCAATGTTTACACCTTAAGCTAAGCGCAGTAGGGAGGAATAGTTCTCGATCCATTGAAGTCATTTAAGGAAGACTATATTTTGATCCAATGTTGAAGCGTTGTGGGGAGGAGTAGTTTTCAATGCATTATAGCGATATGGGCGTGGGGATGGGGTGGGGGGGGGTGGAGGGGTTAGTTTTCGATCCATTGTTCACAGTAACTGTGACTCGCCTTGTGGGTTCCTTCCTTTTCGCAGTGAATAATTTGGGACCGGTTTTCGGAAGAGTGCCAATTCTATTTCACAAGGCGATCTGGAATGTCTCAGTTTTTGCATATGCTTGGGATGTATCTTTTGTGAGAAGCTGGCAGAAATTTCACAGTCCAACCAACACCCACCAACCATGAACCAACCATGAATAAACCATAAACCAACCATAAACTAACTGTCACCCACCAGCTAACACCTGTGAAGGTTCCTGACATCATCAATATGCTGGAGCTTACAACCCAAACAGACTACCAGTGCTAGAGCTTAGTATAGCTCAAAGACTTTGTATGTCCTAACTGGTAATAGAGACTTGCTGGGCACCAGTACATTGCGGTGTCCTCTATGGTGAGGTACTCTCTTACTACTTGATCCAGTGGAGCAGAATTCCCAGAGTCAAAGACAGTCGAATCATCCGGAGCTGAGGGAGGCATCATAGACAGAAAGAGGAGAAGCTAAGTTTGATGCTTCATGTGCTTTTTTACATCACAGCTCCTATGTTTCCCAATGATGACATAGAGTCATCTCCAAGACCTACTGTCTGTGTAGTATCTTTGGTATCTAGACATTATATTCTGAGATTCTTCCACTGATAGCTGAAATTCACTCCATTGTTATATGTATATTACACTGATTACATGTCTCTATTTCACCTTTTTAAGTGTTTAGCAGTGTGTATGTATGTATCTTCATTATAACATGGTTATGATAATGAACTATCATAACCTGGGGGCTTTCTTTAGTAAGTAGTGGGGGTGTCCAGCCAAGTGTGCCTAGAAATATTGTATTCATATACTGACATATTTTGTAGTGCCAATACTTGAGTTGCTCTACTCCAGAGATAAGTTGAGCGTATATTGGCCACGGGGAATCCCTTAGACCAATACGAGCCAAACGACTCAACATAATTATCTCTGAGTGCTGTTGGTTCTGAAGGAGAAATCCTTACATTAGGCACGCGACAGGAGTGATATGTGACACCGACTCAAAGAGTATGTTGAAAAAGGTGGAGACATGCATGCTCAGTGCAGAGTGGCAATCATCGCTTCAGAAGTCCCAGGTAGTTAGCGTCCTTTGAATATTTTCTCCAGTTGATGCTGGTGTGTTGGCTAAAAGGGCTTTTACTCATAATAACGTCCTAGGTGCTATGATATCGGAGAATGTTTGAGAAGCTGTGTTTCAGGCAAATAGACTGGTCGGTTCTACACCACTTGGTATTGAGTTGATGTAAGACAAGCTAGTTGTTGTGATGGTCCCTTGGGAGTGAACAGTGCGGAGGCACAAACAGATCATTATGGTCTTAGGAGAAAGGTGCTTCGAGGAGCTACCAGGGGATCTGGACGACGCTCAACACAGCCGGCGTGATGCTGACCACATCACCCACTGAATACTGTTTGTTTATAAAATATAGGTCTAGCCCTATAGGCTATGCCTACAGGTGTGGAAAAGGGTACTTTTCTTTACTTTTACTCCTAAAGGTGTGGAAAAGGGTACTCTACTTTTACTCCTAAAGATGTGGAAAAGGGTACTTTTCTTTACTTTTACTCCTAAAGATGTGGAAAAGGGTACTTTTCTTTACTTTTACTCCTAAAGGTGTGGAAAGGGTACTTTTCTTTACTTTTACTCCTAAAGGTATGAAAAAGGGTACTTTTCTTTACTTTTACTCCTAAAGGTGTGGAAATGGATACTTTTAATTACTCCCCCCTCCCCCATCTCCCCATGGGGCCCAGAAACCGCCAAGACCTACAGAGCAAGTAAATTCAAGGAAATGCTAACGGGAAGTAACTCTGGAACATTGCCTCCAAATGAGGATAAAATACCGGAAGTTGTATCTTTTGTAATGTATTACTGTTTCTGACAAGGAGTCAAGATGAAAATGGCAAATGAACCCGTACCGGTTATTCGCAGAAATAGACCTGGTACTAAAGCCAAGGTATTGTTTGTCTTAGTACGTGATCACTGTATCTTGTGATTCATAATGTACTTAATGACCTAAAATGGATTGGGTTAATAATATAAATAATAAAACACCGATAGTTTGTGATAACTGTGGAACTAGTAGTAGTAGAAGGTGGCGACTCGACTTCAGTTCAGTAGTATCAGTATCAGTATTTTACTATTTACTGACTGGCACGTCTACTGCTATTTCTGTGGTGATTGTCAAATTGTCTTAATGTAACATGGTTCTGCTAGTCACGCTTTCCCGTGGCATGCACTGTGGTTCCTATGCCTTCCTATTACACGTTCGAACACTGTCACCCGGACAGACAGAAAGGTGCAACAACAACAGAATCATCATAATTAGTATCAACAACAATAATGAGAGCACATCATCGTTTTGTTGACATGGTTGATCACGCTTTTCCATCCTTAAAAGACAGATCTGTAAAGCAGACATACATGCAGAACTCAAATTCTGCATCAAGGTGCAAATCAGGAGTTTATGAACAGCTAGAACTAGAACTTGGTTCTCCTTGCGATAACGGTCGCTACTTGGACGGTGACAGCCGCTTAGTCTGAGTTTAGTCCCCTGGCTGCAGTGCAGTTACAGAGTGGACAAGGCACGAATCATAAAACATGGCGTCTATACCACGCGCTGTGATTCACATTAGCCTAACCCTACCCCCAGCCCTAAGTATGTCATTTGTGTCATTCCCTCTTGTCCACTCCGTAATTGCACTGCAGCCAGGGGACTGAACTATGACTAAGCGGCTGTCGCTGTCCAACTAGCGACCGTTATTGCAAGGAGAGCCTAGAACTTTATGATACAGTTTACAGCCTGTGGACCCAAAGAAAAAGATACTTCTCCACATTCAATCATCTCCATCAGCACGGATATTTGTATGTCCAGATGCCGTACCATGACATGACAAAAGGTTGTCTTTTGTATGATTCATTAATGTGCTATTGCCTCTACAATACTGTCCAGGCTTTGTGCTATGGGAAGGAGAAACTTTGGCTCTCCTCTGAATAACTGTCCTAAATTATTGAGGCTAAGAAAATACCTTAACAGAGCCTCAGTCATATGTAAATTGTGGACTTCTTTCCAGCAAGTACACTGCGGCAAAAGTAGGATTAATTTCCGGCGATAATTTCGCAAAACGCAAAAAATTATCACGGAATTTTCACCATGGCAGGCAGACAATCAGCTCCGACACTGGGTCCTAGGTTTAACTTCTCCCCTGGGTCCTAGATTGAACTTCTCCCCTGGGTCCTAGGTTTAACTTCTCCCCTGGGTCCTAGGATTAACTTCTCCCCTGGGTCCTAGGTTTAACTTCTCCCCTGGGTCCTATGATTAACTTCTTCTCTGGGTCCTAGGTTTAACTTCTCCCCTGGGTCCTAGGATTAACTTCTTCTCTGGGTCCTAGGTTTAACTTCTCCCCAGAGTCCTAGGTTTAGCTTCTTCCCTGGGTCCTAGGTTTAACTTCTCCACTGGGTCCTAGGATTAACTTCTTCTCTGGGTCCTAGGTTTAACTTTTCCCCAGAGTCCTAGGTTTAACTTCTTCCCTGGGTCCTAGGTTTAACTTCTCCCCTGGGTCCTAGGTTTAGGGTTTGGGCAAAGAGTATTACAATTACGACACTGCCACCAGAATCTGTCACAAAGTCCAACAGCAACACTAATGTTTGAAGGTTTATGCATGCAACTGAAACAGGCGCAAAATTATGAAGGTGGGACTAGCTCCTGGTGTATTCACTGGAAAGAAATCCTAATTTTATGCACCATTGAGGCCCTGCTAGGGTATTTTCTTAGCCTAAAAAATTTAGGGCCATTATTCGAAGGAGAGCCAAAACTACATCCTTGGCTTTAATTGGTCCTACTCTCCATTGCCATTGGCTGTGATACTGAAGCCTTCCAATAACACAGTGGGACACTAGCATCCAGAAAGACAGGCTGGTGCCTACAGCAATCATTGGGCTTCAGTATATGAATGGACCAGATTAAATACTGCACTGTTTGCAATATATTGTTTATGTCCTCATTATTTAAATTCACAAGGGAAAATATTGTGTTGAGAGCTATTTCTTTAACAAAAACAAAATACTGATATTTACACTGAAAATAATATAAGATGTTATGGTAAAGTTACAACTGGTGATGATGCAGACTTAAATAACTTATAAAGAAATCAAGTGCTTGTAAAATTTTATAAATATACACGTGGTGTAGGATATTTAGTAATACTTTTCCTCTTTTCAGGATTGGTGTAACTGGGAAGATGAATCATTTGAGGAAATGGATAGTACTCTAGCTGTTCAGCAGGTACGGAGTGTAACCAATAGTTCATTAATCATGTTTACATACATATCCATGACCAAGTGATTAAGCCATATTCCCATACTGTGAAGTGTGGAGTTTGATTTTAGACTATGTCCCTCAGTTGATGACTGAAGGTGTTTTGGAGAGCCCATGGGGTTGTTGCTGGAGCTAACGAGTTCACGCTTTGTGCAGTGTTCTTGCAGGTGACTGGCTGTTCTTGAAAAGCAGTTGAACCATAGAGGGCTATAACCTGTTGCATTCAAATTGATTCTTCCCATCTTTAAACTTCTTCTTCAGCATTCTCAGCCTTGAGGTTCATTGCTGCGAATATCACCAACCTTCATTCATCTCTGCGATTGGCCTTCACTTTTTACTTGGTGATTTTAAGTATTTGTAGGTCTGTCTGTTTATTATCTCTCTCCCTTTTTCTCATTGTGCCTCGTGGTCTATTCTCTTTCAACACTTTTCTGTACAAATTTGTGTCTCTGTTATCTGCCATTCTCTTTATGTGCCCCAACAACTGCAGTCTATAAGCCCTCATGATGCCAGTAGTTAGTGGTGGTTTGAATTTCATTGTTGCTTTTTACTTTTCATTCTCCGCTGTTCACCTTTCAACAACTTTTAAAATATAATAATTTGGATACTGTTATGTTTCATTACTTTATAACTTTTTGTATGTCACAAGCATAGTGTCACATGTTTTCTCACACTTTATATTGGTTGCAGGACACTAAAGAAATCTAGCTACCCCCTGGCAACTGTCATTCTCATTTTCCTACATCGTATGTAATTACATTGGATTGTTTCCATAGGACATATTATTAAAAATAAACCCCTCTATGATTGAAAAGGTACAAGAAAGAGAATTCAGTATCGAGTGTCAGAATTTCCTTGCTTTGTGGCACAGTTGAATAGTTTCAGCCCTATAATTTTTACTGGTTGACGTTTTTAACTTAGGGTTTCTTCTTCTTTCTTCATCCCCCAGTGGAGAAAAGGCTGTCAAGCAATTTTCGCTGTTGCTCTATCCTTTTCTATTGCTTGCAGCTCACACTGTGTCCTCCATAGTGTTTTCTCTTTCTAGCTCATTTCTCCATGTATTTTCTGTTTTGGTCTGCCTTTATTTGTATGTCCATGTGGCTTCCAGTGCAAAGACATTCTAGTTGTTCTCATGTTTTCTCAGTATGTGTCCTATCCAACGCTAGTGTCTTTTCTTTGCTTTGTTTGTTCTCTCTTAAAGCTCAATAAACCATTTAATTCCCCCTGTTCTGCGCAGGAGCAGATAATGAATGTTCGTAGTTAATTAGTAATTGTTTTAGTTCTCTATATCTCTGCTCTTTACAGCAGTGCTGATTTGACATTTGAATTAACAATTTTAAGTTTAGTTTTATTTTTAATTTTCCTTTGACTTCCACAAATTGCATAATTCTATGAAATTAGAGATGAGGATGACAGAAGAGACAAATCTTGACAGCCTTTCAGCACAGTAGGTACTCCAGTTGATACATTCTATTACAAACAGAACAGGAACAAAGAATGTAAGAGAGGAGAATACATAATCTCCGTATTTTTAGTTGACATTTATATTTTAAATTATCTATGTATTTGATACACTTCATATTTATTCTTGTGCTTATAATCTTGATTGCCCTTCCAATGTTTTTTTAAAATAGTTTATTCAGCAAGCCATCAGGAAAGATTATACGAACGTTGAAGAGATTTTGACCCCACCAGAAGGGCAGGATGAAGGTGTATGGAAGTATGAACACTTGCGGTGAGATAATATTGTAGTGTTATGTTGTCATTATGTTAGCTTATCACCTGATTCAGACACACTGTGGACTTGAATTATTTACATTTTCAACCTCTTATTCTTGGCTTTCACCAGCTGTAAACTCCAGTCCAGCAGAAAGTTCTGGTTCTTTGCCCACTTCTGAGCTGTAGTCTTGTTCTAGAACTTAAGTTTTGCATGCACAAATATTTCACTGATATGGTTTTTTTATGTGCAGATTGTTGATTCCTCACTTCTCAGGCAGATGGATAAAATGTATGTGTACATTCATGTATACCAGTAAAATGTTTAAGAATTACTTTAGTAGAGTAGCAGTAAGGGACATGTTTTCAGGCTATGAGGTACGTTGAGCATATGATGCCATTTGCTGTATATGCGTAGATCCGCTGTGTCAGTTGTGTGATCAATTGTAATTGTGTGGATAAGATACTGGTTAGCGATGCGCTTTGTATCTTGCTGGCCACCTATACTTTCCCCCAAAAATATTATTGATAGTTTGCGTCTATGGCTCAGGCATTGGGAACATGCTTCATAATTCCAGTGTGCCAGGTTCAATCCCAGCTGTGGAAAATTTGGCACCAGACTGCCTAGCTGTGCTTTTGACAGTGGTATCTAGAGACAACTGATGAGAAAACAGTGGCAAACTATGGGACGTAAAATTGCCTAATGAAATCACAAACTGGCCAAAAATGCTATGGTTGGTTCTGCAGCATCCTATAAAATACACGCAACTTATATTTTGTTCCTGTTTATAGGTTGTGTTGACCTGACAACCCAGGTCTATTTTTTTTTTGGTCTCTAGAGGGATTCTAATCTGTGTTCACCATCCAATAGGCAAGCGTGCTAGTTACTACTTTACGGCTGCTAATTCAGATTAAAACAAGTTTAATAGATAAAAAATAAGTATGTACAACAAAAGCTGCCATATCTTTAAAATACCTGCATTGAAGATAGAAACAGAAAACACTTAGGCTGAGGAAACAATATGTATAAGGTTGCATGAATTTGGAATTTATTGTGGATCCAGCAAGAAAGAACCTATAAGAACAAGAGATCGGCATATACAACCAGTGTGCTACTGGGATAATCAGCATTTTCACCTTAAGACATTTACTGCTGGGAATGAAGCATATATGGGTGTGCACGGTAGGCACTGATATCAATTATCCAACCTGAAACAGAAAAGAGGAAATCCTAAATTTAATTGTTCATAGGCTGTTTTATTGCAAATATTTTCTTTTTTTAAGTACATAATATCCAACATGTGTCCGTAGACTGTTTTTAAACTAAATAAAAATACCTATTTATTGTTTATAAACTATGCACACAAAGAGAATTAGGTTAAACCAGGATTATCATAATCTCAATAATATCATGTGGATGTAATTTTTTTATTTTACAGTGAAGTTGATATATTCATATATTCTTGTGTTACTTATTTGATATTCTGTATTTATTTATTGATTAATTGTTCTTGTTTCAAAACCACAGGCAGTTCTGCATGGAGCTGAATGGGTTAGCAGTGAAACTTCAGGTATGTGAGCTCAGATGTTTCAGTAGAAACATCTGACATTTGTAGGTGATATCAAATTTCAAGTATTTGTCAGTGTCTGTTTTAGGATTACCTTAATTGCACCTTGTACATACCCTTAAATGCTTGAGTCTTCTCTTACGTATGCTTTTTAGTGTGTTTATGCTGATGACTCCTATTCTGTATTGGTTGTTGGAGACTGCACTTTCGTGGTTTTCAAGTCACATGGCTCCAGTTAGTATATCTGGACTTCACATCCGTGGTTTACAGCATACGTTTTCCCATCGTTTAGCATAAATTGTGTCCATTCTGTCCGTATAGAAGGTCAACTACCTAGAATGGTGTTGTCGGTAAGGACATCAACCCTCTCGCTGCATTTCATACTGTCATGTCCTGGGGCAAAGACAAAGGGGATTATATAAAGGGTTGCTTTTTGTAATGATTGATGCCATTCTCCTCACATGCATCCAGTTATGATCTTCTTTATCATATTTATAGTGTCACTCAGAAAATGTGTGAATGAATTCTTGTCTCTTGAGCCATTTTAAGGTTTTTGTTGCAGCTATATTTTCCTGTAAACATTTTGCTGCATTCATTCTTTTGAAGCATACAGTATGCATTATTCTTCCGGAAGCATTACAAAAGTTAAGGGCCCTTTCTCCGCCTTTAGGCTTATGGGCATATAGAGCTAGATCTTTATTGTATAGACTAATTAGACCTTGGTGGGTGATGTGGTCAGCATCAAACTGGCCGCTTTTACTTCCCAGGACTAATTCTTGTACCCACTCAAGGCTGGGTCGACCTGGAAGCAAATGTCATTTTTGAAAAAAAGTCTCTGTCAGGACCCAAACCCATACCTTCCAATCTACAGGCGAGTGTCTAGGCTGTACACCACAGCAGCTCCTAACATGCTTGTATATCAATTTCATAGTCAAAGTAGAGGTTAGTTTGATACATGGTTTTTGCAATGATTTTACTACTGCATGAGTTTCAAGGCTTGGTACAAGTTTTGGTTGACATCATGTCTTCCACAGTGCACACTGAGTCTGTATAATAGCTTTGGTACTGAGTAATTATATTGACCCCAAACATTTTTTTTTGGTGTATATTATTTTGGGTTCAAACAAAATAGATTAAAAAAAATTATGAGTTCACTGCAGTCATATTTAATTATTTCTTCACATTGCTTTTTGTGATAGTGTGACCATAACCACTCTCAAATGGTCAAAAGGAAGGAAAGTTAATTCTTTGCTCCATCTGTATTTAGTGATTAGTTCTGTTCACATACAAATAAACCTTTTTTGGAACATTTAGTGACCAGAAAATTGTAAGGAAATTATTTTTCGGGTGGTAACATCATCAGAGAAGCAGAGAGCTTTGTGCCTGCTGTGTCTGGATGGTCTAGGGGTTTAGCTACTCCCTGGATATTGATAACCACTGAGAATCTTCCAGATTTCTTTTGCTTCCTCTCTTCTCCTAGTTTCTTATGGTAGTTTCAGAAAATTATAAAGATATGTATTTTTTTGCCAATAAAATTTTAGAAGTAATTTATTTAAGATTCTTGCGAGATGAAAGGGTTAAAATAACTACTCAGGCTTTGTCAAAAATAGTAGTTCATATTGAAATAGGTTCTTTAATTATAATTTTTGTGTGTGTGGAAACAAATGTGCTAATTGTCCTTTTTTTTAAAACATGTTCAGATGGAATGTAACCCTGAGACATGTACGCAGATGACAGCAACTGAGCAGTGGATATTTTTATGTGCAGCGCATAAAACTCCTAAAGAGGTGGGAATATGTTCTAGTGATAATTCATTTCATTATCTTCCTTAGATGCATTGACAAATTACCACATACATTTTGTGAAGAGTTATGAAGTGACACACAGATTTCCATAAATGCTCTGCTCCCATCTTCAGCAACCAGTACAGAATTCTTGTACTAATAGTGCCAGTTGTAGTTGATTACATGTTCTTCATGCCTTTCCTCTGAGCCTTGAGCATCTGTTGTAGTTGCTGGCCACCCCCATTTTCATAATTCTTTCTAGACCTTGGTGATCTGACATATTATTAATAGGGGGTGGGGGGGGGGGGGGGGGGGCTGTGTGGTCAATAGGCATGGTGTCCGCCTTGAGTGCTAGAGGTCGCGGGTTCAAGTGTGCCTGTTCATTCGCATGTGATAATTTTGTGGGTATGCATGCAAATGTAAGCTGTATGCATGTATATACATATGTATTGATGGATGAGTAGATGTATGGGTGGATAAATAAATAAAAATAATGGATGGATGTATGCTTGTATGCATAATTAAATGTAAGCAATTGCCATCCATTCTTTTCAGTTTTTCCTGATATTTATGTTATTTAAATTGCTGTGAATATAACATGCTTTGTAGATATGCTGTGGGGAAGATGAGTGTTTACTAAGGCTGAATGTAAGAATATAACATGCTTTATAGATATGCTGTGGGAAAGGTGGGTGTTTAAAAGGGCTGAATGTAAGAATATAACATGCTTTGTAGATATGCTGTGGGAAAGGTGGGTGTTTAAAAAGGCTGAATGTAAGAATATAACATGCTTTGTAGATATGCTGTGGGAAAGGTGTGTGTTTAATAAAGCTGAATGTAGGAAGGACCTTCATGCCCAATTTGTGATCCATTGGAGATAGTTTGTTCATTTCATTCAGATACAGATTATTACCAGTAATGTTTTCTACCTCTGTTGTAGTGTCCAGCAATCGACTACACCAGGCATACATTGGATGGAGCTGCTTGCTTGTTGAATAGTAATAAATATTTTCCCAGCAGGTATGTTAACGTTGTTAAATATTTTCTCCTTCTTGATATAATTCTGATTGTTTGCTTAGATTTGAACCACAGCAGGAGATATTTAAGCTGAAACTTCCCTTGGCATTTCATCACATCTTTAATGAAACTAGCATTGTTGGTGTGATCTTTCGCCAACCTTATGACCAGCAGACGGCCACAGAAAGCTCATTCTAAGAGCGCCTGAAGTGTGCTGCCTAGGACAATGTTTTAGAAGGAAAAAAAAAAAAACTAGGATCCTAACCTTTCCGATACTACATCAACACATACATTTATTAATTACTTGGCTAATCTCCTCCTGTTCAAAACCATTGTTACTAACCTCCTCCTGTTCAAACCATTGTTACTAACCTCCTCCTGTTCAAAATCATTGTTACTAACCTCCTCCTGTTCAAACCATTGTTACTAACCTCCCCCTGTTCAAACCATTGTCACATTAATCCATTTCGGCCATTTGTTAATTTACTCTTATCATAAGGTTATGATGTAAACTCAGATGCATTGCTTTCATGTAAAGCTCCTTGGAATAGAAAATTAAACCAGCTACTTCCTAGAGGACACACTTGGGATGTGAAATATTAAGCTAGGACATTGAGATAAGTTAACCAGTTCCCTTCTTCGCCGCCTTTCCTTCCCAGACAACAGATCTGCTGTTAGCATCAATGACAGACTACATTTCTAGTGTCAGTCTGTTCTTTTGGCATTTCTGATGGTTGTCTTATGAATTTAAATGCTTATGTGTGCTACTAGATTTGCTGAGACTGCAGTCTGTATCAGTTGTTTTCACATTGGGACAGTGAAGGACGTTCTTGTGGTTTTCATTGGCACAGAAGCAGAGCAGCTATGAGGTGACTGTTTTGCTAGGAAGTTGGAACTGTGATTACCTGATTACCTGTCCAGACAATTCCTCAAACAGTGTCTGGTGCCCATTGTTATTACTCTGGGACAACCTCAGACACACACATGTTTAAAAGAATTATCTGACTATTATTGAGGATTGAACCCAGGTCACCCAATGTGGGTTTCAGGGTCCCATTTGGTGGTGAGATGTGTATAGATCCACCGGCATTCTCTTCCCCCCCCCCCCCCCCCCACAAACATGCATAAGGTAAAAGGTGATATTTCAGGGAGTTTGCTGAGATAATCCTGTGTGGGCCTAAAAGTGCAAATATTGCACCTTTGCCAACCACCTGAATGCAGAAGGCAAAGAAAAATAATTTTAGGTCACTGGCTCAGCAGCGATGGTAGAAATTACAATTTTCTTTATTTTACTATGAGGCCAAACATGTTTATATAAATGTAAACATGAAATAAATTGTCATCAGACATAGTTAATACCAATTTGAGAATGAAATAAATCAGCAGTTGTTCATATTCATTCTTGATAATTGCAATGCATTTTTTTTTCTAGGGTTAGCATAAAGGACTCTTCAGTAGCAAAACTTGGATCTGTGTGTCGTCGTGTCTACAGAATCTTCTCACATGCATATTTCCACCATCGAGCTATGTTTGACGTGTATGAGGTATGTAGAACGAACAGTTACTTTATATACAATGTTGCAAAACATGCATCTGCATACGCCAACAAGCCTACCCACCCACCCACTTTATGATCTCTGCTTGCAATGGTCCATGATTGCATTAGTCCGTGACTGCTTTTTGGATGTTCAAGGCTTTGTCTTCCTCACGTTAATTAGCTGGTTCTAGAACTTGTGTTTTGCTTGCACATCTGTTTTACAGATTTGCCTTATTTGTATGCTTTTCAGTCAAATGCACTCCTACTTTAAAAAAAACAAAAAACTGATTGGTTCGCGTTTTATGGCGTGTCTGTTAGAGGTCTGTGTATGTATTCTTTCCTTTGTGTGTGTGTGTGTGCGTGTGTGCCCCAGAATGGGGCCCTAGAACCCTCACAGGGATGTTGGATATTCAAGGCTAAGCTTTGTATATACCTAAAGGACACACCTGGTGGATGTGTTTAATAATAGAACAGCCCTCCTCCCCCCACCCCAAGTTTGGATTGGGTTTGTATGTGGTTCTGGCAAAAAGGAATGTGTGAGTGAATGAATCTGAAGTGCTTATAACTAATATTTTGTAGGAATGATCAGCATCAACGCTTTGATGCATTTATTATGGGGGTCTCCATGGTGAAGTGTATCTGGAGTTTACTATACAACTGGGAGCAAAGGTGGTGTAAAGGCTATACGTTCACCTGCGGATCGGACTTTCTTCAAAATTGATCTTGGTTCCCAGCCTTGAGTGGGTACCAGGTGCAAGTCCTGAAAAGTAAGGCAATGGTGTGACGCTGACCACATCACAAACTAAGTGCTGATTGGTCTATACAAATATAGGTCTAGCCCAATACGACTGAAAGCGTTTAAAAAAAATATCCTTTACTTTTCCTTTTTTTTTTTAAATCATAAAAGTATCAATAACATGCAATTGATTTTACTTTACAAAGCAAACAACATTAAAAATTGTTTTTTTTTTTTCCTTTTCAGAATGAAACATACCTGTGCCGAAGATTCACCCTGTTTGTCACAAAGTACAACCTCATGTCAAAAGATAACCTCATTGTACCTATTGTTGAAGATCAGCAAATTTTAGAAGGAGAAAGTGATGCATAAACTATTGTAATTGTAGACAGAATTGAATTAATCACAGACATTAGGAAATTAATGTGGGCTTGCAGAAGGAGGATAGTTTTGATACATGTCTTTTGCATGCAAAATAATGTAAGACACTGTGCTGCTTTGAAATGACAGGACAGTGTTCATTCTGTATAACAAAACTCAATTCAAGTTGAAATGTTGTGTTTCCTAATTAGAGATCACATGTTGGATTCAGAATGGTATAAACATTAATGTCAGTTGAAATTATCTTTTTTGTGTGTATGAAGGTCCAGGATATTTATTTTGTTCTAGTATACTTCTTAGTCATATAACAGGGAAGTAAAAACTATACACACCAGGGAGATGAATGGTCATAGACCACGAGGCAGACCAAGAAGACGAAGAAGAGACAGACCTGCAAACACTTGGTGTCACCAACTGGAAAGAGAAGGCCAACCAGAGAGATGAGTGGAGGTGGGTGATATATGCAGCAGTGAACCTCAAGGGCTCAGAATGCTTAAGAAGAAGAAGAAGTATACAGTGGAACCTCGCTTAACGAGCATAATTCGTTCCAGAATCATACTCGTTAAGCGAAACACTCGTTATGCGAAACAATTTTTCTCATATAAAATTAATGTAAAATACGATAATGCATTCCATGTCGAAAAAATATGAACAAAATGCTATGTATAACATTTATTCAAAGAAAATTATATACATACTGTTAAGGAGAGTGAATCATCTTCATCTTTTCTTTAAACGCCAAACAAACTCATCTCCATTGCAAATACGATTTGCAGAAAACAAAAGTCAAAATAATTATGATACATAGCTTTTTTTTTTTTACTAGAAAGATGTCCGGACACATTTGTTTTTGGCCCACAATTACAAATTTGGCAAAAATGCGACACAGCATTATCATGAAATAAATTTGCAACGCGCATAGCCACTTCCCTATAGGGGGATGCTTCTCAATGTAAGATGCAACAGTTTGCCATGCTTTAAGCATTTCTCTTATTTAGCTAGAAGATTGTTGCTTTTCTGTTACTTGCTCCTCCTCCTGTGACAAACTTTCCTCCAAAACTTCTTGCTGTGAAACACAAGGCAACTCTAAAAGCTCTTGGGTGGTCAGCTCTTGGCTGTGGTCTTCCACAAGCTCTTCGATATCACTGTTATCCACCTACAATCCCATGATAGTGGCCAAATACACAATCTCGTTGACTACAGGTTCCACAGCTACTGTTTCAAACCCCTCAAAGTCCACAAAAATGACAATGATCTCTGGCCAAAGCTTCTTCCAAGCAGAAGTTAGGGTTCTCTTGGTAACCCCTTCCCCCGCCTTGACGACCATCTTGAGGTGGAAGTGATTTTTCCAATACTCTTTGAGAGTGAGGTTGGTCCACTGAGTCACCTGAAAACAATGTTTGAAGAGTGCTTTAGTGTAGAGCTTCTTAAAGTTAGAAATAACTTGCTGGTCCATGGGCTGGAGTAACGGAGTGGTGTTGGAAGGCAGAAACTGGATCTTGATCAGCTTAAATTCTTCAGGGAGGTCATGTTGTAGGCCAGGAGGATTCATGTACATATATCACAATATAATACAAAATGGAGAAAATGTGTGATCACAAGCGATACTACTGAACGATTGCTAAACACAGACTGATGTAACATGCACATAATTCAGGACTTCCCCTCTTCTCGCCACTCATTATGCAAAACGTCGCTTGTTAAGCGAGTCATTATTTTACAATTTGTTTTGCTCGTTATGCGAATTACTCGTTATGAGAGGTGCTCGTTAAGCGAGGTTCTACTGTACTTAGTATGGCTTATCTTGATAGTCTATCAGTTTTTGCATTTGCTTTGTTAATATTCACTTCATATGTTCATTGAAGGTCAAAAACAAGTCATTTATATTTTATTAATCATTAAACTGTTGTTAAATTAGAAAACTGAGTCTTGCATTCTGTTTTAGTTCACACCCTGAGCAAAGTATTGATATATCATTAAACTGTTTTTCATATGTAGAATGCTTTAGATAGAGACATCAAGTTGTTAATTAACGCTTGAATGTTACCAAACATTCAGTGTAGGCTGTGAAGTATTCAGTGTAAGTTGTGTAGCATTCAGTATAAGCTACATAGAATTGTGTGAGGGGCAGAGCATTAATTGTATGCTATGAAGCATTCACTGCGAGATATGAAGTGTTCAGAACTTGTGACCAAAATGGCTAATAGTCACTGACCGCTGATGCTCTGAAAAGTTATTTATTTTCAGCTAGGCTTTGCTGATGCAATTTCCCTATTTCTGGACTGGGAGTCTAAATGTTCTATCTCATAGCTACTAAATCGGGTGTTTTGGGGTGACACTGTGAGCTGTGGATTTTTTAAAAATGCCCATGGCGTGTTGATGACTGCACTAAAATGATGCATGGCTAATTACATTCAAACTGTACTTTTGTGGATGCAATGCCGGCTTTCGCGATTGACAATTTGCACGATCAGTGAGCTGCAATTCTGGTTTGGGACCGTGGGTGTTGGCACAGTTGACAGCTGCTTAATAAATTTTTATTTTGCATGTGCAAGCTTTGATTATGCTTGCTTGGACTGACAGGATATTCATCATCTGTTCTCTTCAGAGAGGACTTTCCATGCTTTCCTGTCCTGTGCAGTTTTCCATTTCCATGATGCAGCACTCAGATCACTTTCCATCATTCGTCTCCATGTTTTTGGGCACCCTTTCTTTCTGGTGTCCAAGTGAGAGCTGTTTTGGCAGGTGTATCAGGATTCATTCTCATAACATGGCCAAGCCCTTTTTCATATTCTCTTTGTTATCACACTGTCTACAGTTTCTTGGTTTGTGACGAAGTCGTTTAGTGTTGAAAATTGTATCCAGGCCAAAAAATTGTAATAATTCTACGTAGACATGTGTGGTGGATAGTGGATAGCTTGTTCGCATCCTTTGTGGTCATTCTCCAGCATTCACTAGTTTTCAAATGGGACTTCAGAGGAAAATTTTGTAGTTTCCACAGGGGGAACCTGTCAGCAGTGATACTGGGACCTTGACTAATGACTGAAGAATTCAGTGTAAGTGACAGAGCATTCATTGTAGGCGATGAGGCACCAGTCAACAGTGATGCTGGGACCTTGACTAATGACTGAAGAATTCAGTGTAAGTGACAGAGCATTTATTGTAGGCGATGAGGCACCAGTCAGCAGTGATGCTGGGACCTTGACTAATGACTGAAGAATCAGTGTAAGTGACAGAGCATTCATTGTAGGCGATGAGGCACCAGTTAGCAGTGATGCTGGGACCTTGACTAATGACTGAAGAATTCAGTGTAAGCGACAGAGCATTCATTGTAGGCGATGAGGCACCAGTCAGCAGTGATGCTGGGACCTTGACTAATGACTGAAGAATTCAGTGTAAGCGACAGAGCATTCATTGTAGGCGATGAGGCACCAGTCAGCAGTGATGCTGGGACCTTGACTAATGACTGAAGAATTCAGTGTAAGTGACAGAGCATTCATTGTAGGCGATGAGGCACCAGTCAGCAGTGATGCTGGGACCTTGACTAATGACTGAAGAATTCAGTGTAAGTGACAGAGCATTCATTGTAGGCGATGAGGCACCCAGCATCATCTACAAAAAATTTTGTATAAAGCTGCAAAGCATTCAGTGTAAGGCCAGGTAGCATAAGCTACTGAACATTATGTGTGCATTTTGCAGGATTAAATGTATTTTATGAAGTGTTCAATGCAAGCTATGGAGCTTTCAGTGTAAAGCTGTGGTTTTGACATTTAAAAAATGCATTCTCAGGAGTAGATTTCCTGTATTATGTTTTACTGTTTCTTTTTGCTATTAGAGTTGTGAAGCATTGCTTGATAAATGAATGAATGATGTTAAAAAAAAAATAAACCTTAATAAAATGCTCGCTGTTGCTTGTTTGCATGCTTATCTGGAAAAGCATATTTGTTTGATGTTACACACATATACACATGGGAGAGAGAGAACCAGTCCTCGGGTAAATGCACACATGTATATACACAAAAGAGAGAAAGTGAGAATCTACCAAACAACACTTGGAAGCACAAACACACTTAAGATAATTTATATTTTAAAAAAAATAGAACCAAAAACAAAACTGCTTATCGTTTTGGCAAATTGCTGTAATTCTGTTAGCCAGATTGTTCACTATTTTCCTTGTGCCCAGGGAGAAGATGAATGGGCATTGTTAGAATGTAAACTGACAATGATATATAACATCTTTGCAAGACAAATGGTTAAATATAAGTAATTATCTGATAGATTTCAAAATGCAGAATTAACCCAAGAGACTAGCCGTTTTCTGCGATTTTGAGTCTGTTATTTCCTTGACAAACTACACACTGTTGCAGCTATTTTGACCAACTTGACTTCCTTACTGAACTACGTACTTTTTGCATCTATTTTGTCCAACTTGACTTCCTTACTGAACTACGTACTGTCTGCATGTATTTTGACCAACTTGACTTCTTTACTGAACTACGTACTGTCTGCAGCTATTTTGACCAACTTGACTTCCTCACTGAACTATGTACTGTCTGCAGCTATTTTGACCAACTTTACTTCCTTACTGAACTACATACTGTTTGCACCTATTTTGACCAACTTGACTTCCTTACCCAATTACGTACTGTTTGCAGGTGTTTTGACAAACTTGCCCTTACCGAACTAGGTAGTTTGAGGCTGTCTTGACCAACTTGACTTCCTTAATGAACTACATAATGTTTGCAGTTATTTTGACGCAATGCAGTTTGTTAGCCCTCATGTTGCCAGTAATTACTGATTAAATTTCAGTAACTACACAGACCATTTTTTTTATACTGATCAAATTGATTCTTTCTGCAAGCAACTTCAGTGTCAAGTAAATGATAGTCCCCCGGGTTCTCATTTTTTTCCTTCAAATGAAGTCTGTAGGATTAACATCTCAAAGATGAGAATCAAACTGGTACAAATCCCAGAAACCTCATTCAACCCTACAGCACAGATATATTGGGGTAATAAAAAAAAGGTTAAGTAATCTAGTCCAATATGGGTGGGTATATTGATCATAGTAGCTTCTGTGCTGGGTAACTATAGTAAAGATCCCCATTTTTTTCTTTAGGTACTTCAGCATTTTTACAGACAGATCAGCATGTGTATAACTACATCCTGTAAGTCCCTGTGACCAACTGCATCTATGATTACAATGCCCAACTACATTTGAAGACCCCTGGATCATCTACAATCTCCAACTTCTCTGATTAGCTACATTCTGTAACTCCTCTGATTAACTACATTCTGTAAATTCCTTGACAAACTACAATCTAATCTATGACTATCATACTCAGCTATACTCTAGGACTCCCTTGACCATCCACAATCTATGTCTTTCCTGGTCATCTACAATCTACGGTGGCTCAGCTCAATTACATTCTGTGTCTTCTCTGCTTATTTACATTCTTTGACTTACCAATTACATTACACTTAACAAATACATGGAGTGACTGCTTTGACAAACTACATTCTGTGACTATTCTGGTGTCTCTATTTTATGACTTTTTTTAAAGAACAACAAATAAGATGGTTTGTCCATCTGACGAGAATGCCTTGGTACCAGATGTACAAGTGACTGAATATGAAATTACACGGGGTGGGAGAGCAGGCGAGAGACAGAGTTTCTTTCAGGCAGACCGAGATGATAGCGACGTTATGGAGAGGACCTGCTACATGCTGATAATGACAGGGCAAGGGAAAGACTGCGCACTTAGTGAAACAACGGCATCAAGAACATTTTTAAGGAAATGAACTTAACCCATTGGAAAGAGCACTAAGACGATTCTTACATCGACCACTGCCGGCTCCAGCAGAGGGCCATCAAGCTTAAACGTGCATTCCTGTTTTTGTGGCCGGTCAGGGCTCACCATTGTTATCGAGTAGATTTATACACAAATTGAACTACAGTTTAATTAATTTGTAACATGTGTTTTTGAATGAATTATCATTTTGAAGATTAAGTAGGCTATTCCATTTCTAGAAGAGGCGGTGGTTATGAGAAGGAATTGACTAGAAAACCTTACAACAATAGCAAGACTGATGCGGAGAGAGAGAGAGAGAGAGAGAGAGAAACAGAGAGGCCCCCGCAAAGAGATTAGGATTAAGGTCCTGCTTTGTGCTCTTCTGGCGGCTTCGACCATAGACACATTGTAGTGTTAGAGTTTCTCTTATGTTATCTTCCCATATTGTTCTTTGTATACCTCTTGATCTACGTCTTTCTCCTCTTTTCGTATATGACTTTTATGGTACAGCATCAGAAGGCATTCTCTCCACACTTGATTTGCTGTGCCTGTATGTAATTTAGAATTGGTTCTGTGCCGACTTTATCTCGTATGACATCATTCCTGATGTTATCTTTTCTGGTCACTCCTACAGTCTTTCTCAGACGCATCATTTCCATGGTTACTTATTTTTATGTTTTGTTGTGAATGGCCACATCTGGCACTGATAGCATAGAGTGGGGATAAATATGCTCTGTATGAGATGTCTCTTTGTGCTGACTAGGATTGTCTTATGCTGTAAGAGGGGGGCGGGGGCTAGCTGTACCAATACTTGACCAGATTTACTGCATCGGATGTCAATTTCTTCGCACAGTTGCCATCTTCAGTAAATGTTGTTCCAAGATATTAAAACTCAAATGCCTGTTTAATATATGTATGCTCTAAGGCTATACTTAAATTTTGAATCTTTCTTCCCACTGACATTACTTCTGTCTTTACAATGTTGATTCTCAAATTATTTGATTCACATACTTCATTCTTGGATATGAGATGTTGTAAATTCATTGCTCTATCTGCAATCAAGGCCTAGTCATCAGTAAAGAGTAGTTCGTTGATATTACTATTTTCGTTCCTGGGCTGCTAGAAACATTAAAAGAGAAAGTAAACTGAGGCGGCTGGTATTCACTTTCGATAGAAGCCTGTTCTTCAAGGACAATTTCGAGACAGTTGCAGCAAAATACCAAAAACATTAGGACAGTAATGGACATGGAACAAAGTTTGCTTGCTCACAATGTACCACCATTTCAAGGATTCAGCTAATGAAACGTGAATGCACACACAAAGAATCTATGATGGTGATTCTAGGATGTACAAGAGATACCCCAGTAGTATGTATGCGATATATACTTGCGTTGCCAACAATTACTGATAAGACTCAAATTACTGCAAAACAAGAAACACTTCCTGCATCTGAACGAAGCCCTGGTTAGAATTAATGGCCATAGAACAAAAAGAGGAAGACACGATTTGACATGTGCACATAAATGATTAACAGTGGGTGAGATGAGGAATGGGCCAAAGTATCCGAGCAACAGTCCGACTTGTGTTGGGCTTTAATCACATTGGGCGAAGAGCCAGCGGGCTATGCAGACTCAGAATTTAATAACTGATTCATACCATTTCCTGAGTAGGTAAAGTGATTATCTTACAGAGGGGTTGATGGTGACGTTCAACCCCACCAGGACAACACATCGAGTGATAAACACCCGGTGACACAAAATGCTTCTATTCGGATGAGGATCACCCGGGAACAAGTCCCAGAAACCCTGTTGAACCCATAGGTTGGGTTCTATTAGGGTCCCGACAATAGCCAGGGTAAAACTTTAATACAACAAAAAAATTGCATCATCACATTAGAACGCATGCTTACTTTACAAGCATAAGGGTTCAAAACCAAAACAAATGGTCGACCTTTAGTGCAACAAAACCTGGTATATGATATCACAAAATCTAGTTTGAGAATGGAAGTGGAGGCAGTCAGTACAGCCTTCCTCTGGGTTGAGAATCAACTGCGCACATATTTTGTGATTGTTAGGTGATTCACAAAACATGCTGAGAAAGGTGGAGACATGTATGCTCCTAGTATTGGCAAGCATCGTTTCAGAAGGCCTTGGTAGTAAGCGCCCTTCTAATATTTTCCCTGGGGCGTCCTGGTGTGTTGAGAAATGAAAATGCAGATAACTGATTCTGCACCAGTTGGTGGTAAACTGATGTATGACATACAAAATGTTATGAAGGGCAGCTCCTTTGTGAGCCAATGAACAGTGCAGATAACTGATTCTGCACCAGTTGGTGGTAAACTGATGTATGACATATGAAATGTTATGAAGGGCAGCTCCTTTGTGAGCAACTGTGATCTGATCACACCAGTTGGTGGTAAACTGATGTATGACACACAAAATGTTATGAAGGGAAGCTCCTTTGTGAGCCAATGAACAGTGCAGAGGTGCAACTGGATCTTCACTGTCTGAACTGAAGGGAATGGGGCAGCGGGGAGGAGTGACCAGGGGATCTGGACTATTCAAAACTCAGAGAAAAGACAATGCGGACATACAAATGAGACCGCTACATCAACGTAATTGGAACTCTGCATTAGCTGCTGAAAATATGGAGAAAAGAGGAAAGGGGTGGGAAGCTGCTAATGGAAATATTCGGAGTATATGATGTCCGTTTTGGACGTTAACCTGAGTTTTTATTTCGTCCCACTGACGACAGTATCCAGACAGTAATATGTTTGTTGACATTCATAGACCAAGAAAAAGCCTTTGATAGAGTCGACAGGAATATGTTGTGGGAATGTATGGGAAAAAAAAGAATCCAGCAATCATCTCATTAATATTTGCAAAAGCCTGTACACATGTTGTAAATGCCGCATAGGATCGAAGGCAGGGTTGTCAAGAACTTTTATAGTGAACTCTGGTGTGCGTCAGGGCTGTGTACTATCACCGCTTCTTTTTATAACATACATGGATACCATATGTAGCGAAACAAACTTTAATCATGAAGAAGATTTTACACAATTACTATTCGCCGACATCCAGGTACTCATTGCAAAAAATACAGAATGTCTACAGAACCACCTAAATAAAATTAGTAGCAAAGGGGAGGAATATAATATGAAAATAAACCATACGAAGACAAAGACAATGATGATAGGAAGACATAAAGACAATTTAGAAATACAATTAAAAAACAACACCCTGAGACAAACAGAGGAATTTAAGTATTAGGGAGCAATTTTCACATCTGATGGAAAACTGAACAGAGAAATTAGCTCCAGATGTGCCAAAGCTAATCAAGTAATGGGGCAACTATCTCCCCTGTTGACACACACGTAGATACCTCGGAGTACTAAAGTGAATCTTATCAGAACTATTTTTTGGCCAATACTATGCTATCAATGCCAAACGTGGACACTTACATCCTCCAATAAACGTAAAATTGTGACAACAGAGATGAAATGTCTTAGAAGAGCTGCAGGAGTTTCAAGGAAAGACAGAATACGAAATCGTGAAATCAGACGAATGCAAGGAATAAAGCCAGTCTTACAGGTCATCAAAAAACAACAAATGAGTGGTTTGGACACCTGGTACTATCTGCCACAGCGAGCCACACAAAAAACGTTACAACGGGTATAGAGCGAGTGGAAGACCTCGGAAAATATGGAGTGATGGCATTAAGAACAGCCTTACAGAAATGAACATCAGTCTTAATAGTGCTCTTGACAGAGCTCATCAACGTACATTACATCTCCCCCCGACATTTCGATGAGGTACAAGTTGGAAGAGAAGAAGAAGAATGGGAGAAGAAAACGACAGTAGCCAGCAGTATTAAACACGGACAATGCCGCTCTTCTGGTGGTGATCAGGAGGTAGATTTAGTCCCACAGAAGGTAGTAGCCAGCAGTAGTCGGTGTCAACATGACGACTTCTCCCCAGAAATTGGTCCTGCTTGCCTGTGGATCATACAATCCGGTCACTAATATGCACTTGAGAATGTTCGGTGAGTGCAGCATTTTTGGGGGGAATTATAGACTTAACAAAGAAGAGTTGATCTAGCCAGGAGGCATAGTTAGTTAACGTTTGTGTTTTTATCATTAATAAGTAAATTTAATACAACGACCCATCGCCGTTTACCATTTCAATTCCAGGAACCCCGAAAGTTGTTGATTGCGATTGTCAGTCGGACACTTTAAAAGGCCACCTGAATGTTAATCGTTATAGTTAGGTTTAGTGACCAACTCATCATACGTAAAACAGTTTGAGTTTGACAGGAAAGGGAATTCATTGATTATAAATGAATGCTGTTTTGATAATAATACTGATAACTTACTAAGTTAGTATGAGTATCACTATACTATTACTATTAGTCTGTAATACCCTGGAAATCATTTTCAAAATGAAAGTAAAACTGAAAGCATACCTGTTTTAATTCATTACTTATACACATAAAGGTTTTGTCAGTTGTCACTGTGGTTAACCATATCTGGGTTATTTCTCCCTAGAACAAGCCCGAACAATCTTGACTGTCTTATTTTGATCGTATTGTATAAAATCAAACAAAAATTCCAAGCTTAGTCCTTTTTTAGCCGCCTGACGGCCTGCTTTTTCAAGGACAGGTTATTTGCTATCTTTTTATGGATGTTTCTTTTGTGGTGAGCAATTACACCTGAGTTTGTTCTTTGTTGCCTAAGTTCTGGTTTTTATGGGTCCTAGTTCCTGTTTTAGTTGGCTGTCCGCTAGCTGTTACACTGTTCATCTGTGCGAGTACCGTCAGTCCTCAGTCACACCACCGTGAAACAAACTCAAACAGTTCCGCACATTGAGCGTCCCAAAACAAGGCCCCCAACAGGACGACTGTCACAATTTACTTGTTGTGCGCAGCCGTTTTTTTTTTTTTAAATATGTAGAGGAAGTAACAAAAATTTGCAAAAAAATTAGAACGCCCGAAGGTGCCAAGATATTTTATAGTTAGGTCGGAAGATGGAGAGAGACAGATAGCTTGCTAGGTTGAGAAAGAGGTCCCTGGTGTGTTGAGCTTCTGGTGTGATGAGGCTCTGCTCAATGCCTGCTCTTCAGCGTTTTGTTCCTGGGTTGATATCTCGTGTTGTGGTAGGAATTGGTCTCATTCCCTTATCTGGAAATAGACTGATTTACATTTTAAACATATGTGGGAAGGGGCGGGGATGTTGAAAGAGAAGCATAATAGACTGGAATCCACGAGTGCTGGTCCCCTTATTGTGCTATCCCTTTTTAGCTGGTTTGCCTCAGAGCGTTGGGTGGCCTTTGGTGGGTTCCCTCGGTTTTTAACTGAGAAAAGGTTGATATACATTTTAAGCAAATGTGGGAAGGGCGGGGAGGTACAAAATGAAATGCATAATAGACTGGAATCCATGAGTGCTGGTCCCCTTCTTGTGCTATGCCCTTTTAGCTGGTTTGCCTCGGGGCGTCGGGTGGCCTTTGGTGGGTTCTGTCGTTTTAATCTTTCTGAAAATACACTATGAGAAATTTATGTTAGTTGGTTTGTTTTAGTCTGAGTAATTCGCCTGTGGTAGAGAAGGAGTGGAGATAGTATAGGTAGAATAGCAGGAATGCTTTTCAGGGGGACATACAGTGAGGTCGGAAGAGTGAGTGAGAGGGATAGTTGGCTCTGTTGTGGGTGCTGGTACTCACTGGATCTGGTCAGTCACATCAGGATGAGGGGTGGCTCTCAAATTTCGATGATGAGTTTACATGTTTTATTTGTTTCTTGAAGAACTGCCTCACTCATTCTTTTGTCCGTCCATGTTATTCTTTACATTTACCTCAGAAATCATGTTTATGCTGCCATAAGATATTCCTCTCCTTGTCTATTTCTTATCCGTCATCTTCTTTTTTCAGCAGTCCAAGACCTTGAGATTCATTGCTGTAGATCTAACCTGCCTTGATTAATCTCACTGTCTGGTCTTCTTTTCTCAGTTGGTGACTCCCAGTGTTTGTAGGTATACATCTATATTATCTCTCCACTGTCTTCCTTGTGGTTTACTATCATTGAGCATTTGCTTATTATCCATGGAATATAATTGTATCTTTCAGAGATTGCTCGTGATGCTTTAAATAAAACAGGGAGATACCAGGTTGTATCTGGAATAATGTCACCTGTCAGTGACGGCTATGAAAAAAAGGTATGAAAGTCTTGTAGAAGTCAGGCATATAAGATTTATGTAACTAAAACCCCTTGTTTCCTTCTTAGCATTATTCAGCTGTAAACTTCAGAAGATAGTTCTGGTTATTTGTCCACTTTTAGACCTTTGTCTTGTTCCAGAACTTGTATTTAAAAATGCGTACCCATTTTACAGGTCTGACTTATTTCTTTGCAGACTGTTGGTTGCTCACCTTCCAGGAAACACCCCTAATTAATAAACTTTGTGATAACTAGGTAAATATGCTTATGGGGTCACTACACAGCATTTTTTCCAATTTATGACAAAAATATCACTTTTTCAATGTTTTTTTGTGTGTGTGTGTGTAAAATTCAGCATTCGTAGAATAGATTACACACAAAATTTATGTCATTTGTAAACAATTTAGCTTTGAAAAGTTAATACTAATGGCACCAACCTGTGCACTTTTTAAAGATTAAAAAAAGTTTAAAAGTCAGTTTTCTCACATCTCTATATTTCTGTTTGTTGTGTGTGTGAAATCCTTAAATCTCAGCTAATAGAAAGACTAGAAAGATGAAAGTTAGTATGGATACTCCTTAAACAATATTATAGGGACTGGTCTTTTTAAAAGTAGATTTTAGAAAGTTTTTGTTTTTTAAAATTTGTTTATTGTCTTATGATGCAAGATTTTTTTGACTTTTTAAATAAATCTACATTTTTAAAAATTCTACGAAAAATATTTAAAAACATGGTTAAAGTAAATAAAATAACCTGCACCTCTAAATAAGATAAAAGGTCATGAATCTATCATCTATGGTTTAATACGTATGTTTGTTTTTGATATTTTAGGATTCTAATTACATGTTGATTTTCCCCTCAAGATGGCGGCTATTGCCATGACAACCATGATTTTTTTCACACCTTAAGTATACAAATGTAATATCATGTATCCCTTCAAATGACCATTATAAAATAATTGCTCTAACTCTGTGAATAATAATAAAAAAATTTGGCGTAGTAACCCCTTATTGGGAGAAGGGATGAGTTGTTTGGCAGTTGGTCCCCCCCCCCCCCCCCCCCCCCCCAAGAGGCCCCGAAACCCACGCACGGAATGAGGCTGAATTCTTCTTCTGCTGCCAATTATTCCTCAGCAGGGTATAAGCCTACTTAATCAAGGCCAAATAGTACTTTATTGTTAAGTGGTTAAAATTAGTTGCAAATCCTTGACAAGACTTTGCAGAACCAACCTCAGCATTTTTTGGCTGTTGTGGTTTTTCTAGGCAATTTTACATCCAGTAGTTTGCCATTGCTTTCTGGATAGTTGGCTTCTCAGTACCACTGTTGAAACCAATGCGAGCCGCAAGGCCTGCAGCTGGGATCAACCCCCACATTACAAAGCGCGCTCACAACGCCACAGACGCCGACTGTCAACTGGTAAGACTACTAAAAGCAAAAAAAAAAAAAAAAAGTAATTGACATTTTACATCGCAGGCATATGATTTCAGCCTCCTGTGCTTATAGACCAGTTGCTTCTCGGTTGGTGATGTAGTCACCATCACACTGGCCACCGATACCTCCTCCTAGGACATTATCTGGTTATCCATTATAGGTTGGGTTGACCTTGGAGCCAAGGTCAGTTTTGAAAAAAAAAAAAATCTGAAAACTGAATGTATTTAAGTTTGTGTTGTGGTTTGGTATCCTTCCTTTTAAAATAAGTAAAGAATTTATGCTTAAGTTTAAAAAAAGAACAATATAGGTACACATTTGTAACTTGATTATGCATACTCCATTCCAGGATCTTGTACCCGCTACACACAGATGTGAGATGTTAAAAGCAGCTTTAAAATCATCAGACTGGCTTATGTAAGTGTTAAAATGTAAGCCATGGAGAATTAGTTAAAGAAAGGTGTATATACATAGGTGTGTGTGCAAGTGTTTAGTCTTGAATGCACATAAGAATTGCTAACACTGTGACTGACACATTCGCCAGTAAAGGTTTACCCAACCAGATTTGCATTCCGCTCGATTAACATTACAAGGATGAGAATCAGCAGCTAAACATCTCAGAAACCCTGTTTTATTGTATAGCTATATAGCACAGTTATACTGGGGCATCACAAAATAAGTTATGAAGAAACCTCTAGCCAGTGCGGGGTGAGTCCCATCTCTCACTAGCTGATCCGGGTCTGTATCGCCCTTGAGGTACAATTATTACCTGACCAGAGCAGTTGCAAGCATGCTTGCCATGAAGCCCAGTGGTAATATGTTTGAATCCCCTATGTGGAGGGATTTTTACAAAATAACCTGGGCTGTCAGATGTGCAGACATTTTCTGGAAAGTTAATTATGCTGGTTGACATGCTGTTCATCATGTGTGTTAATCAGCATTTTTCAGGTGTTGTTATTGACAAGATTCAGCTGCACAACAGGAGAATGAAAACCGGGTTGGCCCACCCCCAGAGAGTGTCAAAAGGTTAAAGAGGCAGGAATATTCAAAGAATGGGGAACTTCCTGATCGATCAGATGACTCCGGTTATGCCGACTCCTCTGTGAAATTTTGACTGCTGGATCAAATCACCCACAAAGTGCTTATTGGTCTGTAACAGTGGTTCCCAGTTAGCCAAGCCTGCAGACCCCTCCTAATTTCATAGGTTTGCAGTAGACCCCATACTTTTTAACTCGTTCAGTCCCAGGGGGTTTAGCAATAGAGGTCCAAGGGGTAATAAAGAGAGACATAAAATTAGTGCATTTGCGTTCATTGGCTTCTAGGTAGGAACCTATAAATGTGTGATGTGTTCTTTGGGACTGAAAGAAGTCATGCTGAAAAATGTATTATAATTTATAAATATTAGTATCACAAAAAGGATTGCATTCTAGAGTGGCTGAAAGAAATTAAAAAAAAAAAGAGACAAGTGATATGTTGAAGACACATTACAAAAAAAATAACACTTATAAAAACCATACTATAGTGAAAAGTTATTGGCAAGTGAGCAAGAGGTAGACAGCCATACAAGCGGAGAATAACATCAAGAGAGGGATGAACAGATTTCCGAGAGAGAGTACAACTTGGACGAGAGACAGTATATTGAAGCCAGCCTTCATTGTGGAAACATTATTACATCTGAACAACTGTAGATGAGTCTGGAGTGCTATGATGGTACCCTAACTTATAAATAATATTTTAAAAAAAAGATTAAATAGAGATGAGAGAATATATTTTATTACACAAAGTTTGATCCCATACGGCTCGGTCTTTTACAGTCTAGTTAATTGCTGAGCGAGGATCACACACATTGCATAGCTCTATCATTAATCACTAGTATTCAATAAATTGCATGCACAAACCAATCATTGCAGTTTAAAAAAGGGTTCCTGCAGTCTCCAGCCCATGAGGGAGATTGCTTGAACACTTTACCCTACCACCTTCCTCTTATGAAGTTGACAAAAAGTAACATGCCTAAATGTTCCTCCTCATCAATGAAAAGGCTTAACAGTTCACACAGCACCTGCAGCAGGTTTATCTTACAGACAGGGGCATGCATGTATGCACGGTATCATGTATTTGCATGCTCAGACATCCACATGGATGCATGTAATTATGAGGACATGTGGCTATTTTCTTGCTGGCTTTTCCAGGATGGATACATGGGAATGCAATCAAAGTTCGTGGACTCCAACAGCCAAAGTGCTGCGTCATCATAAACAACAAATAGAATCACGGCATAACTCTCCTTCTGTCAAGCCTTCAGAGTCAAAACGGCGAAAGAAACACAGCTCAGGTAGGCTGGTAATTTGACTTATTGGATCATAAATACAGTGTTTATATGTGCCACTATTGAGGTTTAAAGTAAAAATTACATTTATGTTTCTTTTTAAAAGTTTGTTCACTACTTATTTCAGGTAGGCTGGAAATTAGACTTATTGAATGTTTACAATTATACAATGTTTATATGTGCCAGTATTGAGGTTTAAAGTTAAAATTACATTTAAAAAATAACAAAAAAAAACTAGTTCACTTTCCAAGCAACTCGCGGTTACTCTTTACATTATGTTTTTCTTAATTTCTCGTCTTCCATCTGATACATTTAGCCTATTCTAACAAAATTTTGATTTACATTTTGTCCTTCTTCTTCTTCAGCATTTTGAGCCCTTGAGGTTTACTGCTGCAGATATCACCTGCTTCCATTCATTTCTGTGATTGGCCCATGAAAGGTGTCATTTTCTCCTCTCCTTTGTTAGAAGAGTATCTCATTATAAATTATGCAGAGTGGGTGGTGTTGAGAATAATAAATGTGTAAGCAAATCAAATATCAGACTGAGGCAAATGTAAACTTTATCCAGTTTGACCAAAAGCATGCCAAGCGAAGAAAACCTGAATGCTTGAAAACAGTCTGGAAGTTCACGAGAAAAGGAAGAGGCTATTTAAGTCATGAGAAAGTGAGATAGTCTAGTGTTGTTTTTGATCCTCGGACAGTGTTGTCTGGTGGCACTGAAAGAGTGAAAGTCGAGTGAATCTACAAGCAAGTGAATGTCTGCTCAAGCGTCGACATGGATCTTGAGAAAACCTGGTCATCTTGTTTAGCTTGACATCTTGCAATGGCTGAGCATCGTCTGCTGTTCGTGTGAGTGGGTGTGAGTGGTTGTGAATGCAATTTGGTGAGACTTGAGGTGTCAGTCATTGCAAATGCTTTATTTAATCAGGTAATGACACATTTAATGTTCTGTAAAATATTCCTAGATGTCCGATCTCTGGTGCATTGACTGAGCAACATTAGGATAATAAACATTTGTCATCAGCAGTTCTGTGTTTCTCAGTGTATGTTCATATTTCAAGCATGATGTGTTGAAGTACTTTTCAATGTGTCTGAGAGAAGACTGCATGAATTAGAGCCAAGAGAGTCATTGAAGCCTTTGGCAACTCCAGATGTTTGTAGGTCTGCCTGGATATTATCTTTCCAGTCTCTTCTTGGTCTGCCTCATGGTCTAAACCTATTCAACTTTGTACTGTATACAGTTGTTACCTCTCTGTCATCTGACATTATCTAAGTATGCCCAGCCATTTCAGACTATTATCTCTCATGATAATGCCAGTGATCAATGATGGTTTGAACAGATTATAAATTTGGTCGCTGTTTCTCACTTTCCATTCCCTGCTTTTTGAATCATTAATGGGTCAAGAGATTCATAATTAGACATGTTTTCAAAACGTAAAAATTTTTTAGTCTTGCTGCAAGTTTCAGATCCATGTATGTAATATCAGCTGGTATTATCAGTGCCTTTGATTTTAGCACATGTATTTTCCATACATGGAGTCTGGTCATGTTGATTAACTTCTTTGGTATTCCAAAGTCCTTCATAGCATTCCAAAGACTGTTTTTATGTACACTATAATATGCATTTTTAAAATCTAAAAAATAAATGTTTTTTTAAATATTTCCTGGTTTTCTCTTCTATTTATCATAATATGCTTTTAGCTTGTAGAAAATAGTAAAATCCTATAGTGATATATTTACATTTGTACTTGTCTCCTTTCTTAAAGCTAGGTATTAATATCTACTCTTTCCGCTGATGGTATATATTCTCTATCCTCCAAACTAGTTTTATTACTTTGTATATCTTTTAATGTAATGCATGACCACCTTGATTTTTTAAGTTCAGCAGCAGTTCCATCAGCACCAGTTGCCATGTTATTTTTAATAATACTTGAGCTAAATCTCTTCCATCTGTTTTCTCTAGTATGTGACTTACGAGAGAATCTAGTAAAATACGTAGATGGAGATGAGACTCATGTGCCAAGTGTCAAGCTGTTGTGTGGAGGAGATCTGCTCGAATCATTTGCTGTCCCGGGTTTATGGAAAGAGGAAGATGTAAGATTCATGTCATATGCTCATTTACATTGTATGTGAGGCATTCAGAAAGTAATACCTCACATTGTTTTCTCAGCGAATAGTGAAGATAGAATCATGAAATTTGGATACTTCATATTTTAAATATCAGTATTACTTGTTTGAAATATATATAACTCATTCCAACAAAAAGATCAGCTGCATTAAGCCATTCAAATAGAGGGGAAGGACAGTGTACATTACAAATAGCAAATTGATGTAGAGTTTCTGATTGCAGAAAAAGAAATTATGGTGAACATTCATAAATATGTAAGTGCTGTGTATAGAAGCTGTAAAGTTGATTGTAGCACCATTAGTCACTGTGTTCAGAGAGTTAGAGCACATAAAGGAGAGCCAGACCTAAGAATGTTATTTGTGATGTGAAGAATGTTGTATGAAGCAGCCATAAGAATTGACAACCAAGATAAAAATTTTCAAAGCATTAAACAAGGCATTAGACATGGATGTCTACTATCATTCGATTTATTCACTTTGTACAATGAAATAATAATTATATTCATACATGGTATGCCAGGAATATTAGTTGGTGGGCTTACTGTTAACAATCTGCGATATGCTGATGATGTAGTTTTGATTGTTGAAAAATGAAACACAACTGCAAGAAATGATGGACATAATTGTAACAGAAAGTTAAAACAAGGATCTTAGTTTGAACAGCAGAAAAACAGAAGTAATGGTAATTACAAAGAAAACTGACTCTCCAAAATGCAACATCAAAGTAAATGGGACATTCCTCAAGCAAGTTGATATGTTCAAGTACTTGGGTACTCTAATGACACCAAATGGAAGATGTATTAAAGAAGTTAAATGTAGAATAGCTCAAGCAAAGGTAGCATTTTACAAAATGAAGAATGTTCTATGCAATCTTTCTTTGTCCATTGAAATAAGAAAGAGAATTCTTAAAAGCTGAATAAATCCTATCCTGATAAACAGAAGTGAATCATGGCCAGTTGGTCGATTAGCTAAAAATTAATTGGAAGCTGCAGATATGTGGGTTTATAGACGAATATGAGAATACCTTAGACATATAAAAAGAGTTACGAGAATGTCTTGAAAGAAAATGACTCAAAAAAAAAAAAAAGAACTGATTACCTGCACCAGAAGGAGACAATCTACATTCTTTGGTGGTGTAATGAGGAGAAAACTGGAGTACATCGTGACATTAGGAAAACTGGAGGGGAGGAGAGGGAGACAGAGAGAGAAGAGGCTAGACAGTTTGACAGTGAGGCATGGAAGATCATCTGTGTCAGAACTGATTGAAAGTACACGAGACAGAAGGTTGTGGATAGACATGATTACCAGCACCACACAGCTTGGACTAAAGAAAGAGATGTGAAGAAATGTCTGTGAACATGAAAAACCTGATGCAGGCAAGGCCTGCGTTCCCTTGTTTCTCACTGGCTTTATGTCATAGAAGTGGATTGAGATTGCATAGAAACTTATGTGTCAATGACATAATGAGTTATATTGTGAGTGAATTCAGTACATTTTGCACAAACAGCTTGCGAGAACAATAATTTTTTGCATTAATTTGTAAAACATGTTTTTCCAGCATTAATTTCAATCTTTATGTTTAGGTAAAGTATTTTGTATTACATGGATGTGTGTCATGGACCCAGTCCTTAAGGAGGAAGACAGGGGCTTTTGAGCTGAAATGCAATAGAAAGATTTTCAGAATACCATGGACAAAGAAGAAAATAAATACTGACATTCTGAAAGACCTGAACATCAAGGAGGATTGCCTAGTAAACAGCATCTTGTCTCAGAAGCTGAAACATTTTTTCCATATTAAGCACCAGAAAGGATTGGAAAAGATAATAGCAGATTACATTGTACCAGGAAGGAGGGGCACAACACGAAGATGGGCACATGCTATAAGTGACTGCTTGGATATGAAGGTGCATGAGGCAGGAGAGCTGACGAAAGACCGAGTTCTGCAAAGGACCTGCTACATGATGATGTTAATTATTCAACACTCACTATCCAGTGTTAGAACCAACCAACTCTTTCTTTACCATGTAATTCACCATGTGTTCCTGGGTTGTCCAAAGACAGTATACTGTCCTGAGTCTCTTCTATCGTGGATAGTTGTTATGTTCGTCATCATCATTATTGTCTAATTGTACCATTTATGTGTTACATTAAGCTAACAGTTTATTCCTCCATTGTATTCAATCCTGTGTAGTCCTTTTGATCCCATGGATGGAATCCGGTCGAGCACTTTTGGTCTTTCTCATCAGGGATTTTTCTTAGGATTTCTTTTGGATGTCCTCATTTTATCCCTACATTTGTTTCCCATTTCAGTGCCTGTTTAGTGATTATCACTTTGCTGAATATCTGCCCAATATATTTTCTTTCTTTTATAACAGTTGAAATTGCCGATAGTCCATATGTTTATCTTATTTCTTTGACTTTCTTAAGTCCAGTTATTACATTAACTTGTTATATCTGATGTTGTTAGTTTAGCTCCTCTTGTCCCTTTTCTTCTTGTGCATTCACCATTTAGAAGGCAGCTGGCACATTATTGTATGGTTTATAGCTAGGCTGATCTTTTGGCGCAACACATCAAATTTCAGCACACCCTTAATTGGTCACCTTTTAAGACATCCTTGTTAATGGGCAGGGGGTCTACTCTCCCCCCCAACTGGGGACAAATCCTGAGAATCGAAGGCTACAGCATGTTGTTGACTACATCATTCACCGAGTGCTGATTGGCATCACATTTTAGATGGAATATGTGATGTGATATTCCATAAAATATAATGTGAACTAAACAAAACACAAAATTGTGGATACATAGATGTACATACTTACTTACTGTTTGTATTTACCCCTTTTGCGGTGTCTTTGGACCCGAGGATATATGGCGAGTGCTGACACCACGTCTGTTCAGGTTAGGATTTTATTTTTGGTCCCATAAGAAAAAATCCACAGCCTTGCCAATGTTTCAAACCAGGGTCTCCCATTAGGGGGCGTAGCATTCTTAACTGTTCGGCCAGTCACTACACATAGGTATAGTTATTGTTAAAACATTTCTGTCAACAGATAGAGTACATAGTCGGGAAACATGGTCTAGTGGTAATAACCAGATATGGTTCGGATCCACTCAAGTTTATTTATGAGTCAGACATTTTAACCAAACATAAAGTGAGTATACAACATTTGTTCTAGAGGTTTTTGTATATTTTCATGTTTAACATTTATCTTGTTTTTGTTTTTTAAACTGTTGTTTTTATCATATTGTTTTATATCTTTCCCTGTTAGTTATTTGTAGATGTTATCACAGTTATCAATATTGTTCACATGTCACAGTTGTCAATATTGTTAATGTGTCACATTTGTCAATATTGCTAATGTGTCACAGTTGTCAGTATTGTTCATGTGTCACAGTTGTCAATATTGTTCATGTCTCACAGTTTTCAATATTGTACATGTGTCACAGTTGTCAATATTGTTCATGTGTTACAGTTGTCAATATTGTTCATGTGTTACAGTTGTCAATATTTTTCATGTGTCATAGTTCTCAGTATTGTGTATGTGTCACAGTTGTCAGTGTTGTTCATGTGTCATAGTTGTCAGTATTGTTCATGTGTCACAGTTGTCAATATTGTGTATGTGTCACAGTTGTCAATATTGTGTATGTGTCACAGTTGTCAGTATTGCTCATGTGTCACACTTGTCAGTATTGTTCATGTGTCACACTTGTCAGTAATGTTCATGTGTCACACTTGTCAGCATTGTTCATGTGTCACACTTGTCAGTATTGTTCATGTGTCACACTTATCAGTATTGTTCATGTGTCACACTTGTCAGTATTGTTCATGTGTCACACTTGTCAGTATTATTCATGTGTCACATGTGTCAGTATTGTTCACGTGTCACACTTGTCAGTATTGTTCATGTGTCACAGTTGTCAGTTTTGTTCATGTGTCACAGTTGTCAGTATTGTTCATGTGTCACACTTGTCAGTATTGTTCATGTGTCACACTTGTCAGTATTGTTCATGTGTCACACTTGTCAGTATTGTTCACGTGTCACACTTGTCAGTATTGTTCATGTATCACACTTGTCAGTATTGTTCATGTGTCACAGTTGTCAGTATTGTTCATGTGTCACAGTTGTCAGTATTGTTCATGTGTCACACTTGTCAGTATTGTTCATGTATCACACTTGTCAGTATTGTTCATGTGTCACAGTTGTCAGTTTTGTTCATGTGTCACATTTGTCAGTATTGTTCATGTATCACACTTGTCAGTATTGTTCATGTGTCACACTTGTCGATATTGTTCATGTGTCACACTTGTCGATATTGTTCATGTGTCACAGTTGTCAGTTTTGTTCATGTGTCACAGTTGTCAGTATTGTTCATGTGTCACAGTTGCCTAAGTCTCATACAGTGACCACTGATGTTCAGATAATTACGGTGACCTTAGATGTTCATTCAATGATGATATCAGTGGCCATACATAAAGCAAGGAATATAAATAATGTAAACTACCATACATGTCATTAGAGGCAGTTAAGATGTTAAAGTAAAGGACCCTTTGAACGTTTTTCAGGCATATTGTGCATATAAGGCTAGACTATATTTTATTAACCAAACGGGTGGGTAATGTTGTCAGCATCACCTTGTCCGCCTTTACTTCTCCAGGACTGCACCTGGTACCCACTAAAGGCTGGGTCAACCTGAGAGCCAAGGACATTTTTGAAATTAAGTCCAGCCCCCCCCCTCCTCCCCAGGAACAGAACCCGCAACCTTCCGATCTGCAGGTGAGCATCTAGCCGATAGACCACGGCGGCTTCCTGCATTTAAAAGAGGTTGGCATGACTCCATAGATATTTAACTACACAGTTTAATCAACCGTGAAGAAATCTACAAGAGGTTTCACGTGATTGATGGCATATGCTGCTTTGGGAAATCATTATCAGGTCCTTTGCGGAATGTCACTCTCATCACAGTCTGCCTGAAAGAAACTGTCTCTCACCAGATCTCCTGCCACTTTCATATTCAAGGAGTCACTTATATCATGTGCCCATCTTCATGTTGGTCGGCCCCTGCCCCTCCTTCTTAGTACCATGTTTTCTGCTATATTTTTTTTCAAATCCGCCATGGTACTTGAAATAACCCAAGTACATTAGGAAATAGAAGAAAGAAAAAAAAAATTTACATTCGACAGTTTCTGTTTGTTTTCCTTATGTGAATTTCTCAAATTTTTTTTTAATTTAGCAGACTGTAAATTCTATTATTGCAGTATTTTTTTGCCTCCAAAGGATGACAGAGTCTCATTGAAGACACTAGTGTACTTCGAGGCACATCCAACTAAATACCTTTAAACAGTGTTTGTTATAGCTAGTTTCATCTATAATCCACAGTGAGAATGTTAGGAAGAGAGAGAATCTCACTGTAAGAACATGAGAGGGCAGACATAATATAAGGGATGTAGATAGAAAAAGAGAGTTGAGTAGATGTGTAATTAAATGATCATCCATCTGTTAGTAGGATCCTTAGGGGAAGCAAAAAATAGCAACACTGTGCCCTAACAAGCAAGTTCAGAGGAATAACTAAAGATGGGAATTTGATTTTAATCATGCCAGCCTGTAAAAATAGGCTTGGCTTGGTTTTAGGCCTTTTTTTTTGTAGGATGAGATAGGAGAAACTAAAAAGAATACTGTTGTCAGTGTACTATGATCATGAAAGCTTTGTTGTCAATGTACTATAGTAGTGATTTTTTTTTCATTTACTGTTCTTGTCTTAGGAAAACATATTTATAGTAACTGAGTGGATTTACAATGATATCAGCTCTACAAAAATTAGGTAAGATTTTTTTTATTTTGAACACGTTTTGTTGTGTTATATTATCATAGTTAGTGTAGAGAGTGGCCAGCGGGTGATACGGAGGTGGAAGTCTAACAATTGATTCACGACAATTCATGCTCAGGTGATCTGATTATCTATACAGATGGTTTGGCGTTAAGAGGAAAGAAGGGCCTGGGGGTTCATTGCGAAAGCCAATGGAAAATCATTAGTGCAAGACAGCCTAGCATACAACATCTAGCATGAGAGTGGAGGTGGTAACTGCAGCTCTCCATTGGCTAGAGAACAAGATGCATACACATGTCGTAATTGTAACAGACTCTTAAGGCATGTTGAGAAAGGTGAAGACGGGGATGCTTCGAGCAGAGTGGCAAGCTTCACTGGGAAGGTCACAGGTAGTGAGCATACTTTGGATCTTTTCCCTAGGCCATGCCGGCGTAGTGGGTAATGAACAGGCAGACAGATTGGCTGAATCTGCACCACTGGGTGGTGAGCTGATACATAACAAGGCATACCTGATCCAGGCCCTTTGGAAACAAGCAACGGAATCATTAGAGAAACAAGATTATTATGGCCTGGAGAGAATGAGGCACTTAACCAGAGGGTCTTGCTGGCTCACTATACTCAGTGGAAAGGCAAGACGAACATATAACCAGATTGTGACTGATACCATCAGTATTGGAACTCTGCACTGGCTGCTGAAGATGAGGACAGAGCACGCATGGAAATGCCCCGAGTGCTGTGATGTCAGTTCTTGACTCAACTCAGCATCACTGCACACCGGGCTTCCTCTGATGCAGCAGCCACCTTATTGCACTTCTGCTGATTGTTTGTTCTCTTGAGAAGTTGGTTACCTTGTCTCCTTTCTTGACCTCAAAGCTGGCACTGACATGCTTTACTCCAGGGCACGTTTTTGTATTAGCATAAGAAATTCATCATTGTCCAGCAGTCTAGTCTATATAGCGTTGATGTTTATGTGCTATGTCCCAGCATCTTCCAGCTATTTTGCTCATTCATTACGTTTTACCCTGGCATGCTGAGATTTGCACTTGAAATGTATATATATTTATGATTATGAGGAAGAAGTTAACTGAAAGGTAAGGTAATTGAGGGGATATAGAAAGGGGAGAACTAGATATTATACTCAAAACTGACTAACTGAAACTCTGTTCTTCTTATTCTTTGCCTTTCCTCTCCAAATTAAGTATAGACATTCAACTGACTCAGGCCAAGACCTGGGAATGGTACCTTATGGATGTTAGGACAGTTCACTTGTAAATTTGAATAGTACCCAAACTAACTGTTCTCTTGCCTTCCTTGTTCTGTGCTTTTTCTTAAAAAATTGTTCTGTTTGTCAGAGGGAAGAATAATTACTTTTGAGGTGCTACCACACATCACACAAATGGTCTGTCTCACTCTCATTGGCAGACTCAAAACTGTCAGTCTCACTCTCATTGGCAGACTCAGACTGCTTGTCTCACTCTCATTGGCAGACCCAAAACGTTTCAAAACAGCATTCTTCTGCTCTCTCACTTTCTCATTTAGCTTATGTCAGCTGCATGAAAAAGTCATTAAAAACTAATATGAAGTATTTGAGTGATTTGACAACCACAGTGTAACTGAGGACTGCATGCTTGTCTGTCTGCTTGGTGGTCTAGGAGTTTGACCCCACTGGATGTTTGTAAAAAGTGCCCAAGACTCCAGATTTCATCTACTACTTCTCTTCCTCTAGTGTCTTAAGGTTTAGTTTCAGAGAAATATCAGGATGCATTTAATTTTAACAAACAAAATCTGAAAAAAGGTAATTTTTAAAGGTTAAAGTCGAGAGGATCAACTTCATTGCACTGGGTTTTATTCCATATGGCTCGGTCTCTCTCAGCAGAATGCCTGTCCGCCTGCTGAAAGCACAGTACAGAGCAGGAACCCAGGGGGCTCTACGATACTCAGAGATCTCTGAAAAAATTTTCCTCTTAAAATGAAGGGTGCAGCCGTGGAACAAACTCACAACCTTCAGAGCTCGAGGCAAATGGCTTTACAACTTTGCCACAGAGACCCCTAAGTAATTTTTTAAGTATTTTTACAAGGCGAAAGAGGAAAGGGCAAATGCAGAAGAAGACAGCATAGCATATATTAAAAATATGCACATTATAATAATACACCCTTTTTCTAATTGCAGGAGGGCTTTACGGCGAGGTGAAAGTGTGAAATACTTAGTCCAGGACTCAGTTGTGTCTTACATCCGAGATCACCAACTGTATGGAGCCACAAAGTGAAGACTTCAGATTTGAAGGACAAGCTGCCTTTATATCAAAGATTTTTCTTATTTAAAGCAAAAGAAATTAGGGTTCTCCTTGCAACTATGGCCACATATTGGGGGAGTACGCCGGAGTTCAGTCCCCTGGCCACATTGCAATTACGGAATGGAGAAGGAACGAATCACACAACAAAACAACCCCAACCCTAACCCTAAACCCTAACCTTATGATGACAGCAGTGCACTGCACGCTGTCTGTCGCCACCACACAATAATTACGTCATTTGTTTCGTTCCCTCTTTTCCACTCCGTAATTGCAATGCAGCCAGGGGACTGAACTCCGGCGTACTCCCGCAATATGTGGCCGTAGTTGCAAGGAGAGCCGGAATTAGATTAGACAGAGGAAGGAGGTTGAGAGTTTATCTCTGCTGTTTATTACATGTCAGCAATTTTTCATGAAAGAAAGTAAGTTAAAAATAGGTTTATATGTTGAAGCAAAGTGTTTCATTCATATATATTACTCCACTGTGATTTATTTTTTTCCCATTTCATATTGTAGTTTCCTGTTATTTATTTTTTATTTTGTATAGTAGTCCACTGTGATCTATTTTTTCATTTCATATAGTTGTCTGTTGTAATTTATTTGTTAATTTCATTTAGTAGTCTTCTTCTTCAGCATTCTGAGCCCTTGAGGTTCATTGCTGCAGATATCACCCGCGTCCATTCCTCTCTCTGGTTGGCCTTCTCTTTCCAGTTGATGATACAAAGTGTTTGCAGGTCTGATTAGATATTATCTCTCCCTCTTCTTAGTCTACTGTGATTTTTAAATTTTATTTCATATTGTAGTCTACTGTAATTTATTTTTTAAACAAGATAGTTATTGCAGCTATAGTAACAAAGTTATCGTTGCTAACCAAAATAATAATCCCGGATCAAACCCATATACAGACAGGATTTCATCAATCCATATGGTAGGTCCCACTGTCATGCTTTCCTGGGTCACCACTGTCATGACCCTACGACACCATGTTTTAACCTTCAGTTTACTGTTTAATTCATGTTCTCACAGACTTAAAGTAATTCTTTTACTTTTCAAAGAAGGTGGGAACAGATGTAATTGTTTTTTTTTAACATTTTAGCATGTAGATTTTGTAACTTTCTGAGGAGAAAAGAAATATTTGGAAAATGTGGCTGACATTATGACCGAAAGGGTCAGAGTTCCTCTTTTACTCCATTTTAATTTATTTTTGCATGGAAATCCAACAAAAATTATAAAAGGTTGAAATAATAATACTTTTATCATTTTGTTTAAGCTGTCTGTATCACTTTGTACTTGTTAAGAACCATCCATGCATAACCAGATTTTACAGTAAAACAGTGTATTTAACCAAGATAAATTGCAGTATTTATCCTGTAAATATATTTCTTTGAGTGACAATCAATAATTAATTTTGCTTTGTGTTTCAGTATGATCACAAATTCTGGTTTTTTACAAATGTTGGATTCAACCAGTCATTTCTTCTTTAAATGTTCATATATACCATACACAGCATTAAGGGTAAATGTAGCGATGAGTTATTTTACCTTTGCTTTGTAAGTATGTATTTCTGACAATTTCAGTGGCTTCAAATATACAAACATCATGTCCACTGAATCTAGCCAAAGGAGGTGAAGAGAACTGATCAGACAGTCAACAGCCGCTAGTAATGTGACCCAGTGACACACTGTGTTATGGGACTGTGTTGACTATGAAGATGAGACGTCTTGAAAAATGCATGCATTTCTACAATGCAGCATCGTAATTTTGAGGTGACATTAAATCCCGGTGTTCCTGTTGCTTAACATTTGTTGTAATTTGCCATTGTCTTCTTGGCTCTGTGCCATATGAATGCTATACAAAAAGAATTTCCCAGAAATCTTTAAAAAAAAAATGCATTTTACTATACAGGGCACTAATGAAAATCTAAATTTTTAAAAATTTGTTTGGAAATATATAAAGGGTAATCAGCAAACACGAACAGAGTAAAGCATTAAATGGAATAAATTCCAAGGGGGATGTAAAAAAAATGTATAGGGTGACTCATGCTGTGACCCTATGACCTCTATCACTTAGGCTTGAGGGAAAGATTTGATATCAGCTTGTCTTTCAAAAAGCAATTGGGAGTCATAAGGAAATGCTCTAAATGCTATTTTTAATTATTATATTCAAATCCTGGCCTAAACAAAAACAGACGACTATGACTCATAGATGGACCCAACCTTAAATGCCAGGAAATGTTAAGGGTAGTAGAGATAAATGGAATGACATTGACCATATAACCCATTGAGTGCCAATGAGGTCATAACAGAAAAAGTCGACCTAACCATTTCAAAATTACTTACAAAAACCGCAGATCAAATGGTTTGCCCACTCAGAATGCCTTATGACGCATATCATACAAGGCATACACCAAAACGGAAGGACATTGAGCATGAGGTAGACCAAGAACATATGGAAAGATAATATCAGAGAAACTCTCGAGGCAGCCAGAAGAGCTAGAAGCAAAACCTGATATCCACCTTGACACCTAAAGCAGTAAAAGAAGAAGGGAAGAAGAAAAAAAAGATACTGATCGCATCACCAATTGAGTTCCCACTAGTGTTTATCAATATGGAGCTTTCACCATATACCCAGTACATCTCAAGGATTTGTAGATGTTGGCGGTCGTGGTCATTGTTCCCCACCAGAATTGCTGTATGTAGGATTAACACTTGAAGATATGAAGCAATCGGGAGCAACTTCCAAAAATCCTGCTCGAGTGTATAAAACAGTTGTTATACTAGGGCACCCCTACAGTTATGTAGTAAACTGCTATCCAGTGTGGGGCTGGAAGTTGTAGCTGTAAAACCAAAGTAACTGATGGTTGGGGATTTGTAGAAAAGGTCCTCTAGTTTTTACTTTCATGAGTATTAATATGCATCTTCCCTGTGGCTACATACAGATGTGAGTCGTGGACTATCTCTCAGTCCTTTAGAAAGAGAATAGGGGCTTTTGAGCTGAAATGCTATAGAAAGATTCTCAGAATTTCTTGGACAAAGAAGAGAAGAAATACTGACATCTTGAAAGATCTGAACATCAAGGAAGATTGGGTAATAAACAGCATCCTGTCTCGGAAGCTGAAATATTTTGGTCATATCAAGTGCCACAATGGATTCGAAAAAATTATAGCAGAAGGCATGGTACCAGGAAGGAGGGGTAGGGGCCGACCGACACGAAGATGGGCACAGGATATAAGTGACTCCTTGTGTATAAAAGTACATGAGGCAGGAGAAATGGCGAGAGACCGAGTTTCTTTCAGGCAGGCTGTGATGAGAGCGACGTTCTGCAAAGGACCTGCTACATGATGATGATGACCCTTTGATAATGTCCACGTTTGGCACTGGTAGTACAGTTTTGGTATGAATTTGCTGTTGAAAATCTATTTCTTGGATGGAGTATTAATATTTCCTCAAGCTGCACATTTAATGTCAATCTACTGATATACCTGGAGTTTCCACTAGTTTTCATGATTCAGTATATCAGATACAGAGCACAGCTTTTGTGAAGGGAAACTCAAATGGTTTTAAATGTATAGAATATATAAATGTGTTTTTTGTGTGTATTTAGAATAATGAAAAGATTTTCAAACTCCCACATACAACTATTTCAAATAAGATGAGCTCATATGTTTTTTTTTTTTTTCAAGTGCTCATCGTGTCAGATTTTATAAATAAACTAAAATACTGTTTTAATATAGTTTTGTTGTTGATATTAAGTATCAACAATGTATATATATGTTGCATGTAATTGGCATGAGTATGCAAATATGACATGCATAATTGAAAGCTGGATGCAAGAAAAATCCCTAAAAAGTAAAGGTTACTTGCATGATGGAGACCAGTGTTCTTCAACCATTCTTACACCCGTGGACTAGGAACATGGGAGACATTTTTTCATGTGGACCAGATGATGGTTATGGTTAAGGTAGACAAAAAAAAAAAAAAGATAAAATAAATTCTCAAAGCAGGGTTTCTCCCTTGTAAATTTGGACAAAGAAGACACAAGCATTAGATTGCACAATTTTTTGCGTGGCATATTTCGTTGTATCTTGTCAGGTGCATTCTACAGTAATGATGTTATCTGTTTTAAATTTGTTTTTTTTTTGTTTTTTTTTTGTTTGAGCTCTTATCTTGTCATATTATATCAATCCCTACAACGCAATAATGCGTTAGCATTTTTAGACGTAATCAGACAAAGGGAAGATGGCACTATTCAAAGACCAGTACACAGGAAAGACACTTGGATTGGCCAGTACATGAATTTAACCCTACCAGACCTAAGGCCCTGAACCTAACTGTCCCTATAACCTGAGCTCCTGGGCATTACCGTGAAAAAACCAACTTGATATACAAAAATATTAGTTACATGCAAACGAGTGGCTACAATATGATGAAACTTGGAGACATTGTAGAAAATAGGCTTACCTTTTATCTAGCGCCAATATTCGACCTTTGTGTGCCAATTCACTCATCAGGATCAACTTTGTTTCACAAAGTGAACACCAGATGTTGCTGTTTGATGGACACATCCCTTCTCCTACTATCGATCTATTTCAAGATTGATCATTTTTAAGATTTTCCGCATCATTTGCGCTCTCACTGACAGTGTCATTTCAAAAACGTATTCTTTATGAAATTATCACAGATAATGAATATATATATATATATCACAGAGTCAAAATAAACCAAAGTATCGATCACCTGTTGGACTGTGAAAACTATAGAACTTGGTTCATAAGCCGCTCGCTTCATTCTGAATTTTCTGAAATTTTTCACGTTAAAATACACAAAATTGATTCACACACACGGGGAAGCCATTTGAAATCTCTAACAAAGCGGACTGACAACGATTGGTTGGTTATTTTTAGTCAGTGACGCATCTTTCTCACGTACTATGCAAATAGCCGAAATTTAGGGCTAGCGGTATACAGAACAATTATGAAATTCCTGGAAAAAAGGGAGAGCGGGCTGGTAGGGTTAAAAAGTTTTGTACCCATCCAGTACAAATGTGGCCTAGTGCGAACATTATTTTACCATGCTAGAAAGATTTGCTCCAGTGATATGCTACAATCAGAACTAGAAACTTTATTATTTCATTGATATCCAGTTGGATTTATTCAGCGCTACCACCAGCCTCCTAAACCAACTACCACAGAAAGGTCAATCCCCTAACAACAAGTCTACATCCATCTAACCTTTTGAAGGAATGACGTTATAAAACATCTACATGACTGGCTCAAAACAGCAGTCAGTCAAACTTTGCCTATTATCAGGTTTAATATGACCCCATGCTAACACCCTTGGTGGAAACAACCAGTGTCGATATATGCCAGATCAAATTGCATCTACTAATTTAAATGCGGCTGTGAAGATGCTTATGTATGCAGAATTGATCGAGCCTATTCCAGGATGGGTGGAAAAAATCAATGCAAAGTAAATAATCTAGATGAGAACACCAGCCAAAAAGACTGTGCCTTCGCAGTAGCACACCTTCTTTTAAAATCTGGACAAACTAATAAAGGACAACACATTTTAAATCCTTCACACGTCATCCAATGGCAGAACGCTAAGATTTCTTAAAGCCGCAACTATTCATTACCTCCATCCTCAACTCTGTAAAGAGAAAGACATGATTCTGACGCTGCAGCTGTGCTAGTAAAACAGGCAGTTGCAACTGACTGTTGAAGAATTTGTACTTCAGTTATAAAGGATTCATTTATTTGCTTCATTTATGTAATTGTTACTGTAGTATGCACCTGCCGAGATACAACGAAATATGCTAGGCAATACATTGCAATCTATTGTTTGTGTCTTCTTTGTCCAAAATAAATAAATTGTGTGCTGTCTAAACAGAATGGAGGTTATCACAAGTGCACCCACTGCTTGTTGTCTTTGAGAATATTTAATGTTTCTTTGTATTCAATGGTGTGATTCTCTTATGACTGAAAGCCACAAGAACATTTTTGTTTCTAAATATCCAGCTGCAGGAATCAAGCCCTGGTAATTTGAAGATTAGATTGTCAAATAACTTTACTGACCTCTAAGCCATCTCTTCATCTTCAGCATTCCGAGCCCTTGAGGTTCATTGCTGCAGATATACCACCTTACTACCCGCCTCCACTTACCTCTCTGGTTGGCCTTCGTTTTCCAGTTGGTAACATCGAGCGTTTGTAGGTCTGTCTGGACATGATCTCTCCATCATCTTCTTGGTTTGCCTCATGGTCTATGACCATTCAGCTCCCTTGTGTATACAGTTTTTACCTCTGTCATTCTCTCAATATCCTTTAACGTTCCAGTTTTGTTGTCCGTTTAAATCAATCTGAAATTGAGCTTAGATATCTGCTTCATGATGAGATGAAGTTTTACAAAGGTGGGGATGTCGTCCCCACTCTTCAGCCCGCCAACCTGGAGGACCAAGCCGTCTAGCCATACAAAATGTAGAAATGTAGATATCATTTTATGCATTTAATCTAATTATAAAAATTACAATTGTAGCTAATGCAATATCTGCTGCTAAGAGATTAGAAAATTTTATATATGTGGCTGGAACACTGATTCTGAGAAATGAAGCACTGCAAAAACATCCAGTAGATGTCAAGTTAGGTTTTATTACTGACATGGCATTTATCTCTGGCACTACACTGTTGTGTGCATCTCATTCATCAACAGCAATGTAGAATCTGAGTGAGCTAGCTGCTATTTGACTGGGTGGAAATTTTTGACAGACGACCGTTAGATCACAGTTTAAAGAACACTGATGTAGACCACATCGCCCATCACATTCTGATTGGTATAAAAAAAAATGGGTCTAGCATAATATTACTGATGTGCTGGTGATACGAAAACAGTCCTTTCCTTTTATTTGCTCTCCAAAATCCTTGCTCTCAATAACAGACAATAATCAATTAAGAAGAATTTTATTCGGAACTTTAACATACACAATAATAATAAAACAAATTCTTAACAAAGCCCAGACTCTATAACATAAAATTTTGAGAGACAACTATAAAATGCATGACCACTGACCAATGGTTTCAACAAAAAAATGCATTTAAAAAAAATCCTTAACTGGGACTGCATTCTGAAAGATGAACACCCAGTGACTCAAAGAGACACTATTCAGATGAGAATACAACAGGAGTAAGGCCAAGAAATCCCATTATAACAGTTACATGCGGGTACTGGACATTTGCAAATGTTTGCAATTTGCAGTTCAATGGGTAAAAAAAAAAAAGTAAAGATCCCTTTTCACGCCTTTCGGCGCATCGGGCATATGGGCAGAGCGTCCCATATTTTTACAGACCATCAGCACTGTGGGTAATGTGGTCAGCATTACGCCAGCTGTCTTTACTTTCCCAGGACAGCCCATCCTGGTACCCATTTTAGGTGGGTTATGTTAAATAACTTGAAAAGAAATTTAGCAATTCTTTTTTTCTTTGCTTTCACCGGCTGTAAACTCTGGCAAAAAACTCTGGTTGTGTGTCCACTTCTAGACTAGTCCTGTTCCAGAAACCGAGTGTTGCATGCACATTCTTTTCATAGGTTTGACTCATTTGCATGCAGACTGTTGGTTCCTTGCCTCTCAGGCAGATGTACTCCAACATCGAAGGAAGCTCCGAATTAGTTGACTCTTACAACATGCTTTTGGGCAGGCAGTGGGTCTATTATTTTTTTCCCACAATGGGGCCCCGGAACCCATACAGGTTAATCCAGAAATTAATTGCATATGTTGTTAAAGATGAAAAGGAGTAAGCTTTATATGTACAGCGCAGATATGGTAAGAACTCACAGGGGACCCAAGAAATGTTATCAAAAATTCCTCTTATTCAGACAAGAATTCAAACAAGAAAATTTGCCAGGGATAAACACTTTGTTCTTCGCAACAGAAATTCACCACAACCAAGATATCCTTAAGCAGTCTGCACTGAATATCTTTCACTACTATACTGTTGCTATGACAGAATTCATGTGAGCCCATGATTTTCCACAGCTGAATGCAGCAGTAAGAGGAACCTGAAGGCTGAATAGTGTTCCACACAAAGTCTCTGGGTTCTCAATGACTTTCTGGATCACACCTTTAATAAACAGTGAAAAGATATCAGGCAAATGGAAAGTAGAACAGCTTCACACTGTTACAAACATAAATGAATGTTCGGGCTAGACAGCCTTCATTACGTAAATCTACAATATGATGAATACAAAAAAGAATACACAAAATCATTTAGCTGATGTATTTCTAATAGAAGTCACACTGCTGTCTGGTTACTAGAACAAATGTGAAAGATCAAACTGGTGCTGACTGATCAATAAGACAATGAAAATTTATTTCACTTTAAAAAATAGGTTACATGTTGGATTACTTCATGCACAAACTTTTACAGTTACATTTTATGCAGTGTACAATCTAGTAGCCTCATAAACACTGAGATACTGGAAGTAGCAGGTATTACAGCAGTTTTCTCAATGCTCAGTCTCTGAAGGGTCAGAAAGCAAGGACACAACTGGACAATGGGAGTTGCTAAGGTCATCCTCTATGGTGATTCACCAGTGGGGAGAAGATGCTAAGGTTGGCCTTTAGTACAATATAAATAAGTGTACAAACAGGACATGAATGATACAGATATTGAAATGGATTTTGCTGAATGCATTTACCATCACCATGGGCTCTGATTGCTATGCTACCTTATAGCACAATCAATCAATCAGGTGCAGTCTCCACATTGAAGGTTGGCTGCAATGGAACTCCACCATGCTTTGTCTCTAGTCCTGGTTGTACACTCTCTCAGACTGCTCCTGTCCATCTCTTGAAGTTGTCCCCCCACTTTTATCGTTGCCCACCTCTTGCTCTCTTCCTTCAACCTTTCCCTCCAGTATGGTTTTTAAAAGCATGTTATGTCTTTTAATAAGGCAAAGTATTTCAATTGTCTCTTTTTTATTTCAGTAATTCTCTTTTCATTTGTAAACTTTCCAGAACATCTGTATTGGACTGTTTTTGTCTCCATGAAATATGACCTATTAATTTATATGCCCATATCTCCAGAAACTCAATTCAATTTTCTAGTTGCTTGTTTATTATAGAAAGTGAAGAAGATTTAGTTTTTAATTAAAAAAAAAGGAAAAATTAAAAACATTATGACATTTATTTACTTAATTTTTCTGACATTTATTTTTCCTTGTTTTCCAGTCAGTTACAATATAGTGGACCCCTTCTTTTAATTTACTAATTCTCAAACACAATAAAAGTAACAACAACAAAAATCATCTTACCTTGTGTTTCCAGTAGCTGGTCCTCTGGTACCTCCCATATCAGTTCATCATGGATTTGTAGAAGTAGCCTTGAATAAACCACAATGAAACTATTTTTAATAGTTTTTTTTTTTCTCCTAAAAAGAAATCCTTGCTACTGTCATAACAACTTAGTCACTGTAATTTGGTAACTGTGTGGACCACCTTTACTTTCCAGAAATCTCCATTGACCTATTTTAGGCTGGGTTGATCAGAGAACCCAGGCCACTGAAAAAGCTCCTCAGAACGAAATGTTAAAGTTGAAACGATAAACCTCATTGGACCGGATTTGATATGCCTTGGTATGTGTCAGCAAAACAGCTAGCCTCTGTCGAGAGCATCATACAAAGCAGGAACTCCGTAGCTCCAGTGGTGATCCTCAAAGAACTCCAAAAAAAAAAAAAAAAAAAAAAAAAAAATTTGAACTAGTGAACCGAATTATGCAGACATGAAACAAACCCATTACCTACAGAGTATGAGGCAAATGGCTTGACCACTTACCTAGGAAGCCCCCCCCCCCCCCCCCCACACACACACACACACCTCCTGCCCCCCGAAACAATGTTAGGTAAAGAATTTCTTTTCATGTTTGGGTATATTTTTTATAACCAGCACTCAATGGGTGATTTACTCACTATCATGGCAGCAAGCTTCACTTGTCATGAAAAGATAAACCAAATGAAAACTAGACCACCAAACTTCACATACTTGTCAGAATATCTTCTAGTGCCTAAGCTATAAGCCATTATAGTAAATTTAAAAAAACAAAAACAACAACCCTACCTCAAGGGGGATATATTGTAAGTGATCAGACTTAGCTGAATTTCATGTCTGACTATTTGTGCCAACACTTAGTTAATTCTGGTGTGGGACTGTTAATGTTGGCATATCTGAAACTTGCCTTATGCATTTTTACTTTGTGTGTTCAAGCTTAAAGATTTTGCTGGGACTGACCTGATAACTTTATAAGGCAAAAGACGTTTTCTATGATTTTCACTGACACAGGAACAGAGCAGCTATGGGTCGGGTTATGTGTAGTGAGGTTAGAACCGTGGCTAATCAGACTTACAAGCAAGAAACTGTATGACGGTGGTTTCCCAGACTCTTTTTTACAAACAAACAACTGTTTACTGCCATTATTTACCACTTTTAGGGCAGTATAGGACTGGAGGACTTGAGGATTTAACCCTCTGGAGACCAAGCCTTTTTGGAGTTTCAGTGCCAAAAAGATGAAGCCTTCAGGAGGGGATTCTCATAGTTTATACACAAAAAATTAGAAAAAATATAGCGTTTAATTAACATGTACACAATTATATATATTTGTGTAGGAAATTGAATGAGCTAACTGAATATGTATGAATCAAACTGAAATCTCAACATTTATTCGAATTAACTATTCTAATTTGCATAATTTATGCAGGAATTTTTTTTAAACTAAGGAACAAACATAACTAACATATAAAAATAAGGTGAATTTTTTTTATGGATGAAGCTTGAACAAATCCTAAAACTTGTGTTTTGGGAAGTAAGGCCCTTGGAGGCCCTTCAGACACTTCTGGCACATGGTTCTACTCATTTTCCTGCCTCCAGTTATGTTTCGGTTGCTATGACACTATAGTCCTTTTTGCCATTGTTGGGTAAAGGTAACTCCAGAAAACAATTTACGTAAAATTATTAAACACATCAAACTTTCCTGAAAGGCGTCTATAAACAGCACACATGCAAGATATGTGAGAAGCAAGCTGAGTGGCTGGTATGAAAACCTACCAGCCAATCTCAAGGCTACTTTTGGCTACTTCGTGTCGGGCCGATATGTCGGCCCTGTTGTCTCCAAAGGGTTAAGGCAGCATGGCTAGTGCAGGCACAAGAAACTGTGCAGGGTAGGTTTAGGGTTTCATGACACAGTATTTCAGTCTACTAGCAAACCAGAGTTTAAAGTAACCCCTTTATAAGAGACACGGATACATAAATAAACTGTAAGAATAAAATGTTTCATGACACAAAGTATCCCATGAAAATATTTATTTTTATTACAAATATACACCTCCAAGAGTGACTTTACTAAAATAAATCAAACCAGTTCACATGGCCTGTCCACAATGCAGCCGATACACTAATATCATCACACACAGTAAGAAAAGCTCTAACAAGTGTCCTTGCATGGGAAACTCAAAAGGTCATTGGAATAAAGGCAGATAAAGATACAACTTTGAAAAAATTAATCAGATAATGAGGCGAAAAAGACTAGAAGGAGATGGGGTGAGCAGCATGTGAATGCAAAAGACAGGATGATGATGTGAGTTGGTTGATGGCTTATGGTCCACTGGGGATAAGCAAAGACCAAGAGAGGTTCAGAAATGAATAATTTGTTTAGTATAATCTGAACATTTGTACATTTATAGATACAGTTGAACTACTGACCGACATGAAAGGTGAGCTTTCTCCTGAAGTTGTTTTTCCACAGCCAACATGGCAAGCTTACAGATATCAGCAGCAGATCCTGTTATGAAGAAAACGTTTTTACACTTTTTTCATTTTCTAAAAATTAATTTCTATGTCTTAGTCTTAGTCGAGGTTTCAACTTTACTGCAACCGGGTCACACCATACTTGCTTTGTTTATGTGCCAGTGAAAATCAAATGTAATGTGCCTCACTGTCCCATTTGAAGAGCTGGTGAATAAACAGTCCTGGCACAATCCAGAAATATTAAATAATGCATATGACAGTGGCTAGAGGTGCCAAAGCCTACATTCGCCACCATAAATGCAGTTTGTCGTCAACAGAAGTAGTCAGTCATGATAAGTCGACTATGCACATGTAAAATTATTTCATAAGGTATTTAACCAGGCCACATGTAAACCGGCTACTGGCCATATACTGAATACAACGACTCAACCGCTGCACAAACAAAAGGCATTCCACATGAAAAAATAACTCACAAGGCTGCACCAAGCACTAAACTCAGTAGCTCAGCCACATACTGTCCATATGTGGAAACTGCATTAGCAAAGGGCTGTCGGAAGCAAAAATAACTTCGAAGCTTAACATTGTGCTGAGCCTAGTCCTCCGTTTTAGACTGGAAGTCAAATATGTTCAATGAATTTCTATGTAATAGCTGTCAATATATAAAAATGAGAAGCATGCTGTTGATTTCATGATTAATCTTCCTTATATAAGACATATGTTTTCCCAAATTTTGTTTTTTCAAGTTTAAGACTATGGGTTGTCTTATAAATGGGATGTGTGTAATATTTTTATTTCTTGATTTAGTGCTGAAAAATGAAGGTCGTCTTTACACATGGAAAAATTTGGTATATGATGAGTGCAGTAAAGCAGTAAAGGAAAGGTCCTTTCATGCCATTAAGGCATTGGGCAGGTGGTGCTAGACCCACATTTCTATAGATCAATCAATGTGGTCAACATCATGCCAGCCGCCTTTACTACTGAGGATATATGCTACTCATTTTAGGTTAGGTCAAATTGAAGGCCAAAGTCATTTTATAAAAATCTACTATGGCATGAATTCAAACCCAAGACCTGACCTGACTTGACCTTTCACCCCACTAATACATCACACTGAGCGATAAACACCCAGTGACACAAAGTGCCACCATTCAGATGAGGATCACTAGTAGAGAGGTCCCAGAAACCCCGTTCAACCGCCAGGTTATATTAGTGCCACTGGCATAAACTAGGGTGGAAGCTTAAAAATAACAGAAAATTCGTCCCTCATGGGGACGGGGATTAAAAACCTAAGACTGTACCAGCAAGCATCTAGCTCTTGTGCTACAGCAGTATCATCATAGGATCAGATGAAAAGCTTTTGCATCTTAGTGTGCTTATAGCTGCAATTTTTACAGTATATTGTCAAGTGTGTCCCCTATCTACTCTTTTTTTTCCTTACTATAAATACTTAGGTATTGCGAACACGCTTCGTAATGGCAGGGTGCCGGGTTCGATCCCAGCTGCGGACAGTTTATTCTGCATTGCTTTCGAAAGTGGTAACAGAGAGCTGACTGTTCAGTAGCAGTGGCAAACTACTGAACGTAAAATTTGCCTATGCAAACCACAACAGCCAAAAAATACTTGGGTTGGTTCTGCAATGTGCTGTAAAGGGTTCGCAACTAACTTAAGTGCTAACCATCATCTAAGAATTTATTTCTGATACCAAAACCAGTGTGCATTCTTCTATCTCATAATCAACAGTAGAGCTAAGGACTTACAATGCTCCCATTCTTTGGCAAAATGTACAAGTGTAATAACCTCCAGCAAGTCAAATAGTTAATAGCAGATCAAGCTTTCTGCTGTTTATCTTTCACCACTTACATGTTTACTATTTTAGGTCAAGTTTAAAAACAAAGAATTACAGCAAGATACATGATAAAACCAGGCAAGCTTTTAAATTTCATTGCTGACAGTTTGTATGTGTGTGTGTGTGTGTGCGTGTAATTAAACATTGAGGCCAACCATTTGAGCTTGGATGGCACAAGTTCAAAGTGCACAGATAGGTGGACGGATGGATGGGTGAACAGACAGACAGACAGACAGACAGACAGACAGACAGACAGACAGACAGACAGACAGACAGACAGACAGACAGACAGACAGACAGACAGACAGACAGACAGACAGGGTGGAGATGGGTGGCAAATAAATGGTCTTTTATTTGGACAAAAAAAAACCCCACCCAACAAACAGAGTCTTTACCTTGTACACAAAAGTTGACTGCTTGTCGCTGAGCCTGAGCTCTGAGAACTGGAGAGTTACTGTTGATATGGGGGAAATAACGTCGTCGACCACTCACTGTCTCTGTGTAGCCAAACTCCTGAGCATAAGTCCAACATTTCTTGGTAAAGGAACCAATAGCTGGGAATTGCACTGGAAAATTCATTACAGGAATATATATGTTAGTAAAATAAAAGTTAAGAACCATTTTCACGCCCTTGATACATCAGGCACATAATGCTAGACCTACCTTTTAAGTGAACAATGGGCACTTGATAGGTGGTGTGGTCACCATCACACCAGCCGTTTTTACTTTCCAGGACATTACCTGGTACCCATTTTAGGATGGTTGACCTAGGAGTCAATTATGAACAAAAAAAATCTGCCTGCAGTTTGAGCCCTAAACCTTCAGGCCAGCAGACGGGCATCTAGCCACTATGATTTTAAACTAATTCTATTTACATCCATTGCCAGTGACAAAATGAAATGGACATAACAATCGACTTGTTAGACTCACGCATTGTCTATAAAAATAAAGAGAACATTGAACAAATATTTTTGTTTGTTTGGAAAGAGAAAGGCAACAATGAAACAGGTCTCTTCAGGCTGTTGGAATCATGAAAGGTGTAGTTATAACATAGCCCTGCCCATCCCTAGGAATTGAGAAACTACATGGTAACAAGAGAAACCTAATCCTGACTGTAACTTTATAAGACAGGAAAACATGATTATTGGAAAGCAAACATAAAGCTAGACTCATACTTTTATAGACATAGTCCCACTGGGTGGGTGATGTGATTAGCATCACCCCAGCCACTTGTACTTCCCAGAATATTACCTGGTGATCACTTAGGGTTAAATACTTTGTTTCATCAACTGGAAAGAGAAGACCAACTAGAGAGATGAATGGAGGTGGGTGATATCTGCAGCAGTGAACCTCAAGGGCTCGGAATGCTGAAGAGGAAGAAAAAGATCACTTAAGGCTGGGCTAAGCTGAGAGTCATAGTCATTTTCGAAAGAAAATGTTTGAGTTGATGCAGAGCCGAACCCAAGACCTTCAGGTTAGGAGGTCAGTGTCTAGCCACTATTACCGAGGCCTTCACATATGTGTCGCCGTGGCATAGCACTAGACGCTCGCATGTGGATCGGAAGGTCGAGGGTTCGCTCTCTGGCAGAGCCGGACTTTTTTCAAAAATGATGACTCCCAGGTCAACCCAGCTTTGAGAGGGTACAGGGTGCAGTCCTGGGAAGTAAAGGTGGCCAGCATGATACTGACTATATCGCCCATCTTGTGCCGATTGGTCTCTAAAAATATAGGTCTAGCCCTATACGCCTATAGACGTTGAAAAGGGACCTTTACTTTTCACTTTATACATAGGTACTTATTTATAATAACATTCCAACTGCTGATTAATGTTAACTGCTGTAATCACTTTATTTAACAACACTGTTTAGCTAATCTAATATTCTTTTTTCTATTTATGCTAATCTTGACATGTCATGCATAACTGAAATGTGTATGAATTCTTTTACTGGTCTTTCTGTACACATTTTAGCTCTTTCTGTCATGCAGAATCTATTGTCAGATGCCGCTGTGTTAATTAAGCATTTCTACAATTCTATTGTTCAAAAAAGATTCCAACAATAAGTCCTTGTTATTTCGTTATGAGCCGCGATGAGTTGAGACTCAAGAACCAACATCAGAGCACTCAGGATATTCTCTATCTTCATTCAGCAGCCAGCAACGAGTTCCAACTCTGATGGTACCGGCAGTTGTTTGATTGTATGGTCTTGTATTTTCATATTAAAATATTAGTTGTTTGATTGTATGGTCTTGTATTTTCATATTAAAATACTTTGGTTAATTGGTATGATATATATATCTGTGTGTCTGTCTGTCTGTGCGTACGTGTGTGCGTGTGTGTGTGTGTGCGCGCGTGCGCACAGGAGCGTGTGTGTATATATATCAACAGTAGATGGCAGGCAGGCTGAGTAGGTCACTAACAATGCAAGCATAAACTGACAACCCCGTCATGGTCATCAAACTCTCAAGGAACATATTACTAAATCTGTAATTGAATTCCTATGTCAATACATTTCTGCAATGAAAGTTGTAATTAAATCATATTTCTTCATCTTCTGCGTTCATCCGAAGATGTAACTGTGTTGTGTCCGTTTACAGCATGGCTGCGATAACTGCATCTTTCGGCCAACACATCTGACTTCTGCAGGAATTTGTTGACCGGGTCAGCCATCCCGGGTTTAATCATAAATAATCCACAAAACGTTCACTTTTCGTTTGTGTTTGTTATATTGTGAAGCTCGCTGATCTACTTTTCGTTCGGTTTTATATCTTTCCATGATCCATAAAAAGATGAAAGGTTATGATGTTAGTATCAGGTAGCTTATGGAAATCTATATGTATTTACCTAATGTTTTATCTACACATAATATATTCCATATCTTTGTAAATGTTGTTTTAATGACACATTTTTATTTTTAAAAAAAACCCAAAATACTTCAGGTACCTACAAAGAAAACTTGTTATGATTTCCTGTGCAATGTCAGGCTTCACTTTCAAATACTCAGATAATTTGTCTTTCCCTTTATTAGAAACAAAAGATTTCATAAGTCAATGACAAAAACATAAAGCAATAAAAGATCCCTTTTCACGCCTTTAGCACATCAGGAATATGGGAAGAGCACCCATATTTTTACAGACCAATCGGCACTAGGTGGGTAATATGGTCAGCATTACACCGGCTGTCTTTACTTCCCCAGGACATCCATCCTGGTACCCATTTGAGGCTGGGTCGACCTGCGACGTCCCATGCCATGATAAAAATCCATGTAGCCAGCAGTGAGTTTCGACCGCGGTACGTTGGAATTACGAGTCAGACTCGCAACGCCTAAGCCACAGACGCCGCACGATGAAATCATGTTCGTCCAGAATGATATTGAAAATTATATGCTATAGTGATATTTGTAAAACAGAAGTTAATGTGTTTCCCATTTCTGAGGTAAGTATGAGTTTTTATATGTGTCTGCATAATTTATAGTTTAACAGTTAACTATCTGTTAGCATCTTTCCATATTTCTAAATGACAGTTCTATAAAGAGGCACAATGTTATATCGAGCCTGTTCTGTTGTATTTGTGTGTAAATGTTTACCCTGACAGTTCTCTAGTAGAAGTATTACTGTATAAATATTTACCCTGAGAGTTCTCTGATAGAAGTATTACTGTATAAATATTTACCCTGAGAGTTCTCTGATAGAAGTATTAATGTGTAAATGTTCACGCTGAGAGTTCTCTGGCAGAAGTATTAGTATGTGAAAGTTGACTCTGAGTGTTCTCTGGTAGAAGTATTCATGTGTAAATGTTCACCATAAGAGTTCTCTGGTAGAAGTATTAGTATGTGAAAGTTGACTCTGAGTGTTCTCTGGTAGAAGTATTCATGTGTAAATGTTCACCATAAGAGTTCTCTGGTAGAAGTATTACTGTATAAATATTTACCCTGACAGTTCTCTGGTAGAAGTATTACTGTATAAATATTTACCCTGAGAGTTCTCTGATAGAAGTATTACTGTATAAATATTTACCCTGAGAGTTCTCTGATAGAAGTATTAATGTGTAAATGTTCACGCTGAGAGTTCTCTGGCAGAAGTATTACTGTATAAATATTTACCCTGAGAGTTCTGTGGTAGAAATATTACTGTGTAAATGTTTACCCTAACAGTACTCTGGCAGAACTATTAATGTGTAAATGTTGGACCTGAGAGTTTTCTGGCAGTAGTATTAGTATGTGAAAGTTGACTCTGAGTGTTCTCTGGTAGAAGTATTATTGTGTAAATGTTCATCCTGAGAGTTCCCTGGTAGAAGTATTACTGTGTGAATATTCACCCTGAGAGTTTTCTGGTAGAAATATTACTGTGTAATAGTTCATCCAGAGTGTTCTCTGGTAGAAGTTTTACTGTGTAAATGTTCATCCTGAGAGTTCTCTGATAGAAGCATTACTGTGTAGATGTCATTCAACACATCTGCCAATTTTAAAAGGCGTTGTGAAAATGTTTGGTTTAATATACCTTAGAATGGTATGAATGATGTCATATATGTAACAATCTTATTCAAATTTTTAGAAGCTGGATTAGCAGCTGACGAACAAAATGACAAAGCGCCGCCAAAGCTATGGACTGGTAATATTAAAGAAGGGACAGACTATAGCACTACAATACTTATAACATGCTGAAGAAATGGACCAGCGACAGATTTTTTTAGTAATGTCAAGTAAATTACATTTTTCACACTACTGATCATTGGGTATATGGTGCTAAATCCAGGGCCCTTTTTTCTGTTAAATACCAGTATTTAGTACCAGCACCATTTTTAGACGTCATTTACCCCCCCCCCCCCCCCCCGCCCCGCCCTCAGTATTATTGTAACAGACACTTTGTGGTAAGGATAGGCACCTTTTAGACCCTTTGTGTTGAGTACAGGTATCTTGTTTCCTAAAAAAAAGTCCAGATTAAAAATGTTCCAACCACCCTGGCTGCCTTTGCCTCCCGAGACATTTCCTGGTACCCATTTCAGGCTAGGTTGATCAGGGAGCTAAAGTCAATTTTGACAAATCTGACTGTGATATGGATTTAAACACACAACCTCTGGACAGGTGGACAAGTATCTAGCAACTGCACTATCATGACTTCTGGCGGTCTTTCACTACAATCTAATCAGTGTGATTATACTATGAAAAAATTTAAGATAAGATAAGATAAGGAAAACGATTCATCATAGACATTACAAAAAAAAAAAAAAAAAATTCAATTAAGTGGTAATGTCAACTGGATCAAAGCCATAGCTTTAGGACAACACTTACTAAAATGCTATCAAAGATAAGATTAAACCAAAAAAAAAGTGACACTGTACCAACACCATACATGACAGAGTAGACCACTCTCTTTGTCTGCTCTCTATCTGCAGAGGTAACTTCACTGCTTGTCTTGTTTTGCCTATTGATATATATGTATGTATATATATATATATATATGTATATATGTATATATATGTATGTATATATGTATATATATATGTATTTACATATATCTTTACACACAAACACACACAATATGTATACAAACACATACACATATATATTTAAACACAGGCACACACACACAATAATATGTATGTGTGTGTACATATTAAAGCTATTTACTGGGGTGGGGGTGGGGGGAGGGTCCTCAGCCCCCTTCATTTTTTTTGGGGGGGGGGGGGGGGAAGGGAGTGGGTGCTCTCAAAAGGACCTGAGCCTCTAGGTTTATGCGCCTATGCATACAAAATGACTTTAACAAGTGCTGCAATGCTAAATACCCAGAAATAAATAGATGGGCAACCCATGGGGGCCATAGAAATATTATATATATATATGTGGAATAAACAGACAAAAAGACACTTGTTTTAGGGGTGCCTAGTTGGTCATCTGTCTCAATACACATTTCTGCAATGACGTATCATCGATTGGAGGTGACAGGTTCCATTCCCGGCATGGTAAACGTTTTTGATTTTAATATTGTCTAGTGTGTCCTATCTTTCTACGAGTGCTAATCAATACACGTCTGTTCTTTATTATATATAATATTGAATACCAAAGATAGTTGCAGTTGCATCACACTTACATGCTAGTCCTGATGTTATGTATTTTAATTACTGTCAGGAAAAGTATTTTTTAATAAGTGACCTCGGCATCAAGGCCAACCCAGCCTAGTACTGGTATCAGAAGTTATTCTAGGATATAAAGGCAGCTAGCATGATACCTAAATAAAATCACACATCAAGTGCTGGTTTCCCAGAGTGGGTTCTGGAGCCCCAATATGGGGGCAAGAAAGAACAGACCCACTGCCCCGTAACAAGCATGTCGTAAAAGTTGACTAATTAGGAATGATTCCTTTAAAGTCAGAGTGGATCTGCCTGAGAGGTGAGGAACCAACAGTCTGCATACAAACAAGCCAGATTTGTATGACAGATATGCACACAGAATTCAAGTTCTGGAACCAGACTAAAGTCCAGAAGAGGACAAACAACCACAGAACTTTCAGCTGGAGTTTACATCCCATGAACACGAAGAAAAAGAGTTGTTTGGTCTATAATAATGTGGTGAAAAGCAGATATCTTTTACAACTCATAAAATCAAGTTCTTTTTTTTTTACTGTATTCTGTTATTGTCTAGATTATTACCATTGTTTTGTGAGCAAAATGAAGACATCTTCGCCTGCAGTGTTCTTGAAAAGTGACTGCAAAGTACTGTCTCCTGACAAATGAGCTAGTACTCTCAGTTCAGTCTGTTGGAAATCTGTAAAGATTTTTTGTGATGTCACAGAAGTGAAATGAGTAAGATTGAAAACAAGTAAATGTTACAATATTTGGTGTAATAAATAACACAACTGACTGTTAGAAGCTAACACAATTGTTAAATAGCTTTTTTGTGTTAAAGTTAACCTCTTCTTCTGCCTTTCTAATTCCCAATGGAGCATAGACCCTCAACCAACTCATGTCAAGTGGTTCTATCCTTCGCTATCGCTTGCAGTTCTTCCCATGTCCTCTCCATCTTTTTAACTTCACTCTCTACCTCCCTTCTCCATGTGTTTTTCCTTTATTTCTATTTCCCTGTGTGTTCCAGTGCAAGACATTCTAGTTATATTGTTCTCAGGTTTTCTCACCAATGCCAACATCTTTTCTTCACCTCTTGGTCAACTGGAATTTGTTTAGTTTCTCCCAAAGCTCTACATCAGTGATTCTGTTTTACCATTTAATTCCCTTCATTCTGCGCAGGTACCATCAATAAATGTTTGTAGTTTATTAGTAACTTCTTTAATTGTTCTCCATGCTTCCGCTCCATACAACAATACTTACCTGACATTTGAATTTAAAAAATGTAAAGTTTAGTTTTAGTTTTATTTTATTTTGACCTCTACAAATTTCATAGTGCTATGACAACTCCTCTACAGCAAATTAATGTAGATGATATAAGATGTGTGGAATTAGAATAATTTACAATGAGAAGATGGCAGGGCCAGACAAAATCAAATTACCTGCAGCCAGGAATACACAACCAGGTCTGCTGATAAATGGCTCTCTTGCATGGATATCAACACTTGACATCTCTGATCCTGGAACATAATGTTTCCTGTTACTGGTTTTACAAGCAAGACAGAAGTAAGTAAGTTAATTCATACCTTAAACTGCCATATAATGTCAATCAGCCTACAGTAGTCTGTGAAGTTATGCAGTAGACATAGTAACTCAGTGGCCAGACACTTGCCTGTTGGTCTGAAAGTCTTGGTTATAATCTGCATTAAAGTAGATACTTTACAAATAATTTTGGCTTCAATACTGGCCAAACCTAAAACTGGGACCAAGAAATAGTCTTAGAAAATTAATATTGAGTCCCTATCTAATTCCTGGTTTCCTTTGTGTAGGGGAACAAACCCACCCCCCGACCCACCCCCCCCCCCCCCCCCCCCCCAGCAAATGTGTCATAAAAGACAACTAAGTAGGAGTGTTTCCTTTGGAGTCAAAATGCATTTGCTTGAGGCAAGGAACCAACAATCTGCATACAAATAGGCTGGATGTGCACAGAATGAACAACTAGAACTTTCCACCAGAGTTTACAGCCAGTGAAAGTTAAGAAGAAGAATTAATGTTAAGAAGAAAATTAATGTTGAAAGGCAAAGTTGACAAGTGTGATTGAGTGTAAACTAGATTAAAAAAAAAATGGATTGAGCACCATATGCCCAATGTGCTAATGGCATGAGAAGGTAACATCAAGGTGTCTATTGTTAGCTAAATCTACCTGGGAGCACAAGTCAATAGACAAATGTCCACATCAAAGGATTTGAACATACGACCCTGGAAAAGTTAACCCGGGTAATAAATGCCTGCAGAAGTTGGATGTGAAAACATCCAACAAGAAAAAAAAATCCCCATCTAACATCGATATGTTAGGCTTCCTACTTGTCACAGGCTGCGCCCCCCCCCCCCCCCCCCCCCCCCCATAGAGGTCACCAGGGGGCAGGTCTGGGACTTCGATGGCCACACAAATAGGTATATACTTCTTCAGCATGTTGGACACCTTTAACGCTGTTTCATCTGCACGCTTTGCACAACTGTAAGGAAAGCTTTGGTTCCCCTATTTTATCCCCATATTCTAGCAAGCGCGGACAATGGTAATAGCCATTTGAACCTTTCTGCCAACCAGGAGTCGCAAGTCTCTTGAGAATCGCTTCATTTTTACCCTGGGGACTTTAACAACCTCCGGACTGAATTGCCAAAACAGTTTCATTTAAACTTCCAGGGGATTGAACTGCCCTTACAGTTTTATCTCCAACCCCCCAGTTATGGCCCTGGTACTCCACAGGGAGTATTTATTCCCCCAGCCAACATGTGTAGTCCTTCTGCTGAGAAACAACTGACCCGGCTGCTTCGAGATACTAGCTAAGTGATTTTGTGTATCTGTGTAGTATTGTTTCCTTTGTATGTGCTGATGAAGGCTCAATAGCTGCAATGTTCAAGTTTTGTTTGTTTTTGTTATATTGTGAAGCTTGCTAATTTTCTGTTCGTTTGGTTTTATATCTTTTCTTGCCAGCCAGGACTTTTGATTTGCCAGACATTTAGGACATACTATATCCAGTTTCGTCCTTTTTAGGACAAAATTTGTTGTTATTTGAAGCCCCACTCTGGCTTTTGCCAGGGGCCACAATATAGGCCGGCCATAAATATGGCCAATTGTCTGAACGCAGTTCCTGGGACCTCTCCACGGCGATCCTCATCCACATGATGGCACTTTGTGTCATAGGTTGTTTATTGCTTGTGTGATGTCCTGGTGGGGTAGAAAGTCAGTCAGTCAGACATTTAGGACTTTGTTGTAATGCCACAGGATGTGGAAGTGTCTGACAGACATTTGAGCCTGATCAGCTGACTGGGGCTGCATTAGCGCAGGTGATAGGAGACTCATTTTCAAATCCAGCTACGACTTGCTGCAGCCACGACAAGGTTTGAAACTGGGCAGTTCCCAGGGTTCATCCAGCCTCTAGGTAATGGGTTCCAGAGTTAACACTCTGGGATGAATGGAGGAATTTCACTGTAGCTACAGAGTTGCGTATGGACAGCGACACAAGCAGACAATTTCTAATCAGCTGTCCGTACTGGTGGCAGAGCATTTATGGTTTATAACCATGTGCAGTGATGCTGGTTCACATCTCCCGACTTTACCTTTGTTCAGCTGACTAACAGTGATAGATTATCACTGTGTACCACAATGTGGTGATGACAACAATGAGGGTCGGCAAAGGATGCATGGAAACAGGACTGTACTGTGAGATACCGCTTACAGGAGATGTTACTCCTCTAATCTGTGTGAATCTCTTGGTCTATAGTTGATTCTCAGCAGTTCAGTAGTTCTTTGACTTGTCATACATTTTTAATGAAAGCTGTCATTTGGCAATATATTCAATTAGCAGACTTTACTCATGTTCATAATGAGTTTTGACAGACGTGTTCTCCCATGCATCGGGGCTGGGTTGATGAGAGTCGGAGGATTTCTGGGCAATGCTTCTCTGGGAGCTACCAACTATGAGATCCCCTGTCAACTCTGTTTAGACCCATTTGAGCCGCCATCTGTGGTGCATGGTGGTTTATGGCTTCTTGGGGAAAGAGTAAAGAAAACACCCCATCCCCTGAACAACTAAACAGAACATACTGTGGTGGACTGGCAAAGTCATCAAGTGCACCCTTCTGTTCATGTAACCAATAAAAGTAACAAATAGGTAGGAATGAAAGTTAGGTACAGGTGAATGGATCAACTTCACTGCACCGGGTTTTAACCCATATGGCTTAGTCTCGCTCAGCAGAACAGCTGGCTGGCTGCCAAGAGCCGGGCAGAGTATGACCTTCGTAGCTCCGGCGACGATCTCCAGGAATCTCCATAAAAATTGCACCCTTGAACTGAATAGCGCCTCCATGAAATTAACCCGCGACCTTCAAAATACAAGGCAAACAGCTTGACCACTTCACCACAGAAACTCTAAATAAAAGTTAAGCAACAGGTAAAAACTTACCAATGACATAATTGGGCTGAAAGTCTGTAACTGTGATCAGAGTTTTGGGAACTGCTTGGATGTTAGGTTGAGATGAAGTCAACCTGCCAGTGGCAGCCGCAGTTTGATCCCAGTGTGTCATGATGCTGCCATTTGTAACACATGACATCATGCCGTCAACATAAGTTGACATCAGTTTCTGCATCTTTCATAAAAATGTGGTGTTATATAATAAACATACAATAGCACTAAAAATATATCTCTATTTTGATAGTAAAAAATTCACAATTTAATAAATAAAGGATCTGCTAATAAATGAACCGATACAATGAAACTAAAGACAATAGCCTGTAGCCTTTGTGAAAGCTATAGTGCAGTCCATATCTTCTCGTGTACCATACAGTTTTGTCTTCATTGTGGTTGGAACAGGCCAGATTGTGTCTCTGTTGTCAGCGTACAGTTGTCAGTGTTAAAGCACATGCTCACCATTTTCAGGTGCTATGCTGCAGGGACTCGTTTCCGTGTTTACTAAACCTCAAACTTTGAACATATGTTGATGAAATCTGTTGTGCCCTGTCCATAGCTTGAATTTAATACATTGTCTCTCTCTTTAGTATAATAACCAAGAAACTAATTGTGGGTTGTTTGGTAGTGAAAGAGTTAAGGAACAAAAATATGTATTTAGAAACAAACATTTGGCAAAATCTAACTTTAATTCTGCAATGTACAGTTAAGGTTCAAGTTATCCACAGGATAGAATGGATTAAATCTCACAAAATACTGAAGCTGAAGGTTATTCCTGTGGGTTCTGCAGCAGGAAAAATGAATAGATCTACTTCCCTTATAACAAGCTTGTTATATAAGAGATGACTAATTAAGGGTTTGGATGGGCACAGTCACTTTTTTTTTCATTGCTAATTGTTTGCTTCTGAATTGATGGTGGCATTTGCATTTGCCTCCATTTGTAGATCATAGGAATATAGTTTTGTTGGCCACCTACTGAGTTGAAGGCATGGGACAACACTGTGAACATCTGGAATGTTTTTCGACTACAACTAACATGGTGTTGTGAACTGCAAATTCCTGTCAATCGGTTTGCAACTGCTGTTTCCGATGATGATGAACTGCATTTCAAATGTCAGACTATTTGAGTAAGCAGTTTTGATAGCTGCTTTATGCTTTTAATGCTTGTGTATGCTAAGCTATATACTGAGACTGCAATCTGTGCCAATTTTTCCATAACAGACAATGATAGACATTCTGTGTTTTTTGTTGGCACAGGAGCGGAGCAACTATGGGTTGACTCATTTGCTATGAAGCTGAAACTAAGACTACCAAGATTACTAATTAAGGGTTTACTGAAATTGGATGTATGGGGTCAAATGTGCAGATATTGCAGCCTTGCTGTAAACCAAAACCCAAAGTGCCAACCCCTTCCCCTTTTTAAATGGAAAATGTAAAAGAAGAAGTGAAAGTTAAAATATTAACCTGTCTGTATTCCAGAATAAGGGCAGGCAAAGGATGCACACCAGCTAGTAATTTCAGGCTTGACTCACAGGTTGACTTTTGATTGCAAACATCTGTCTTCATAATTTTTTTGTCTGGAGCCAGTTTTGTATCCAACTGTAACTCTTCATATAAAATCTATGAAAAAAACAGTAGTATGCTTTTATTTTATTGTTTAGGATATGTTGCCATTTCAAAGCAATGTTAGCCATTGTGCATTTGAACAAAGAAGACACACACAACAGGCTGTACAATTTACTGCCTGGAGAACTCGAGAGAAAGAAAGACTTCCAGGTCCTTTGTGAAGAGAGTAATGTTCTGTAAAGGACCTGCTGAGTGATGATGATGAATAGTTGGAATCCACACTGAGGCAGATTTTTTTATACTGACACAAGCTCTCAGGTTGATTCTGCCTAAAACAGGTACTAGGAAATGTCCTTGGAAGAAAAGATGGCTGGCAAGATGTTGACCACAACACCCATTGAGTGTCAAGTAGTCAATAAAAGTTTGCATCTAGCCCCATATGTCTGATGCATCAATGCAGTGAAACCATTTCATTTACATTTAAAAGTGGTATGTTGTTAATACAAACAGTAATCTTTTGCTTATCATTAACAGTTGCTAGAGTAGTATTGTCTGAGATAAATGTCATAGATACCTATGACTGCCAGAGTAAATAACATCTACCATGAAAAAAGCTAAAAAAAAAAAGTAAACAATTATACACAACCATTGCTTTTTTCTGGCAATGATACACAGTACAGACTCCTTTGCTTTTTTAGGCATAATTTTTTTCAGCGCTGTTGTATCAGACACTTTGGGGTAAGCACGAGCTTTAGGAAAAGACTGTGTTCTTGAGATGTGTCAACCCAGTCTAAAACAGTCTGCCATATATTTGACTGATTCTGAATCCTCTTGGAGACAATAAGTTGTAACTTTAAGCCTGATTTTAGTATTCAGGTCATGTGGAAACCACATTTTCCACAGTCCTTGTTTCACTCTGTAGATAAGAACTTGGTTAAGTTTATTCAGAGTAGCCACGGCCAGTGCAATTCTAAAACATGTTATCATAAAAGAAATAGAAGAAGATGGTTGGGGCTTTTTATATACCAGTTTCCGACAGTAAGAATGTAACATTAAAAAAAAAATTGATGGCAAATGCTATAAGTTTAACATACCTGTCGGAGCTGCACATGGCTATTCAGAGAAAACTTACGCCCTGCTTCCTTGTAAACTGCCTCTTCCAATCTTTTTATCTTGCTCTAAAAATATCAGAAAATTGTATACAAACATTATTCCAGCACACTTCCTTTCTTCAAAGATGCATGAACAAAATAAATTAATCCACGAGAAGAAAAAAGGCAACTGGGACAATGACACACAGACTAAACAATAATACATTTTTTAACATTTTTGCCTCATGAATGATAAATAAATAGTTTACAAGCCCGTTTTAATTTCTGGAAAAAAAAAACTTTAAAAAAAAATTATTAAATAAAACTATTTTGGACACAAAGACAAACAGGGGATTAAAAAAAAAGGTATGCAGGGTGCAATTTAAAGGCAGATTTAATGGGAAATATAAAGCATTAAGAAACCATATATAACGAAAAAAGGGTGCTTGAAATGACACTGAAGAATTTTTTTTGGGCTGCTGTCATGATTTTGAGAACCTTTAGGGTGAAGTGGATAGATGCTTGCCTGAGGATCATAAAATCGTCGATTCAGGTCCTGACTGAGCTGGACATTCTTCAGAAATGACCTTGGCTCCCAGGTCAACCCAGCTTTAAATGGGTACTAGGTATGAAGTCCTGGGAAGTAAAGACGGCTGGTGTGATGTTGACTACATCACACACTGAGTGCTGACTGATCTATAAAATATAGGTCTAACCCTATATGCCCAATACGCCTGAAAACATGGAGAAAGTTCCTTGACTTTTTTTTAAAACAAAAAATCTTAATTTTGAAATTCTTGGTGTTAGAATTCGTCTATGTAAAAATAAAAATTAAAAAAAAAAAAAAAAAAAAAAAATTATAAAAATTAAAACAAAAGAGATATTTACTTTGAGTATATCTGAAAACTTGACAAATAAGGCTGTGTCCACTTTAATGGTCTGTGTTTCCATGCAAGCCAAAACTGGAATCAATTTCATCTCAATGTCTGTGAAAACTGACCACAACTTATTTGCTTTCAGTTTACTCCTGAAATTGTGCATCAGCTTTGGAGTCATCTGTAAGAATGCAGGCCAGTCTGCATCATCCTGTGTAATAAAAAAAATATTTTTTTTTTAAATCAGAAAACTGAACATGATAAATAAAATGTTGGAGACAGTATGGGTGGAAGAGTGGATCAGTGTTAGTATTCTACACCTTAGAACAGGACACAATTGACTTCGCAGCCACATGTACACAAAATTTAAAATCGGCGAATCAGACATGTGCCCATGTGGATAGGCACCTGAGACAACAGATCATGTCCTCCAAGACTGTCCCAAATACAATATATCAAGGCAAAACTTTTGGCCAAGAGAAACATTGGTGCAAGTCTAAACTTTATGGGTCGCTGAGTGAATTACAAAAGACAGTGAAGTTCATACTAAAGACAACATTGCAGATACAGATAATCTATTTCAAGCGAACAAAAGAGGAAGACAATATGGGTATCACAAATGCTGTTAATTTTCCGTGCAATGATAGATTTTATATGAAAGAAAACTAATTATGCATGGCATACTCTGACTGTTACAAATATTTCAACAGCATGAATTACAATAAAACACAGGTAGTCCTTTTAAACAGGCTAGAGATCATGCCTGCAATACATAAAGAAGCAACAAATAGAGTGGTTTGGCCACTTGATGCGAATGCAAACTGACCAACTGCCTCTACGAGCATACAACGAACAGCACTACTGCCCTAAAGCAAGAGGCAGACCGTGAGTATGATGGATAGACAATATATCAGAGACCCTGAGGCAACACGGACTAACAACAACACGTGCAACACACCTGGCCCAGGATAGAAAACTGCGACTCCCCACTACGCTGTGAGGCAATTGTGGACAAGACAAGACAAGGCAAGACAAGAGATCAGTTCACAAGAGCTGGTACAAATGAAACCCTATATGTACAAGAGTCAATGAAAGGACAATACAGGTTAACTTTCTGGTAAAAATCATGCTACCATTGTGTCTATGTGCTCTACATGTATCTATTTAAACATAAAAGTATTAAAATGTCTGGCATTCAGACAGTGGTAGAAGAGTGGAACTGTGGACAAAATTTGGCTTTCATAATTTAAGTATTCCAAAAGTCAGCAGTCGGTGCACTGCAGCCAATAATCATTAAGGAGATGCAAAAATTACTCCCCCATAAAATCTGTGATAATAAAAAGGTCCCTTTACAAGCCAATGGCACAGTGGGCATAGGGATGTTGAACCCCACTAGGACAGCACAATGAATGATTAACACACAGTGACACAAAGTGCCACCTCTGGATGAGAATCCCCCAGGCAGATGTCCCAGAAACCCTGTTCCTCATATGAGGCTAGACATATTTTGTAGACCAGTCAGCACTTAGTGGATGATGTGGTCAGCATCATGCCGACCGCCTTGATTTCCAGTCTGCGACTGTACTGAAAAACAATTGTGTTTTTTGTTGTTGCTTTTTAAATATCCTGGCTGAGAACCCTATACAGCAGGAACTGGTTGCCAGCCTTGTGCTAACTCAGATTTATGATCTTTTGTTGACAACAATTTCGAGGAGCCTCATTGTAGGACTTGGGTAAATATGTTTTATTAATGTCTTCGGCTGAGGATATTTTGTTGTGGACCTGGTTTGGGTCTTCTGTTGATTACCCTTATTTCAGGACCATCTGTTGGTAACCCTGGTCTGGAGGAATGAGGTCAGATTATGATGAATGTGCTGTTTTGGAATCTTATGTACATATCCCGGATTTGGGAACTAATGTTTGTAGCACCTGGTTAAAGATTTTCTCATGGCAACATTAGTTTTGAAAAATTCTTTCCAAATATTGACTGCTTATGTTTATAAAGCAATTTTAAAAGAACAGGATTGATCTAGTACCCATTTTAAATGTGGTACTTCTATCCTTCCACTTAGTGCTGACAGGCCCATAAAATATAGGTCTAATACGCCTGAAGACATGGAAAAGGGTCCTGTACTTTCTTTTTTACTTTTACTTCTATCCTGAATGTCATCATTGCTACACTGTTCATAACAAAGAGTGACTGGTGTTATCAGTCAACAGAAAGTTAAATGGGCTATCCATATAACCAAATACATATAATAAGAACTGTTGCCAATACAATAGTAATATTAGCAAAATGCTTATGAAATTATACAAGAAAAAACATGGATAAGTATAAATTATGTTTTTTTTTAAAAACACTGTAGAATATATTGATTGTTTTTTCCTTCTTTTTTAATAGAGTTAACTCTTTCAGTCCCAAGCAGGTGCTACTTTAACTCCTTCTTTCTCAAGGAATTGAGCTTAAAAGTAGATACTTTGATCTGAATAAGTTCAACAAAGACATTATGAGACACTAAAGTGGAGCCAATAATTTAAATATAAAGGATTAAAATAACATAAGTCAATGATATAAGACAAGAATAATATCACACTATCTTTAGAATTACCAACAAGTGTATGGTGTGTTCTTTGGTACTGAAAGAGCTAAGATGTAAACAGAAATAAGCAGAAGAACAACAAACAAAGAACCGACACAAAACTACTGACTTGACTTACAGATCTGTGCTCTAGACCTGCAGTTCTACACAACTGCACAAAGCTTGCAGGCTGATTGTCAGGATCCACAAGCCAGCAGGCAATGACTGGGTCCTCTATGTTTTCACAGGGTATTCCTACACATGGAGTTGAGGCCGTCTTAAAGTCACTATTTTAATATTAATGTAATGTCATTCCAGTTGTGCCAACTTCCTATGTCCTTAGTTTCTATTTCATCTTCATCATCATCATCCTGCTGTGCCATTATATGTCATAAAGGGCTCATGGTCAATACCTCTATTCTATTCTATGCTGTTCAATCAATTCAATATCATGGATGGAATCTTCTTCTTCTTTCGTTCGCTTGAAATAAATTATCTATATCTGCAAAGCTGTCTCTAGTATGAATTTCACTGTCTTTTGTAATTCACTAAGCGGCCCGTAAAGTTTGACTTCCACAAGTGTCTCTTTTGGCCAAAGGTGTTGAATGGAAGCGTTGAATCTGGGACAGTCTTGAAGGATGTGATCTGTTGTTTCAGGTGCCAGTCCACAGGTTCACATGGCTAAATGGCCAATCTTAAATTTGTTGTACATGTGGCAGCGAAGTCGATTGTGCCTTGTTCTAAGGCGATGGATGGAATCTAGAACCAGCACCTTTGACCTCTCTCATTAATGTTTGTCGGCTCTGAGGCTAAGTTGATGTGAACGCTTCGTAATGCCGGGGTGCCGGGTTCGATCCCAGCTGCGGGTCATGTGTCTTGCCTTGGTTTCGACAGTGGTATCAGGGGGCCGACCGTCCAGAAGCAATGGCAAACTACTAGACATAAATTTGTCTAGAGAAATCATACAACAGCCAGAGGCTGCTGGGGTTGGTTCTGCAATGTCCTGTAGAGGATACACTACTAACTAACCATTAACGTTTGTTTTAGGATATCTTTTGGACATCCTTGCCTCTTTAATCCCTTTATTTCCCATTTTAGTGCCTGTGATTCTCTGCTGGTGTCTTCTCAGGATGTGTCCAATACAGCATCATCTAATCTGTCAAAACAGGTTGATACTAGTGGTTGCTCAGACATTTCTTCATCCCTCTTGAATTCATTCCATTTTAGTTTTCATTTACACATTATTAAAAGAGCGGCTCCTCTCCCACCCTTTTCTTAAGCAAGCGGTACCTTATTTCCGTATTTCAAGGTTATTAAATAAACTTTTGAAACTTTCATGTGATTCATGAGGAGTTGCTGATCCTGAAATTGATCTAAAATGATATAAAGTTGACACCTGCTTAACTAATTGATACAATGAAATAGTCAAATTGCTATTTGTCATTTTATAACCCCAAAGTCTGTTTGTTTCATTATCTCCTTCACTACCAAAGTTATTAAGAGTATTTTATAATGCAGTAGTTATCAACTACTGAAAAATTAGACTAAACTATATAAATTGTACAAAACTACAGGGATATGATACTAACAAGAAATGTGAATAAAATTACAAACAAAACAGAAGTAATATATATATTTCAAATAGATAATTTCATAAAATATTCGATAAACAGTCAAGATATTTCACATGATATAATTTCTTTCAACTGTATATTTCATCATCATCATGTAAGTGGTCCTTTGCATAATGTCGCTTTCGTCACAGTCTTCTGACAGAAACTCAATCTCTTACCAGATTTCCCACTTTGGGCACTTTCCTATCAAAGGTGTCACTTATATCCTGTGCATCTCTGCACTGACTGCTGGTTGGCCCCTGCCCCCCCCCCCCCCACCTTCTGCTACGATTCTTTCCAATTCTCCATGTGGGTTCCGGGGCCCTATTATAGGGAAAACAAGAATAATATTGCTCGTCTCTTCTCAGGATTTGTTCAATATAATGCCATCTTCTCTGTTTTATGACGGTTCATACTAATGGTTGCCCAGACATTCTCTTATTTCTTCACTCCTCTTGAATTCATCCAACTGTATGTTTATCATTTCCCTCAGGAATTTGTTTTCAAATGCATTTAACTTTCATTTATTATCTTTAGTGGTTCTTCAACTTTTAGTGGTATATTTAGTTACAACTGAAATTACATATTAATTGACAATACGTAACTTGGTTCTAAAACTATATAAAGTACTGGTGTTCTTTTACTGTACAAGAAATATGGAAGCATTTGCTTACCATGTTCACTGTTGAATGAAAACAATTTGTCAACACATATTAGGAACTCTTTACAGTTTGCAATGATCTTGATAATGTTCTTAGAGGCCAGTATGCTGAGAAGAGATGCTCTGAAATAATAATTAAAAAAGATAAACAGGTAAACATCACTGCCAAAAAAATGCCACTTTTATTTGGTATACAAGTTCAAAAGCTCTTTCATACAATCATAACTAAGCCAGTTCTACAGTATTAACTCTTTGAGACAAAGTAGTTGTTACTTTAACCCTTTACATTCCATAGTAATAAATATTTACGTCCGGAGAGATTCAACAAAGACATTACTGGACAAGAGTAGTTATCTGCTTCTTTCTTCTTTGCGTTCACCGGCTGTAAACTCCAACGGAAAGTTCTGACTGTTCGTCCACCTCTGGACTTGAGTCTTGTTTCAGATCCTGAGTATTGCGTGCACATTTTTTTTAAAAATCTGGTTTATGTGTATGCAGATTGTTGGTTCCTCACCTCTCAGGCAGATGCACTCTGACTTTGAAGGAAGCTCCCAGTTATCTCTTATGACGTAATGGTTGGGGAGGCAGTGGGTCTATTCCTGTACCCACAATACAGCCCCGGAACCCGCACAGCGAAACTGTAGTTATAATTCAGATACAACTATCTTTACTGCCTGCACTTACCACATTTTTAGAGTCGTCTAGGACGAGGGAAAAATTTGTCTAAGGATTTTAAGCCGCATGACTAGTGCAGTCATCACAGACTGTGTGAGTTGAAACTTTTATTTTTGCCCCAACAAAAGGTGAAAAAAATAAAAAAATAAAAGAATTCTATCCTTTACTGAGAATAAAACCCAGGTTATGAGTATAATAGTCCAGTGTTCTAAGCATTCAGCCACCTGATCCTCTCCAAGGGGTTAACATAACTGTCTAAAATAGAAGGCAGTTAGTTGTTCATGCTTCATAGGAGGTTGCAGAACCAACCCCAGCATTTGTTGGCTGTTTTGGTTTTACTATGCAATTTTACCTTCAGTAGTTTCCCATTGCTTACTCAAAGATTGGCTCTCGATACCACTGGCGAAATCGACGCAAAGCAGTCCGCTGCCAAATGGCTCACAGCTGAAATCGAACCTGGTACCTTGAAATTGCAAAGCACATTAGCAATGCAGATGGTAGAGGAACATCAGGTTCTATCCCAATATCTCACCCCAGATGACATCACTGTACAGTCCAATATTTTCTAGGGTGGTCCGACAAGGATTTCCCGCTCTGTGTTTTGTGTGTCAAGTTTTCGGCTTCTTCCAGTGGTGTCTCTCCAGCGGCTTGTGTTCAGTTTTCATTTTGCTTAGTAGGACGTTTAAGGTTAGGGATGGGGTTAGGGTTAAGGGTTAGGGTTAGGGTTTAGGGTTAGTGTTTAGGCTCCAGGTAAGGTTTGGGGTTGGGTGACATATTCGCATCGTTTCTGCTGCTGCCTCACTAGTTGCCGCATTCCGACATCTCTTCAGATGTACTAACGTGTAAAATTGTCCTGATTGTCAATTCGTGAACTCACCAGTTTACATCTAGAATGGCCTTGTCTTTTATTCGTTGTCGTCAGCTGCCGGCGATATCGCCGCAACTGACTCATGTCAGAAAATGAACTAATAATGGCGATGTGAAAGTGAACTTACTTTCCTCTGTTACTGAAACTTCCATACAAGACAGATGTGCAACATTTATTAGGACTTTCTAAATTTAAACGCATAATAAAACCAACAGCTTTGACTGGGTCAAATGATGGATACAGAAATGTATAAGTTCATGAGGATTCAATTATGACATGATAAGTCAAAACTACTGTTCATTGTTTATTTAAAGATCATCTTCATAGCACGTCGGACGTGACTATAAAAGCTAATCAATTATCAATGTGAATAGACACAGAAAGGTAAGCTACTGAGGGGTAAATAAGTCCAAATTAATTAACTACCAATGTGCTGGAAAATGGGATACCTACTTTATGTTCTTTCTATGAATACATTCACTTGGTATGAAGTAACAGCTAGTGGTGTTGCCCTCATCTAATATTAGGATTCCAACAACTGCTGGCTGAAAGATAAATTTCAATACATCAGTGACAATTACAGAAATCAACATCATCCTCACCATTCTACTGTGATGTTATATGTCATATAGGGCTTGCAGTATATAATTCCAATCCATTCCAGTATCTCTGGCCTCTTTCATCACTGTAAGGGTTTTTCAGGACACTGCAAGAGGCCTAATGAGAGGAGATATCTGAGAGAAAACCAGGCTCAGTGTAATAATAAGACGAAGAACTCTACAGCTGAAGCATGCACAGAAGGAGTCTACTGATCATCAGAAGGTTGTTCCCTTTCAACTACTATTTCGGCTCCATTACCCATCCTTGACAATCTTGAGGGATGGGCCGACCTGGGTCATAATGCAATGCCTCACTCTTCTCCTGCTGCGCATATTAGACATTTGGACAAGACAAAATGGTGGTTTTGCAAACAGGTGCTGAGGTTATAGTGTTAAATAAATCAGTACCATAAAGTTTCAACAGCAACCTAGTCGTCGTCATCAGGCACCATATCTTGATACCTGCCCAAAGCAAATAACTGCAAGTCCTGCTTAGGATAAGCAGCGAGAGTGGACACGTAAGCAACTGCTAGTCCTTCTTAGGATAAGCACGTCGTCAGGAGTTACCACTTAGTCTTGATACCTGCCCAATACAAATAACTGCTGGATCTTTTTAGGATAGGCAGCGTCAAACCTGAAGCATACATCAGAGCGAGAGGCCTCAAGATGTCTCGAGGAAACAGACCCATATCATAAAGCCCGCAGGAGACATGAGGCAACCAAAAGCATAACGACAGCTATCCCCACTGAACTGAACAACGAGATGGCTCGACTCAAAAGTGACATCCAAGCTCTCAGAGAAGAGAAAGAAGCATCCAAATCCCAACGAGATGAAGAAAGAGATGAAGTAATAAGCCTGAGTGCTGCACTCACTTTTAACTGACACAGAATGAACAGTTAACCGAAACGAAGAAAGAGGAGACAAGTCTCACTGATTTGTGGGAGACCCAACAGCTACTCGTGAAAGAAGTCACAATGATTAAGAAAGCCCTTGCTGAAACAGAGGAAAAGTTGCGGAGAGCATACGAAGAAAACGACAGACTAAGCAAGGAACTTCAAGCAACCAATAGAGTTATGAAGGAAAGAGAGAAAGCAGCAAGAAGGCAGCAAATACAGTCACCCAAACCTCAGGGAACCGAGACCCAGAAACAGCCATGTCAATTACCAGACAAAAAAGTACCCGCTGATAAGGCAGTTTACGGACGAAACCACTCCACAAATGACTTAATGCATTAGGGAACTAGAGGATCTGAACTACTTCAACCCAGAATTGCCAGAGAACGATGTACCATGGTCCTCACCAGAAGAACCGATCCGACTGCCAAAACCTGAGACCAAACGAGGTCGACACCGTTACCACAAAAATTAATACTAGGGACGACACTGCCAATGCCAAAACCACCTAAACCCTATGTAGGAGAAGCACTTGACAACCAGGACACAAGAAAACCACCGACATAACACCAGACCCCACCATTACTCTTCATTACCTGCCCAAAGCAAACAACTGCTAGTCCTTCTTATGATAAGCAGTTCCACCTCTTTGGAAACATCAAACGGCCAATCAAAACCACACAAAATCAACTCAACAGCCAAACCAACGATCCGGAGTGCAGCAGAAGGCCAGCCAGTTATGAAAGCAGACAATCGAGTGGAAAACCACAAATACCAAGCGACAAAACACTGAAAGCACAACCCAAAACCAGATGAGATGAAGACCAGAAACGTCACCACAAATATAGCGGAAAGGAAAGAGAGCAGCAATGCAGTCTAGCTGAAAGTGGTCAACGTTAAATGATAGACAGATAGATAGTTTCAACAGTTTTATGTAGACTATACGGCAGAGACTGCTACTCCCACATAAGACTTTACAATCATAGCAGAGGCTGTTCCCAAAACCAGCAGCACAGCTCTACGGACCCTAAAGAAAGCAGCCTATGATACATTATCTATATTCTGTAGTAAGTATCTGACAAATTACAACAAAGTATGCCAGGCAATAAATTGTGCACTGAAATGGGAAACCCTAAAATGAAAATTACTGAGAGAAGACAAAGGCTCTGAGCTGAACTCCATCCATGATGTCAAAAGGATTGCACAGGACAAACCAGAATGGAGCAGTAGACTATATTGAATGTAGAATTAAGAATCAACATCACAGCACTCAGGACACCCCTAAAAGCGTTCCCTTCCCATCTTCAGCAGCAAGCAAAGAGTTCCAATTCCAGTGGCACCAGTAACTGTTCCTGACTGTATATCCATCTTGCCTTTCCCTTAAGTGTTGGGAGTCGGCCAGATCCCCTGGTCACTCCTCACAGCTCTAGCTCCTCAGACCCAAATCTATTTGTACTTCCTCACTTTTCACTAGCTCCCAAAGGATGAATACGAACAGAAACACATCAAAGACGAACTTGACAAAAGGCATGACTCCGTAACCCTGTATAGGCTCATGGGATGCAACCTGGCGCTGGAAGAAATGAACATTTCACTAAGGGGACAAGACATCTGATTTATCAACACAGAACAGGCTTCATCAATAATGTTACACTTGCTGAGTTTTTGAGGAGGAGATTGAAGCATTTATAGATATGTCCGGAGTACTGTGACGACAATCCTAATCAATCACTATTCCCAAAGGACCCTTATTTACATTAATCTCTGTAAATTACCTATGACCATGGAAAACTTGCTGCACATAAACAGCCCCAGAGAGCTCTAGGTCTAAAATGCATATATAGAAGGGTAAAGAATGCCCATGGCACCTTTGAAGAAGATTCCTAAAGATAAAATCGAGGAGAATACTCAATGATTGCAAACTAAGGAAACAATATATCCACCATGTTAATGACACAATGTCAGTAAGATTGTCTATTTGTTTATAGTACAATTTCTTTCATAATCTCAACCCAAAATCAAAGTAAAATGTCAACCAATACAATTTGGTCATATAAATAAATACATGATATATAAAATTTAAAATAACAAATATTTACTCTGAGAACTCAATTAACACTATATATCTGAATTATAACCCTGAGGGCTGAACAGGATATTGTGAAAAAATACTGCTACTACCTTATTACATCTAGTTTGTTTTGCATGAATTTACCACCAAGTGGGGTGGAACCATGCCAATCCTATGTGACATAAAACAACATAACAGGATGCAATATATTGCATCCTCATTATTTATATAAGATAAGAACAATAGTTTTAGGACTGCACTGTTGTGAAACCATGATTATAGGGAATTCACTATTAGCATATTAACTCTTAGCAGGTTAAGTAAGCAAGACAGAAATATAATTTGTGTGTGTGTGTGTGTGTGTGTGTGTGTGTGTGTGTGTGTAATGGGTTACATTCCTATTTTAAATGTTAGACCCCTTCCTTATGAATACCCTCATGACATGAAATATCTATATATAAATAACACATACCTGTAATGCTGAATTCTTTTTCTGCAGAAACAAAAAAAAAAAAAAGAAATATATCTTTATTAAGTATAAAAATACACCAAGCTTTAAGGAACATTATACACACTTATTCATCATAAATCAGCAAGTCCTTTACAGAACGTTGCTCTCTTCCCATAACGCTTGAAAGTATCCCTCTCCCTAGTCACCTCTCCTGCCCCATGTGCTTTCAATGCCAATGTTTCTTCAATGTCCTGTATCCTTCTTCGCGGTGGTCGACCCTGCCTCGCGTTGCACAAACTGCACCCTCCATCACCGTCTTTTGGAAGCCACCATGATGTTTGATGTGGCCAAAATACTTCAACTTTTGGGACAGGATGCTGTTTATGAGCCAGTTCTCCCTGATGTTTAACTCGTTTAGAATGTCTATGTTTTCCTCTTCTTGATCCATGGTATTCTAAGAATTGTTCTATAACATTTTTATTCAAAAGCTCCAGTTTTTTTCCTTAGTGACTGAGTGAGAGTCCAGGACTCGCAACCGTAAGTTGCCACAGAAAAAAAAATGCATGATCTTAAGATTTTTACTTTAACCAATTTATTACAGCTTGGCCAAAGGTTCTTCATGCTGTTTTATCCCTGCATTGCTAATGAAAGTCTCCTTCTGATTTCTTTCTAGAAGTCACCACTGTTGTTCACTAAAGAGCCCAAGTATTTTAAATCTGTTACATTTTCTATTTCTTCATTTTCAGTTGTGATATGTGGTTGGTGTGCTGGATGTACTAAAGAAAAATTTAAAAAAAAGTTTTTTTTTTAAATTCAGAAAAAGACTCACTTCTTCGCTGTATTTTTTACACATATATTTAGAACACAAAACTAAAAAATATGTCAGAGACAAAATATATCAGTTTGTAGGACATTAGGTGCCTCTCTCGATAGTGGTGAAATGTCACAAGCTAGCTTGGTTTGGGCACGTGGTGAGATATGATTTGATTGCAAAGACTGTACTTCAAGGAACATAAGGGGGTAGTCGAAGAAGAGGAGAGCAAAAAAGAAACTGGAATGATATCAAGAAATAGACAGGACTAAGTTATCATACACTTATTCATCGAGCGGAAGACAGAGAAAGATGGTGGGTTTTGTGTGCTAGTGCTTCCATGGATACACCTCCATGACTCCAACAGATCAACGATTGTGTTATGTATGTTATAAAAATAGAATTTAACGACCAAATATGTTCACCAATCTTTAGCCATCATCGGCAATTATCTCAGCATGTCAAATATACTTATACTTAATTCAACTCTTTAAAAAATATAGCAAAATTTGTTATTTTAAAAAAAAAGTTGTATTAAGTATATTTGACAAGCTGAGATGCTGTGATGATAATCCTCACAAATAACTAACACAGATACAACTAAAAGATAACTTTAGAGGTGTATCAACACCTAAGTACTACTGGTGGAAATAAAAAATATCAAATATTTCCAACCTTGGCATGATCAGCAGCAGAGTAGAAAGTGGTCATCAGGGTCTGACTTGTACTGAACAGCAAGGTTAGGGCTATAGACTCTGAGCATTCCCACATACGCAAGGTTTCTGTCTGCCTCTCTGAACTCAGTGATGAAAAACTGACAACATCTGGAGCCTGGTACAAAGAAGTACCCAACTGTTTTCTAGAACTCTGTAGTATGACAAAGGAAAAAAAATATTTCTTTTTTTCCAAAGCCCATACTGTGTTGTGTTAGTAGTCATGTCCTATCCACAAACTTCTGTCTTGTGTACTTTCAATCAACTCTGATACAGATGATGCTCCATGCCACGATGTCAAACTGCCATCTTCTTTTCTCTCGGTCTCCCTCTGTCTCTCCTACCCTCCAACTTTTCTACGGTCGTGATTTACTCCAGTTTTCTCCTTCTCATCACACAACCAAAGAATGTAGATTGTCTCCTTCTGATGTGGACAATCAGTTCTCTTCGTGAGTCAGTTTTTTTCAAGACGTCTTTATTACTCTTTTTATCTGTCCTATGTATTCTCATCATTCGTCCATTATATCACATCTCTACAGCTTCAAAATAATTTTCCAATAATCTACCATCTGTCCCTGATTCACTTCCGTATATCAAGATAGGATAAAATATTTAAGATAAAATATTTAATTGTGTTAAAACAAATATATATATATTTAAAAAAAAGACACATGTGTATTCTAATGTGTTAAGGTTTAAAAAAAAACCCACATGTAGGTAATAATTACTTTTATTTAAAAGTGTAGGTGAAAAAAGCCCACACACATATAACATATTATTTACAAGTGTGTATGCAAAAATATAAGTAAATATTAGTTACTAGTGTAAAAAACAAACACACAAATATTAGTTATAAGCATCTAGGTGAAAAGGCACACACAGATTAGTGAATATTTTTACTTTCAACTGTACAGGTTAATGAGATAAATGAAAGAAGTAGACCTTTTCTTTAGGTACACAGTGTTAGCCTCACATTATAAATTAATCAGCCTCAAGGTTTAGCAGAGTCCTTTAAGTTTGTGAACTTGGTGAATGTGACATTTTTATTTTATACATCTTCATCAGTATATGACACTGGGTCACCATAATTGTTCATGTTATGAAATAATTAGAATATAAGTACGATTGAATTATTTATTCTTCTTCTTCTGCCTTTCTATCCCCCAATGGAGCATAGGCCCTCAACCAACTCACGCCAAGTCGTTCTATCCTTCGCCATTGCATGGAGCTCTCCCCATGTCCTCCCAATCTTTCTAACCTTGTTCTCCAGCTCTCTTCTCCATGTGTTTTTTGGCCTTCCTTTATTCCTATGCCCCTGTGGGTTCCAATGCAAAGACATTCTAGTAATGCTGTTCTCCTGTTTTCTCAGTGTGTGCCCTATCCAACGCCAGCGTCTTTTCCTCACTTCCTGATCCACTGGAGCCTGTTTAGTTCTCTCCCAAAGTTCTACATTAGTTATTCTATCATACCATTTTATTCCCTCTATTCTGCGCAGGCACCAGTTAATGAATGTCTGTAATTTATTAGTAATTGCCTTGGTTGTTCTCCATGTTTCCGCCCCATACAATAGTACTGATTTGACATTAGAATTAAAAATTTTTAGTTTAGTATTTCTTTTAATTTCTTTTGACCTCCACAAATTCCCTAGTGCTATGAAAGCCCCTCTTGCCTTTTGTATTCTTGTTTCAATATCTCTATCAGTTCCTCCATCTTTATCTACATTACTGCCTAAATAAGTGTACGACTCCACATCTTGGAGTGGGGTGCCATTAAGAGAAACCACATTACTATTTGCCTGATTTATTCTCATTATCTTTGTCTTTCCTTTATGGATTTTCAGACCAAGCTGCTGTGATCTCGCATTAAGTATATTTAATTTATCTTGTATCTGATTCCGTGAATGGGACAGAAGAGCAATATCATCAGCGAAGTCCAGATCATCAAGCTGTTTTGTAGGGGTCCACTGAATTCCATTCTTGGTGTTAGCAGTTACTGTTTTCATTGTCCAGTCTATAGCCAGTAAAAATAAGAGAGGCGACAAAAGACATCCCTGTCGCACACCTGTTTTTATTTCAAATGCATCTGTTAGCTTTCCCTCATTAAGAACTCGACATTTCATGTCTTTATATGTTGCCTTTACTAAGTTGATAATTTTCTGTGGGATTCCATAGTGCCCCATCAATTTCCAGAGAGATTCCCTATCTATGCTGTCAAATGCTTTTTCATAGTCTATAAATCCAATGTAAAGTGGTGAGTTCAGTTCAATGCTTTGCTCTATTATAATACGTAATGTGGCTATCTGATCAGTACAGGATCTGTTTGACCGAAAACCTGCCTGCTCATCTCTTAGCATTTTATCAATAGCATCTTTTAATCTTTCCAAAATAATTCTACTTAATATTTTTCCAGGAACTGACAGCAACATAATTCCTCTATAGTTTTCACACTGCTGTAGATCACCTTTTTTGGGCAGTTTCACAAGATATCCTTCTCTCCAGTCTGCTGGTATTTCTTCGGTCTCCCAGACTTTACTGAATAATCTATGTAGCAATTCTGTTGATGTGTTTATGTTGGCCCTGATGGCTTCAGCTGGGATACCGTCTGGGCCTGTCGCCTTCCCTTCCCTGAGAAGATTTATAGCTTTTTATAATTTTCTCTTTGGATGGTATCTCACAGTTGATATCCAGTTCCATTTCTAAAGGCTGGATATCTGGGAGAACCTCTGGGCCTGGTCTATTTAGAAGCATTTCAAAATATTCAACCCATCTGTCCATTTGATCTTTAGTGTTAGTAAGTACCTTTCCTTGACTATTTTTGATTGATCCAGTTGGCTGACTATATTTACCTACTAATTTTCTTGTGTTACTGTAAAGTTCTCTGAGGTTTCCGTTTGCTGCTGCTGTCTCTGCTTCTTGTGCTAGATCATTTAGATATTTCACTTTATCTGCCCTTATATGCCTCCTAACTTCCTTGTTGGCTTCTGTGTATTTCTCCTGAGCTCTAGCTTTAGCAGCTCTAGTTTTGCTATTGTTTAATTCTGCCTTTTTACTTTTCCTATCTTCAATCAGTTTAATGGTTTCTGATGTTATCCATGCTTTATATTTCCTTTCTTTCTTGACAAGAACTTCTACGCAAGATTCATTCCAGATTCCTTTGATCTGATCCCAGCAGACTTCTGTGTTGACATCTTCAGCTAACTGCTGCAACACCTGGTACTTATTAGAGACCGTAACTGAGAACTGTTCCTTAATTTCTTTATCTCTGAGAAAGCCTTCATTATATTGGTTTCTATGATTATAAGATGTTTTATATCTTTTTAGTTTCAACTTGATTTTACTTACCACCAGGAAATGGTCAGTAAATACATCGGCACCTCTGAAAGCCCTAACATCGTAAAGGGATGACCTAAACTTTTTGTTAATACATATGTGGTCAATTTGATTAGTTGTCTTATGGTCTGGTGATTCCCATGTTGCCTTGTGTATACTTTTATGGGAAAAAATACTTCCACCAATAACATACTGGTTACCTGCACAAAAATTTGTGAACAATTCTCCATTTTCATTCATTACTCCTAGACCATGTCTTCCCATAATTTCTTCATAACCTGTGTTGTCTGATCCTATCTTAGCATTTAAGTCACCCATCAAAATTTTTAAGTTGCCCTTTCTTTCATTTTTTATAATATTTTGAAGCTGCATGTAAAATTCTTCCTTAACAGATGCATCTTTATCATTTGTTGGTGCATAACACTGTATTACTGAGATGTTCACCTTCTGTTTAACTGTTCTAAAAGATGCTCTTATTATTCTGGGACTCACAGCTTCCCATTCTATTAGTGCCCTGTCTGCTTCTTTTGATAGCATCAGGGCCACTCCCTCACTGTGAGGCGAATTTTCCTCTGTGTGTCCTGAGAACAAAATAGTTTCTCCTGAATTTAGAATACTTTTCCCTGCCCCAGTCCATCTAGTTTCACATAACCCTAAAATACTAATTCTATAATGTTTCATTTCCTTTGCTACTTCCATTGTTCTCCCTATATCATAGAGAGTTCTAACATTCCAGGTGCCAATTCTGGAGGTTTTCCTAGCTGAGAGGAGGTACGTCAACGATCCGGACTTCTTACGGCTTTCTCCACACCGTGTCATACTTCTTCTATTTGAAGAGCCTTCCCTCATCTTGGTTGGCTGGATTTTATTTGCTTCTCTTTTTGACTTATCCATGGTTGGATGGTTTTTGTGGCTATGGTTTTTACAGGATGAGGTAGCCAACCTCAAGCCCAACCCTACCCTTAGTCGATTCTTACGACATGCCTGGTAGGGTGCAGTGTCACTATTCTTTGCTTCCCGGGAGGGCCCCGGTGACACACGGGCGGAATTATTTATAGGGTTTGAATAACAAATGTTTGGTTTTAACAAACAAATTGAAGATCTGATGACATCTTCACATCAAGGTCAGCTGCAAAGGATCTCTATCAATGTCTGTCTTTAATTTATGTGCATACAATTATAGTGCAAATCAAATGTTTTTATATAGATAAAATAAAAAAAAATATAAAAACTTGTTTATAATATTGGATGTACCGTATTTACAGGTGTATATACAGCATGCATGTATAGGCCAAACCCAGTTTCTGAGACTATAATTTTAGGAAAAAGTAATTTTCTTAGAATTCTGTTGACAGACCAAAACTGAATCAGTAGTACCTGGAAGAAGTGAAGAGGGGAATTCCTCAAAGTGAATTTAGATCCAGTTATGGCAGAGCAAGGCACTTTATGGCAAGAAATGACCTCATGATTCGGTAGCAGACAACAACAGCACAGCGACTTCCCTAAACCTACCAGCAGAAACTGTTTGCATTTCAAAGAAATGTTCTGAAGTTATAAAAGACACACAACAACAGCATGGGGGTAACTGGAAATGCAGATGAAACTCCCACATTCATCAATATGCCGAGTGAAATAACAGTGAATAAAGCTTGGGGGGAAACCAGGTGTACGTGTGAACTTCAGGAGCAGAAAAACCACAGACTACAGTAAAAGTATCACTGCTGACAGACACAAACACCTACCTTTTGTCATTTTAAAATGTAAATCCACGCCTCAAGAGAAGCTACCACCAGGAATATTGGCAAGAGTGCAAGAGAAATGGTGGATGACTGAAGAATTGTTGAAATGTTTATTAATAGATTTTGTACAAGTGAAATGTAGGCCTAATTCTCTAATTTAAACCGCACCCTGTGTTTCATCAACAATTCTAGGTAAAATAATGTGGCCTGTAAGTAAAGTAAAAGTAAAGATCCCGTTTTACGCCTCAGGCGCATCAGGCATATGAGAAGAGCATCCCATATTTTTACAGACCATTCGGCACTCTGTGGGTAATGTGGTCAGCATTACACCAGCCGTCTTTACTTCCCCAGGACAGCAATCCTGGTACCCATTTTAGGCTGGGTTGACCTGCGATGCCCCATACCATGATAAAAATCCACACAGTCAGCAGTGGGTTTCGATCTCAGAACGCTGGAATTACAAGTCCAGCTCACAATGCCTAAGCCAGCAAAGCCGCAATGTGACCTGTACATACGTAAATATGATAACTTGACTGCTAAATTCTGCCCCATTATTACACAACATACAGTCATATTCATTACTTGAAAAACACTGTTATTATCTAACTGCACTGAATCAAGTATTTACAGTTAGTTCAACAGTTTTACTTGTATTTTTCTACACAGTCTTTGAAGATGTGTACCATTAAGGATTGGTGAATACAGCCAATACTTCTTATTTAGAACTTACTTCAGATAAAAGTGCAACTGATTCAGCATTCAACACTGCATTTTCTTTGAAAGGAGGCCTGAAATACGGCTTGAACTTCTTTGTCCCAGAACTACTACACTGCTCACTTCTCCTCTTTTCTGTTTTAATGTGATCTGAGAAAACTGTTCACAGGATTTGAATTAATATATTGCAGTTCTACTATATTAGTCAGTATTTCATATCATGATTTTCCCAGTGCGAGTTCCAGGGCTCCATGGGGGGTTCCACAAGAATGAAGTGATGAGTGAATCTGCTATCGTAGTCAGGGTGTAAGAACTGCAAGTTAAAAGGATTAAGGCTCCCCCACTCCTAAAAAAAGCTCTATGTAGGAAGCCAAAGAAGAAGAATAAACGAAACAAAGAACTGGTGTCATCAGTCGCCACACGCTACAGGGTTTAACAAGGATGGGGTCCAAGCACTTATGGACTGAATGGTTCTATGTGCAATGAGGATGATCAGTCGACTTACTAACTAACCTTCTTAGTTATTTCTGTAATTTTTTGCATCCCAGATAACTGTTACTTATCCTATCAATGCTGATAAATCGCTGCTTACACTTTCATTTGCCAAAGACAAATTATTTCACTATTTATTATTACTGTTTACTGCTTGTTACAATTATGCAATGGTTTATGTCTCGAACATAGCAACAACAATAACACCAATCATGTAGAAACTGTAACGTGTAAAAGCTACCAGTTATTATATTAATTATTATTATAATTATAAAGCTAGCAGCACACACATACTGTCAACAGTGAAGAGACGAGGAAAATATTACATGATATTCTCTCCAGTAACTGTTACCTGCTAACACTTACATATGCGAATTGATCATGCCTTGCTACTACATTACGTCAGTCTACAATGTCAATGTGTATGTATGCATCTGTGTAAAGTATGAAAGTGCTTGGTTTTACTTTATTTCATGTCCTAAATTAGAGTAGGTGCGGAGTAGAAAAGTTTTGGGCGGGGGTTGGGAAGGGAGGAGTGGGCCAATAAGGCAAAAAAACAGGCATAAACAGAGACATAATTTTTCTTTTATTGACATTCATATATCAGCTCACCTTTACATGAATTCTCTTTTTTATAATGGGCAGCTGGAAAAATGTTACTGAAAAAAAAAATTAAAGTAACATTTTCAAATAAAAGATACTTGTTAAAGAATAAACTATATTGCAGACTGTCGGTGTGCAAATTAAAATGAACACTTCATGTGAGTTCTAGAGCTCTCATGTGTGTGGAAAAAAGAATAGACCCACTGCTCTCTAACAATCAATCAATCAATCCTCATCGTGCCCTGAAGCACATTAAGTCAGAGACAAACTGTCACCACTCAATTTGAACTTAAGCCATTATCTCTATCTCCAGTTTTGTCCTTTGGGTAGGCCTTGAGTTCAGCCTCAAAGGTTCGCCCCCAAGTGCCTCTGGGCCTGCCTTTTTCTCGCTGTCCATGTGGTGTCCATTGCATTATCTGTCTCGGTCATCTCTCTTTCTTCATTCTGAGGACGTGTGAATTCCACCTTCATCTTGGTTTTTATATTTCTAAATTTTACATCTTCTAAGTCTGCCATTTGTTGTAATCTAGAATTTCTGATTCTATGTTCCCCCGTCAATCTTCTGAGCAGTCTTCCTTCAAAACCTTCAACAAGCATGTCGTAAAAGATGACAAATCAGGGGTGTTTCCTTTAAAGTCAGAGGGCATTGCCTGAAAGGCAAGGAACCAATAACATGCATACAGAAAAGCCAGATCTGTAAAACAGATCTGCATACAAAACTCAAGACCTTGAGGTTTGAGGTTTTAAACAACATCATGGCACATGGTAGTAACCCATACGTGCTCCGTTCTTCTTCCAACTCAAGTCTGAGTGTGAAGAAGTTCAGCATAGTGCACAGGCTCTGTAGCACCGGTGAGGATCCTGAAATACTTTGGGTAGATTTTAAACTCTAAATATTGCCCAGGCAGCGTCGTTACGCTACTCTTTTCTAATTTCCAACTGCTAAAGGATTTTTTCACGTGTGCAACAATGCACAGGGGCGTCTAATCTCACTACCCAGTGACCAGGGGGAATTACTAGAAGTCCAAGTCCACGTGAAGCAATTCCAGCCCTTACCAGGGATTGAACCCCGAACCACTAGCAATCAAAGCGGACACTATGCATCAAGACCAAGCAGCCCCTTGTACAAAACTAAAGGCTACAAGTGGACCAACAGTAAGAACTTTCCACCAGAGTTTACAGCTGATGAACATTTGGAAGAAGGCAAAAATGCATACATGACTCATAAATATACTGCTCCCCATCTTTTTTTTTTTGAGGGTGGGGGGGGATGATTAGTGTTCTGTTTTTATCTTTTCGACCCAGTGGGTTCCAGTGCAAGGTCATTCCAACTATACTGTTACCAGGTTTTCTCAATGTGTTCTATCCAATACCAGTGTCTTTTTCTCGACTCTCAATTCACTTGATTTTATTTAATTCTTTCACAAAGCTCTACAACAGTGATTCTGTTATACAATTTAATTCTATTTCTATTCTGTGCAGGCACCAATTAATTAAAAAAAACATATGGTTTATTAATATTTGTTGTTGTTCTCCCAGTTTCAGCTCTATTCAACAGTACTGTTATTGCAGTGTTAAATTCATGTAGCAGTAAACATAATAACATGTTCATTTATACATAAAATGAAACATAGTGTGAGTCAGAAGTAACTAATTACTGTCCTGAACATCCCCCAGATATTAAAACACCCTCTCAAGACCTTGACATTATTACTGAACCACCAAGCAAACAAGAAATCCCTAAAGTTATCCACACTTTAAAGAACAACAAAGCACCAGGCAAAGATGAACTGCCAGCAGATTTTCTCAAAGCAGATCCCAACACAACTGCAAGCATTCTAGAACCATTGTTCAAGGATATTTGGGAAAAAGAAGTGTTGCCTGAAGACTGGACTGAAGGAACAATAGTCAAAATCCCCCCCAAAAAAGGAGACTTAACAGACTGCAATAATTGGGAGGGGAATTACTCTACTCTCAGTACCAAGAAAATATTTTGTAAAATCATCATAATGCAGCTTGAAAAATGAGTAAATAAATACCTACGAGTGGAAGAAGCAGGATTAAGAAGGGGCAGAGGAACAACTGAGCATATCTTCGCCATACGTAACATTTTAGAACAATGTAATGAATGGCAGAGAAGTATATATATATATTAATTTTGTGGACTTTGAGAAAGCTTTTGACAGCGTCCATACAGACGGTCTTTGGAAAATTTTATGACATTATGGAATTCCAGAAAAAAAAAATCAACATAATTGCTCTCTTCTTTAAAGACTTTTCCTGCAGTATAAAAAATTACAATACATCTTTCCCAGTAAAGACAGGTGTAAGACAGGGATGTGTTATTTCATCTCTCCTCTTCAACCTTGTGATTGATTGGATACTAAAGAACACAGCAGACAAGACATTGAGAGGCATACGATGCACTCCATTCATCATGCTTGAAGACCTTGATTTTGCAGATGATATAGCACTCCTATCACATTAACATGAACATATACAAGAAAAAAGTAACAGACTACACAACACAGCAGAAATAGTGGGACTGAGAATAAATACAGAGAAAACTAAGATCATGACAAGCAGTCCAAACCAACAATCAGTGACCATAAATAACCAAACTCTTGAAAATATAGAACATTTCACATATTTTGGCAGTGTTTTGTCCCTACTGGGAGGGACCAAAGAGGACATACAGTCACTTCTGAACAAAGCTAGAGCTGCTTTTGGAAGGATGTGCAAATCTGGAAATCAACAGTTACTGCAGAGGAACGAAACTCTGACTCTACAAGAACATAATTTTGCCAGTTCTTCTTTATGGAGCGGAATGCTGGAGAATGACCAAAAAGGATGCACACAAGCTGTCCACCTTCCACCACACATGTCTACGTAGAATTATCAAAATGTTCTGGCCAAATACAATCTCAAACACAAAACTAAGTCACAAACCAAGAAACTTTAGACAGTATGATGATCAAGAAAAGATGGAAATGGCTTGGCCATGTTATGAGAATGAATCCTGATATACCTGCCAAAACAGCTCTCACATGGACACCAGAGGAAAAGAGAAAACAAGGGCGCCCAAAAACAACATGGAGACAAACGATGGAAAGTGACCTGAGTGCGGCACCTTTGACATGGAAAACTGCACTGAAGATTGCACAGGACAGGAAAGCATGGAAAGTCCTCTATGAAGCCTCATGTGCCACTAGGCATAATGAGAACTGATGAACAAAAACACGTTATATAACATATTCTTAAAAAAAAAAAGAGAGAAAAAAATTAATATCGAAGACAAAGTAGGTGGCTAGTAACAAAAGACTGCAAACTGACTGAAAGTAGGTTGCCACCACAGTCTTTTCCTTTTTTTGTTGCTTATAATGTTTATAGAATGAATCATACATGTGATATTTGACTGTTCTTTTTCTTCTGAAGATGTAACTGCATGTGCCTGTTCATAGCATGACTGTGATGTTTGCGCCTTTCAGCTGAAACATCCAACTTATGCAGGCATGCTAACCATGTATGTCCACTGCCTTCTTTCTATGGTACCTTCTTTGTGTGTCACACAGAGTCAGTCTTATGCACATAAGTGAATCATGACTATTGTTTACATAGAAGCTGCAGAGATGTCATTTTATAGACAAATAAGGAGAACACTATGGATGTTAGGAAAAAAAAACAATGAAGATGTCCTGAAAGAAATAAACTCATAAGTCGAACTTACACCCTCATCAGAAGAAGCCAGTCTACATTCTTTGGCCATGTCATGAAAAAAAATAAAAAAATAAACTACAGTATGTCATGACAATTATGAAGTAAGAGGGGAAGGAAAAACAACTAAAGGGAGTCCAAGAGAAAAGATGCTGGACATTTTGGCATCATGACACTGGAGAAAATCTGTATCATAATAATCAATAAACAAGGTAATGACATAGCAATACTACTTCTTCTTTGTGTTCAACGGCTGTAAACCCCGACGGAAAATTCTAGTTGTTCGTCCACTTCTGGACTGCAGTCCTGTTTCAGAACCTGAGTGTAGCGTGTGTATCCGTTTGAAAGACCCAACTCATTTGTGTGCAGACTGTTGGTTCCTTGCCTCTCAGGCAGATGCTCTTCAACTTCGAAGGAAGCTCCCAATCAGTCGACTCTTATGACATTCTCTTGGGTAGGCAGTGTGTCTATTCTTGTTTTCCCTATAACAGGGCCCCAGAACCCACACAGGGAACACAACAATATAAGAATTGTAAAAATATGAATTTACATACTCAATCTTCTGTATAACATAGGAGTTAGCAATTTTACTTGTGCCCTGTGCTGCTGTTGAAGTTTCAAGGTCTGACTTCCTCTGATTAGCCAGACTAGATTTAGTAGCTTCCACATATGGTGACTCATTATCATCTTCAGAAGATCTATTTCCATGAAAGTCTGCACCGGCTTATCAGCAGCAGCACCTTTGTTAGTTGCTGTTTCACCTTTTTCAAATAGTGATTCACCCTGTTCCCAACTATCATTTAAAATGACAGTTCTGTTTTGTACAGGTGTCAGTTCTGTTTTTAAAACCGTCTTTGAAGTCATGGCTGAGAATTGTAAGACTGGGAAAATTCACAGTCAGATAGATTTAACTCAAAGTCTGTTACCTCCATGGCTTTTGAAGTATCTGTATCTTCACTGAGATCCCGTGTGTTACTGACTTCTGCAAAACTGTTTTTGTTTACCTTCAATTGTGTCATTCTTTACTGTGTCAACAGAAGAAAAGATGATAGGAGACTGACACATATTCCCTCCATTAGTCACATCTATAATTCCAAATTTCTTTGGCTCCATAATTCTAGCAGTTCTGGGTGATTCAATCACATCTATAATCCCAAATTCCTTTAGCTCCAGGATTCTTGCCGCTCTGGGTGATTCCTCCTTTGAGACTTGATTAGATGATTCCTGATAACTTCCTTTAACATGATTAACTCTAAAGTATGATTCCGATCTACTGTCTCTAGATGCTGACGGAGGAAAGTCAGCTGCATCAAAATAATCTCTTACGTTTGGACCTCTGCTAGTTGACTGTTCTGAGATATCATCATTCAACTGCTTCTTGTCTCTAATTCACCGTTTAAATCCAAACATGGACTGTTAGGATGTGAGCTTCTCTGTGTCAACAGGAGAATGCTCTCCTCCATTTCTTCATCAGATGGACGATATTTCATAAAAACTTCTGTCGCAGGTGGTCTAACTGTATTGCCTTTCTTCTGAAAATTACTACATTTCAACCTGCTGTGTGCATTTTCAATGGAAGATTTGTTTACAAATTTGTCACTGTTTTCTGGAGAAAATGCCAGTGGCTTTTCGATAATATGTTTGCTCTCAGGGGTGTTAATGTTTCCATCTTGATTCCTCACAGAATATGTAGTGCTAAAACATTTTCTGAATGAAGAATTGTAGATGGACTTGTAGTAATTTGCTGGATCTGTAAAAATAAATCACACTCTCGAGTTGATTTCAGCACACTGCACCATATAACGTTTCCCCCCGGCCACATCCCCCATTTTTTAAAGAATTCTTATCAAAGGAAACCACTGCAACTGAGTGGCTAGTATATTTTCCTGTCACCTCGATGGTTACAGATTCAAATCCCCATTGAGGCATATCATTTAAACTAATCATATCAACCCAGCCCAAAACAGATGTCAGGAAAGAAATTACATGGGAGGTAATAGTGGTTGGTGTCATTCCTTGATTGGTCTAACACATCTACGACCGGGTCGGGGCAGTATTTGGGTCTGTCTCTTTTGATTGCCTCAACACTGTAGGAGTCCTTTTCAGAGCTTTTGGTGGCGTGCAATGCTAAGCCATTTTGTATTTCGCACATAACCTAGTCACAATTATAACCTAAAGCTCCACCTTCGGGGATGCTGGTTAAACGTGATGATTTCAAAAAAATCTAAAGTATGTTAGTGGCATCATCTTTTTATATAAGAACCAGTAATTTAGGGATCATGCCATATGTTAGTTGCGTATTCTTTACAGGATGTTGCAGAACCAACTCCAGCTTTTTCTGGCTGTTAGGTTTTTCTAGGCAAGTTCTACGTTCAGTAGTTTGCCATTGCCTTTGGAACTATGCCTTATGTATCATGCTGATAATCTTTACTTTCCAGAACACTTCCTGGAACTCATGTTGGGTTAAGCTGAGATGAAAGCTCCTGTCAATTTTTAAACAAACATCACTACCTTGTGAGGGATCAATCACATACCATTAGGCTAGCAGGCAAAGGGCAAGATACAGCTAGCTCCCCGAGTACTTGAATACAGTAGTAGAATTACTGTACACCTTAACTAATGTGAAAGTACAGTACTCATTTCCTGCAATGCAGGTCTAGCAAATCTTGGCTCAACAATTCACGGAATTGTGTAGAGCCTTGCAAAAATTAAACAGGACCTAAACTACTTCCTAGCTGACGAGTAAGGAAAAGCAAAACAAATGAATAAAAATCAGGCCTTCAAACTTAAATGTATACGTAAAAGTATAAATTTATCAAGCTTCTATCATACAATAAGTAAGTAAAGAAGCCAGTTAACATCTTGGCACATTGAACATACAATGCAAGATCTATAATCTTGTAGGCCGAGTGGTGCTTTATGGGCAGTGTGGCCATGTTTACATCCCATGGTATGATAAGTACTGTCAGAAAAAAAAGTAAAGTAAATAATCCTACTTAAACACGTGGGACAACAAGCATATGGTGCTAAAGCCATAGTTATATAGACAATAAGCACACAACGAGTAATGTAGTCAGTCTCATGCCAACTTTCTTTACTTTCCAAGACATTTCCTGGAACCTACTTAGGCTAGGTCAACCTGGCAGCCAAGGTCAATAATCAAAAAGTCCACTTCAATGTGGATTGAGAAAAGACAAATGTCAGGGCAACAACTTGTAACAACAGTTATAAGACAGAGAAGATGGTGCTATAATTGACATATACTGAGAAGAAAGAAGCAGAAAATAATCAGACAGACACTAAAATGGGAAAAACAGTGACTGAGGCAGAGCGATCTTAACAACATTATGGGTCTCTGGACAAACCAGTGTCCTGAAGCCCCTGCGGCAACCACTGACATGAATTAAATTTTTATTTTATGGCAAATCCACTGACATACACAGATTAGCATGGGGCCCGTATGCACGTGGGGTCTCAGGGCAAGTGCCCAGCTGGCCCATGTGTTAAGATGGCTTGAGATTGAGGAAGCGAAGATGGCCAAAAGAAATCTTAAAATGGAGGAGGAGGAGAGAAGCCAAAGGGGCTTGACTAGATTCCACCATAATATTGAACTGACTGTACAAGATATAATAGACTGGAGGAATAGACTATGAGATGTATGTGACATATAATGGGACAACAGGGCAATCATGAAGATGATAAAGGCGGGTTAGAACCCAAGACCTTCAGGCCAGCAGACAAGCCTCTGCCACTGCTTTACTAGGCTCCCACTGTAACAAAACTATAAAATAAAATAATATCTACATTACCTTGATGTGAAACATCTGGAGTCTGAACGTAGGTGAGAAGATTGGAATATTTTCTCTGTAAATTTTCCAGAGTTTTCTGAGCTTCTGAAGAAAGTGTTGTGTAGAGCAATTTAGGTGGCGGTTTTACAGGTCGATAAACAGATGCCATCCTCATAGCACCCTTTGGATAAACATAAATATAATTATTAGAAAATCTTATTCTTTTTTCTTAGCATTCAATGGCTGTAAAGTCCTGGCTATTTGGTCACTTCAGAATTTTGGTCGTGTTCAAGAAATTGAGTTTTTCATGCACATCAGTTTTACAGATGTGGCCTATTTGTAATCAGACTGCTGGTTCCTTGCCTCTTAGGCAGATGCATGCCAACTTTAAAGGAAACACTCCTAGTCACCTTTTATGATATGATTATTACGGGGGCAGTGGATTTATTCTTTTCTCCCTAAAATGGGACACTAGAGCCCACATGGAGTTATGAGAAAATAATGTGCATGTGTATGTATGACGTATGTGAAAGTGTGTGCAAAACGTTTGTGTGCATTTATCTACATTTGCTGAAGGATGTAAGCCTGCTCTCTCTCTCTCCATCGACTAACTCACCCACAACCTGAGCAATCATCCACCCACTTAAGCACCCACCACCTATCCATTTATTCATCTATCTATCCATCTGCCTGCTCACCTGTCCATCCATCTGTCCCTCCATCCACCCGTCTATCCATCTGCAGGTATGTATAAATGTGTCCGCATACCTGCATTTTGTTAACTGATAAACACAGACCAATGTAATATTTTTTTTTGACGCTTATCTGCTGCTCCAAATGTCTTGGGTTTGAATCTTCACTGAGGTGAATTACTTTTCAAAACTGACCCTGGCTTCCAGGTTGACCCAGCCTACATGTTGGTACCAGGTAATGTCCTGGGAAGTAAAAATAGCTGCCTGGCATGATGTTGACCAGATCACTCAATGAGGGCTGATGTCTAGTCTATAAAAAAATTTAAGCTTAGCATCATATGATTTACACACCACTGGCATGTAAAGGGCCCTTTTCTTATATTACTTCATAATATCCTGAATTGGTTAATGTTGACATTAACAAATGATTTGCTACACTTTTACAAATGATTTTGGACAAGTAAATCAATTATGAACACTCCCCATGTGGCTTCAGGGGCCCCATTGTGGGGAAAACTTCTTTGTTCACTGGCTGTCAGCTTTGTTGGAAAGTCTTGGTTGTTTGTCCACTTGGACTTTGGCTATGTGTCGGGGCCTGAGTTTCTGATGTACATCCATTTTAATGGCTTGTTTGTGTGCAGCTGGTTGTTTCCTGCTGTTCTGGCAGATGCACGCTGACTTCAAAGCCTGATTGGATGTCAACCAATATCTTATTTTCTTCCAGGAAATTAAGAAGCTAGTTATTCACTAATCTTTCCATGGTCTTTCCAAGGCAGCTTATGAGGTTTATGGGGCGGTGACTGCATTTGTTTTCTTGGGCTTTTCTTCTTTGGCTATGTTCAACAATTTTTGCCTTCTTTCATTCCTTTGGAAGTAGTCCTTGGGTCCAGGATTTGATAAGGTCTAAGAGTCTTTGCCTACCACCTGATTCCAAGAGCACTATCATTTCATTTGTTACTCGATCAGGTCAAGGTGCCTTCCCTTTCTTAAGGTTATGAATTTCAAGTTCTTGGGGACTTAAGAGTTTATTGGGACCAAAGAGTTTATTCATTATATTATGGTAATTTTCTTGCTTTTTTTTTGGTTTTCCTTAGTTCTCTAGTAACTTCTTCTTCTCTCGCTCCCCCGTCACTACAAAGAGCTCTCTGCTCTTGTCCCTATCACTTCCAAAGTAAAAATTATGAATGCAGTATATTATTTAACTACAAGCAAGTATGTTAAGAAACCATGATTTTATTATGAATCATTCATGATGATCAGAACAAAATGATTGGTATAAGTATATCCGAAATAGTAAAAGTGCAAAATAAATCGTATTTAATATCTTGCATATAATAAAAATATTAAAAAAAAAACGTTGCCGCTTTGCGTAAAGAAATATGTTTCAATATATGGGAATCAGTTTGAACAGTTAAAAATGTACACAAAGTAAAAAAGTTAGTAGTTAGTCAAGTTAGTACCTTGCACTCCGGACATGTCCATAGGTGCTCAGATCCTCCCCTCAGTATGAACCCCAACGTCCGATGGCTAATATACCAGTTCTATGTGATTAACAAGTCTTCCAACGTGTCTGGTGTGCGTCTCGTTTTTTGCTGTGCCGATCTTAATAAGTCTGCCATTCTGGCGAATGATGTGGATTTACTGCCATCAAAAGTCCTCTATCCTTCCCATTTCTCTGAGGGCATGATACATCAAGCATGATCCATAGGCCGACCGTCGGTAGTGATAGCGGATCCAGCCAACCTGTCAGCTCTTTCATTTCCATCGACGCCTGCGTGTCCCGGAACAAAAATAAAGGTGACTCCACGCACAGTGGACTTCTGTAATGATTCAAGCCATTGTCTTCGCACTGAACCTGTATGAACCCTCCGGATCATACTCATTGAATCACTGAGTATACATATGCGGGTGTATTTTTGTGTTTCAAGCCAGGCAAACGCTTGCGTCACTGCCATCACCTCCATCGTCATGCTGCTGGTTGTCATGGAGAAGGCACCGTTGGCTTCTTTG